TAGGCCACCAGCAGAAGCCAAGCGCATCAAACACACTCTCCAAATCACAGGGCCAGCAGACATGAAGGTGCTCCTGGTCACAGGGGTAGCAGGGAGCCGGACTGAGAGCTGAGCATGCGGGTCTGCGCTGTTCCCTGAAGCGAGCCGTGACAGGTGCAAGCAGAAAGACAAAGCCTGGAGAACAGAGTGTGGTCAGGGTTAGGGGCAGCACGGGCAATATTGGTGGAGGCAGCATGGGGTGAAGAGGTGAAGATGAGCACAGACGGCACACAACACAGACGGTGACAGCATGGAGGTTGAGGATGGATGGCCACAACAGGGGCTTGGCACAGGGCACCCTGGGCTCTCCAGTAAGGCCCACACCCTACAACCTGGGGCTCAGGGTAGCCTGAGGCTCCTCACTGGCTCTCTCCATGCTGTCAGTGCGACTAGGTAGGCATCACCACCCTTGGTGGATACCAGCCTCCAAGGCTCCCACTCTTCTGACCCTGGCTGCTCCCCCTCCCCAACCCCTCAAAGGAAACACCGACACACCTCTCGGATCTTGGTTAAGCTTTGCCTTCTCGGAAAGGCCTCTTACCCCACCAGGCCCAGATTTCTCTGGGATGAACAAACCCCACCTCTCTGGTGCTGGCATCAGTTGACCCCCAGCCCTCAGCTATGTAACTGACTGATTTGCACCAACCTCCTCTACAGCAGGGACCAGTGCTGTTCTATGCACCTGGCACAGCACCAATGGAACCACCTGGATGGGCATGGCCACAGGTAGGCCAAAGACCCTAGAGGAGGCTCAGCCCCAGACTTACCACAGCACAAGGCCTACGGCCTCTGGGGCCTTTTCTGACTCTGGTGTTCTGAGGTGACATGGAGCACGACAGGCAGAGAGCAAGGATTTTAGTCCAAGAGAGCCACTACTGACATATCCCAAAGCGGGGCTGAGCCAGGCCAAGTGACGAACCAAGCCATTCCGTAGTGGCCAAGCTCCCTGGGCCCTCTGCTGAAGGACAAGGGAAACACACAGATTCAGTCTCTGCCAGGCTGGCCAAGCACAGGGCCTTCCTAGTGTCAGTCTCACCTCTGGCTAAGGGTGGAGGGAGATTCAGACCCACTCTCTCTTGGCTATACCCTGACTATAGCAGGCACTTTTGGATGAGTGCCTACCTGCCCTCAGCTCAGGTTCCTCTTGGGGAAACAAGGGCATGACCACACCTGCAGGGCAGTTATGAAGATGGAGATATGCTACTACCCTGCAGGCACCTGCCCAGAGCCCAGCACAGAGCAAGCACATAGCATTGAGTGGTAGGGCAAAATTACACACAGGCACACACACACACATACACACACACACATGCATACTGTACACAGGGTAGGGGTAGGTCTTGTTCAAAGATCTCCTTATGTTGTTTGAACATATGTAAAGGGCAATCACTGGGAGCCCCCTGAAGGTCACAATGTGCTCCTTGGATCACCTTGTTTTCCTGGTCAGGAAGCTTCAACACTAAGGATTTCAGCCCTGTGGGCAAATTCCAAGAGAATGGATGGAAGGGAGAAGTTAGGCAGGTGGGGAGCACAACCAGCCAGAGCTGCCAGCAGCACAGCCCGGAAGAAAGTTTCTCTCTCTGTTGTTCTCTCTCTTGCTCTCCTTCTCAGCTCGGCCAGAGGTCAGCTGTGAGTGCCCTCTTGGCTGTTCCGTGAAGGGCTGGCTTTGACACCAGGCTGCGGTAGAGTCAGAGTGACCTGAGGGGCCAATTCCCAAGGCTTTTCACCAGAGTTATGCACAGGCTGCAGGATGCTCCCCACCCTAGTGCAGGTGACACAAGGTTGCAGGTGAGCGTGGTTCAGAGAACAAATTTGGGTCCTATGAAGCAGCTATTATCAAATGTCAGACAACCCACATATACCTGGAGCTATTTTTCTAAATCTTTTCTAAATCTTAAACCAAATCAGAATTGATCCTAGCTGATTTCTGGTTCTGAAGCAAAGGCATACTAATGTGGGAAGGCAGCTCCAATACAAGGTCTCCTAACCACGCCCAAGGAAAGTCCTGATGCCTGGCTCCCTCTCCCACTGCTGGCAAGTTAATTGTTCTGTGGGGGTGGGAAACTGGGATCCAGAAAGCCCCATGCCCAAGCCCACTCTGGAGCTGCTGCTTCAGAGGACACTACTTCCACCTCTTGTGAGGCCATGCCACTAGCTGGAGAGAGCTGGGGTGCAAACTGAGGGGGACTGGCCCCAGAGCTCAGGCTTTTCCTTCTATGCAGTGCTACCTAGGTCTTGCCCTAGCTCCACCAATGACTTGGATAACTCCATCTAGGAGCTGGCTGCAATGTGCTGGCACTTTTGTTTAATACTCATGAGGAAGACATTACCTCCATTCAACAGGTGAGGAAATTAAGAAGTGAAGTCCTTTGTCCAAGGTTGCAGAGCACATATGCAATGGAGCTGGGACTGGAAATCAGATCCTTTGACCAGGGCCTGCTGTGCATTTGCCTCCCTGTCTGACCTCCTCATCAGACCTCCCCATGACTGCTTCTCCTCAGCTGTACCAGGGCTAGAAGCACCCATCACCTTCCTGGTAGTATGAGGGCTCAGCGGTGGCCCCTCTCCTCCCACAGTAGACCCAAAGCTGGTTTCAGGCCAAGAAGCTGAGTGGAAAGTAGGAGCTACATGTTCTCCTCCCAGGAAGGAGAAGTAGGAACAGAGGTGGGCAGTGTGGCCCCTTGAGGCCACCAGCACATCCCCTGACACCAGCAATCTGCTGCTTCTCCCTGGAGCCTGAGCCTTCCCCTAGAACTAGCATAGCTGCTGAAAGGGCCACTTTAGCATTCTAAGATCACAGCTATTTTAGGACCCCAAACATTTTCATGTTGCAGACACTGCTTTCTCTCAGAGGTGAGGCAACTGAGTTCTGAAAGCACTGTGCAGCCAGGCCTGGGCAGAGCACACAGGTGGCTAGTGCGGGGCTGGGACTGGGCAAAGGTGGGCCATGGGATCCTGATGGCTTTGTGTCATTGACAGGAATCGCTTTGAAAACATTTTTTTAAACAACTGTTCAAAATTGTGCAACCACTGAAACCATATTTGAACTTATTTGTATGGCTCTCTCTGCAAACTTCCAGAACAAAAAACTAGCATGTTGGCACCCAAGACCTGTCATGCCCAGTTGTCATGCCTGAGTGATCTGCAATGGCTCACCAACAGCTTTATGCACACACCTTTGCCAACATGGGACAGCTGGCATCATGGCCCCTTTCTGAGGCACTCCTGTCTCCCTCCTTTCCTGCTTCTAGAGGCATACTCAACTCTAATGAGCTGACATCCAAGCACAGTGGTGCATGTGGTGTGAACTCAGTGGGAGCATGCAGAGCTGCAGAGGACAGTGCTTGGGTTCCCCAGCCCAGGTGCATGTGAGCAGGGCCACATGGCATGTGGACAGCTAGGAAAGGCATTCCTCTCCTGAAAACTTTGGCATAGTGCTTCCTCCCAGGAAGCAGCTGGCAAAAACTAATTCCCCGAGCAGGGGTTTGCAGATAGTATGTTTTCTCAATATTCTCAAGAGTAAATGGTTGGGAACATGCTGATTAACTTAGCTAAGAAGGGGACAGAGGATCTTAACAGTGAAAGTCTGCAGAACTGAAGATTGGAGGAGCAGGTTGGTCAGCTCCTCCCACCTCTGCTTAACACTCTGGGGTGGGCAGGGAAGTGCCGATGCTGAGACTGGGAGTAATGACATGAACCTTCTGGGAGGTAAGAGACACAGCACACACTCAGATCCTCAGCCTCTCTCTCAACACGCATGCTGCAAATCCAAACCAAATCCAGGAGGGGACACTGTATGTCTCCTTTCCTTTCTTGAGAACAGCAAATCCTGCCCCCAGAGAAATGGGAGCACTGGCCCCCTTGTCATCCTTCTTCAGCACTTCTTTAAACCTGCTCTCAAGCCCCACCCACTCAGTTCAGAAAGCTGGAGGTAGATGCCCATGCTATACCCAGGAACCCGAGCACTGGGCAGGGGCCTCAGCAGGGCGCTAGAGAAAAGGTGGTGGCCCCCGCCAGACCTGTACTGGGACTGAACTTCAAGGCTACCATGGTGCCCTAGAGTGTCCATTCTTACTCCAAGGAGCCACTCTATAAAGACCACCTGGCAGGAGGCAGAGCACTGGGACCAACTCTACCCACCTACTAGTGTCCCCATGCCTTTGGGAACACAGAGCAAGGCCTGTTTTCCCAAGCCCAAATGAGATGAGTGACATAGGAGTAAGGGCCCAGGTGTCTTTCAGCATTGTCACTACCTCCCAGGACTCCACTTCAGTGGTCCTCTTAAGTCACCAATTTGGCTTATCCCAGCAAGTACCTGTCACTAGCTTATCACTATAAAAATGAGAGAACATGAAGCAATCGAGCTACAGGCCAGCATGCAAGCCTCCTAATGTTAGTAAGGAATGTGGTTGAACAGTCGCCACCTGCCGCATCCCACATGGGATGGCCACACATATGGTCCCAGGTGACCCCATTAACAACTTATTTGGATTCTCAGGGGTGACAGACTTAGAATTAGTCACGGCCTTCCCTCAACCGTCAGAAGGACAGAGCAGTAACAATGTACTGCTGAATAATGCAGGTGTCACTAAGCTAGCTGACTGCACCAGGAGCCACTCCAGGAGGCCACAGTCTTCTAACTTCCTTTCAAAGTAGGTATCATGTCCCCATTTTGCAGATGGGAAAAAGAAGGCTCAAAGAGGTGGGATGCCATAGCCTGGCCTGCCCCTCCCCTGGCTCCCAGGTGGGCAAGCTGGCAGGTGGCGACCCTGAGCATGTCTCGGAAGCACAAGAATCACCGTGAATCCATGAGGTTAATGAGCAGCCGCAACATTGCCCGTGTCACCCCAGACCCAGCACCCCCCCTCACCAAAACAAAGCGACAAAATGAGTCGCCCGAGCACCCTCCCCGTGATTGATGTGCCGCCCTGGGCTGGCAGTAGGGAGAACAGGGACTGTACCGTCCGGCGTTGCCTGCTGGTGGGGTTTTTTACATTTGACGTAATCGTGGTCAATCGGAGTGGCTGTGTAAGGTGGGGATGTCAGACCTGGGCCAGAGGAGGAGGGGAGGGAGGCTCCGGGGCCCGGCAGTGTCCCAGCTGAAGAGTGGGAGTCCTCATCCACCAGGCAGGCCTTCTCCCTGTGGGAACGGAGGTTTGGGACACAGGTCAGAGTCTCCACCTCACATTGAAACAGATGTGTGCTGGTAAGGGTGAGTGTCCTTCCCAGGGCCTGCTGCTCCCATGCACCTCTGGTGGCCCCCACCCCATCTGCTCGGTGTCACAGAGCCCACAGTTGCCCCCACAGCACCCACACAGCCTCTGGGTCCTAACTGGACACTGCCTAATGTTTCTGGCAGGGCGTGACCTGCATCTCTGAATCTCAGGCCCTAGGAGGCTCTCTAAGGGAGCCAATGAGTCTTTTCTCAGAAGCACCCTTGCATCTCTCCATACCAAGTCTATGCCTTCTGTGTGACAGCCTGACAAACTTAAGCCCTGACAAATGGGAAGACAGAAATGCATCTGCATTCACTGCATGCTCACACATGTACAAGGATATGTGCTGCAACAAAGTTGAGCAGAAACATCAGAAACACTCTAAATGTCCACTGGAGTGGTTACATAAAACATAGTACATCCATACTATGGTATAGTAAGTAGCCACTAGAAAGAATGAGGTGAATGGGGTACTATCTCCATGGACTGTGCCCAGATACACTGTCAGGGGAAAAAGTAAACTCTAAAACAATACCATGTGTAGTTCATTTTTATAAAATAAAAGAAAACTCTACAATTGTATGTGTACATTTAAGTGTTAAATGTACAGAAAATGATTTAGGAAATTAAACTGTGAAGAGTGGCTAACTCTTGGAAGGAGATCTGTCACATTTTAGTCTACATGTTTATATACTACCTGAATGCTCTATAACTAGAATGTATTCATGTATTATTTGCATAATTAAAAAAATTTTAACAGAATTATAATCAATGAAAGAAAAGTATCATTGTATGCTGGGGGCCCTTTGTGACTAAAAAAATGGGTATCTATAACTTCTGAGCACACCTGAGTGGCCTGCCATGCCTGGGCCTGAACCTCCCATAAGCTGAAGGGCACACTCTCTGTGGAGCTGGCTCACCTGTGGTGCACATCACACAGGCTATCTGTGGCCAGAAGCAGATAGCCCTCAAGCACAGGGCCTGGGCGCAGGCCTCTCTGGCACTCAGCTGAACCCCACACAGTGCCCAGCCAGGGAGTGGTCTCAGAGATGGAGTGAGCTGAGCCCTCCCCTGGCTCCCATGTGGGCAAGCTGGCAGGTGGTGATCCTAAGCATGTCTCGGAAGCACAAGAATCAGCGTGAGTCCATCAAGTTAATGGGCAGCTGTTACATTCCTCATGTCACCCCAAACCCATCTTTCTCCCTAGGACCTGCCCCTGAGGATGGAGCAGCAGCGGGACCTGGGCCTAGAGTGAAAGAAGTCTGGGCTGTGGAGATGACTTACAACCACAGGGAGACCGGGGTCAGTCCAGGCCCACTGAGGGGACCACACCTGAGCCCCAGTCTCTCTGAGCTCTCTGGCACCACAAGAGAAGCCCACACTTCCCACACTTCTCACTGCTTCTCAGGAGAATGGGCAGCAGACAAGGCCTTGGCATAGGACCCAGGGGCGAGAGTCTGCAAAGCAAAAACTAACTTTCTACAGTGTTCTGCACAGAACAAAGCTGTGTCCCAGTTCAGAGGGCAGGAGGGCATCGGCTTCTCCCCAGGACTTCCCCTGAGGGTGGAGTAGCACCACATGTGACCACAGGGTAAGGGACTCACATTCACCCTCTCCTTCTCAGATTCAACAGAAATACCTTGGCCCAGCAAATGGGAGTTTCCAGATGGGTCCTAGGGACTCCATGAGTTCTAGTTTACTGTTTACTGTGTAGCAACCCTCTGAACAACACATTGCAGTAAACGAGCCATCTGGGATGCAGATGGGGTAAGCTGCTAGAGGTTGCCTAAAGGGTGCTACTCACTTTTCTGAAGCTTTGGGTGTGTTCTTCTCCTCGCCCCTGGCAAAGGGTCCTTCTGCAGCCTCCTTCATAAAGTTGACCAGGACCTCTGCATCAACCCCAGAATCGGGCTTCCCCAGGAGCTTCAGGATGGAAGCATGGAGCCGAAAGTACACCTAGGAGAATGACACCTCTGGTGTGAGCAGCCTTCCCAGTTGCTAAGATTTGTTCCACAGGCCAGTCAGCCACACTGGAAATGGGCCCATGACCAGGGCAACAGGCTGCCACACACTGCCTGTTTTTGTTAGCTTTTAAACCAGCCATCCTACAACTAATTTAAAACAAGCTGTGAAAATTAAAATGTATACTGTCAGCATTCCAGCTTCAATGTTCACCCAGTAACTCAGGCACATGGTAGTGAGATGAGAGTAATAACCACTCATTATGATAACCCTTCAGCTCCGTTCACTGGGGCACTGCCTCCCGCCACAGTGCTGCTGTTCTCTTTGTGCCCTTCAGTGGGTACCCACAGAAAGTGAGTCTCTACATCTGTCTCCCCACTGAACTCTGGACTCCCTGAAACAAGGACTAGGTTGGATTTCTGTTTATAGCCCAGGCCCTGGGCAGAGCCAGGCACCTATAGGGCTCGAAAACGTCTTCCCCGTGGGTGAGGCGGGGGGATGGGTGGGCAGGCAGCTCATTGCATCCATTGGGCCCTGTGCTTTCCTCCATTTCCTCAAGTCCTTACCACATTCCTCAAGTTACAATGGGCGAAGAACTGCCCAAGGCCCCACAGCCAGGAATGCCCAGGGCCAGGTGAAACCCAGGTCTGCCCTGACCTTCTCACACAGGAGTGGGTGTGAAGCAGACTCCCACTTGGAGGGCACAGTGGGTGGTATGAGGGCTGAGAACTGCTCACTGCAGGCCCTGGCTAAGCGGCCCCCCTCACCCAGGTGAGACACCTGCTGGCAGCACTCTTGAGGGGGCATCCCAGACAGAGGGGGCTCACATCCAGAGCCCCTCCACCTCTAGCCCACCTATGGAGTCCAGAGAAATTGGCCCAGCAACTCCATTTTTAGATGTAGGAAACCACTTGAGGCACCCATGCACAATCAGGTGGCCAAACTTGGGGGAGGGCAAAGCATTCAACTGGTAAAGTTCATCCAAGTGGCGGGTAAAGTATCTTGAATGAAGGCACAATAGCAGAAAAGAATTTTTGTCAGGAGAGGGTTAAAATCTTCAGAGAAATGTCATTTTTAACACAAGATATACACATATAACAGCTGACTCAAAGTTACATAGCTACAGTTGTTGCATGGAATGGGATGCCCCCCAAATTAACTATGTGTGCTTGCTCTCCTTGGAGTCAGCACCATATGCTGGGGGAGGGTGGGCCACACATCTAAGGCCTTGGTTCCTCATCTGGAAGCTGCTGGGACCCCCAGGGCTACCATCCTGCCTGCTCATCTGCTCTATCAGGCAGGAGCAGAGGCCAAACCCTGAAGAAAAAAACATGGAGGAAAAACAGAGTTGACATCATCTTCCTGAGGGCCACACACAGGTTCAGTGGCTTCCCAGAGGTGCCAGGTAAGAATGCTGGGCTCAGTGGGCATCTGGCCCAGCGCCTCTCTGTTCCTGCAGGTGACTTAAAGCAAGTCACACCACTCCTCTGGGCCTTAGCCTTCTCACCCCCAAAGTGGAGTTCTTCCAAGGCATATGCCCCCAGGTGGACAGCATGAGCACTATGACAGGGAAGGGCAGGTGACCCAGGGCTGCGAATGAGAGCAGCCAGGCTGCTGCTGCTGAGATACCGTTCGACAGGAAGCTGTGTTTGCACACTTCTCCATGAGCCCAGTGAATATGGGCCCATCACCCAGACCATGAGTGCAGTGGTACGATCACGGATCACTACAGACTCAACCTCCTGGGCTCAAGCAATCCTCCCACCTCGGCCTCCCAAGTTTCTGGGACTACAGGCGCATGCCACCAGGCCTGGTTAATCTTTTATTTTTTGTAGAGATGGGGGTCTCGTCATGTTGTCCACTAGTCTCTGAGATCCCCAGCTCTATATCTCAAACTCCTCCCAAAGTGCTGGGATTATAGGCGTGAGCCACCATGCCAGGCCCCCCAAAATTTTTTTTTTAAACCATACTTTTTCTTTTTTTTGAGACAGGGTCTCACTCTGTCACCTAGGTTGGAGTACAGTGGCACAATCTCAGTTCACTGCACCCTCCACCTCCCAGGCTCAAGTGATCATCCCATCTCAGCCTCCTGAGTAGTTGGGACTACAGGCCTCCACCACCACACATGGCTAATTTTTAGAAGAGACAGGTTTCACCATATTGGTCAGGCTGATCTCGAACTCCTGACCTCAGATGATCCACCCACATCAGCCTCCCAAAGTGCTGGGATTACAGGCGTGAGTCACCACACCTGGCCAAAATGAGACATTTTTGTTCGCTCATAAAATTAGCAAATATTAAAAAGAGAACCTCATCAATATGACTGAGGGAAAGCAAACACTCTCATCGGTCAGTACAACCTTGGGGCAAGTAGCCATTGATGAGCAGAATGTTAAACAACATGGCAATTCTACCTTTGGACTTTAGTCCTTGAAAATACTCATGATGTGCTCCCTGCTACAAGTACAAGGACATGCACTACCTGTGCCTTGTCATAGCAAGAAGTGGAGAGGAAACCAAACCTATCAAGGGGCTGTGCAGATAAACAAATGCCCTGCTAAACTACAGGGCACTAGGGCAGGCAGGGAAGCTCACCACACCTTCCATTACATTTTGTCCAGCGAAAAGGCAAGCTGCAAAATCATAAGAAAATGTTACTACATATTTATATGTTAATAGGAAAAAATTTGGACATACGGGGACATAGCAAACTGTTAGGGATTATGGAGGGGCATACTGGAATCATTAGGGGCCTGCACATTCACACTGTACACTTTTGAGTTGTTTGAATCTCTTTAAAACACACACACACACACACACACACAAATACATGTTAATTTTATAATCAGGAAAAGAAATCATAAAGGCAGAAAAAAGCAAGCAACAGATTCTGTCCACACTCCAAGAGGCTTGCTGGACACGTGGGACTGGTAGAGACTGGGCACATAGCCTCAGAAAAGGCAAAGCCAAGGTGCACAGGGCCTTCAGAAGCTTCAAGTCCTGGGCTGAACCAGATGGTGGACATCTAGATCTCCACCATGTCCTTGGTTTTCCCGCCTATAAAATCGACAATCATGGCTTCCCAGCCTGCCTCACAAGACTGCTATGAGCAACAGTGACAGCATTCATCAGAAACACTCTGGAAACCATGAGAGAAAATCCAGGCAGTAAAGAACTGCTCTTTTCTTGAACAACAATCAGAAGATCCCAAATTGGGGGTCAAGACCGCAGGCTGCTCACCCTAGCTCAGCCCCTGCCAACCTGGGGCCTTGGATGTCTCGTTTGCACCCTGGAGGCAAGGGCGCCTGCTCTCCCTCCTGTCAGGCTACAGGGTGTGAATGTCCTGGGCCTGGGAGATGCTATGTGGCACTGACTGTCATCACCAAGGTCAGGTTCTTAATGAGGAAAGATAATTTTCTTCTGAGAGATAAGAACAAAATGGTCACTCTCCCAGAAAGGATGATAAACACCCCTTGGGAAAAGAGAGGAAATGATGTTTTAATTCAATTGCACATGAAGCTGCTCAACACGGATAAGTTTGCAGCAGGTTGAAGGGCAGTCACTGGAACCTTGAGCCCCATGCCCAGGGAGATAGAGAAACCAGCCTGTCCCTGCCCTGCTTCCCCACCCTGGGCCAGCATGGTGTCACCTCCAGGGCCTCCATGGCCAGCTCAGGTGGGTTGTGGTAGTGGATCTTCTTGGGGTAGCGGGCAGCCTCCTCGTGCAGGTAGTGGCCAGCCTGCCTGTAGTGCAGCAGGTAAACGGTGGGTGGCTGCTGCTGCTTCTCAGCCACCTTGCCCAGCATGTAGTGGATGAGCCACTCCTCCTCATCACCATCACCCTCGCAGCGGGCTGCTGATGTGAAACAGTGCTTGGCTGTCTCTAGCATGCTGTCGCGTCGGCCCTCCATCTGTAAGAAGATCATGAGACTGGGTTGGCCTTATGCCTGAACCTGCCCATGGATCAGACTTTTTCCTGTACAAAGCTCTGCTGACCTATTTGCAAGTTCATACTCCTCTCAACAACCAAGACACAGAAATGCCCTCACCATTTCACAGCTGGTGGCACTGAAGTGTAGAAAGGCCTAAGGGTTTCTCAAAAGCACACACCAAGCAAGGCACAGAGCAGGACTTAAACTCAGGTCACCTCATATCAACCAGGGTACTTTTTTCTGCTTCCCCCTGCAGCACCTAACACAGATTCACCTAGCACCCTGCTCCACAGCACTGGAGAGGACGTTTACTAATACTCAGCACCCAGCCCTACAGCACTGAAGAGGGCATGTATTTAGCACCCCGTTCCACTGCATAGGAGAGGGTGTATACCCCTGGGGTACAACAGGACTTCCCACCATCTTCTCTGTGCTCTTTAAGACAGATGTGGAGTACTTGTAGAAGGGCAAATTCCTGAGCCCTACTTAAGACCCACTGACTGGGAGTCTGCATTTGCAGCAAGCACCTCCAGCCACGCTCTCACAGCCTGAAGGAAGGAAACAGCTAGCACAGAGGATCACCTTTTAAGAGGTGTTCCAACTTGGAGAGCACTGCTCTCCAATCCTGGTCAGTTGCCAGGCAAACTCATGCCCCCTCATTCCAGAACTCTGGGCTGGAAGCTAGAGAGAAGCCTGCCTGTGTGGGCCCACAGAGCTGCTCTGAGCAGCCCAGGTCTCTGATCCCTCCTCTCTGTGGTCCTGGATCAATGGCAGGGAAGCCAAAACCTCTTCTTGCCTGACCTCAGGGGCCAGTGAGAGGGGAAGAGGCTGCAGGCACTAGTCTCTGGCAAGGGTAGCTGCTGCGGCCTGCAGGAGGTGCCTCATGTTCTTATCTAGCCAGGTTGAGCCTGCCCTTGGATGTCTGTCCAGTGGGTGCTTGTTTATGTGAAAACCTGTAGCAATGGCCCCAGGACTGAAATAAGGGAGCAATGTGCTACCCACTGCTCTGTTACACACTTCTCAGGGGAAAAAATAAAAATGACCACACAGGAAGTGGGAGATCATCAATGGGTGAAATACAGTGGAAAGGATCCCAGTGCAGGGCCAGACACGGGACCAACCAAGCGACTCCATCACACCCTCTAAGATGGGCTTCTGTTCCTCCAAGATGGGCTTCTGTGGCAAATGTGTTGAAGGAAAAGGCGATGGCTAAAAGGATATCCTTCTACTTGAATTGCTTTGTAGCTGTGTGACCTGGACCAACTCACTAGCCCCCCTGCCCACCCTGTTCTGCCACCGGCATCTGTAACAGCTATCTGCCAAGAAAGAAAGGGTAGCTGTGAAGAGCCCCATCTGGGCTGGCATCTGGTACCATGCAGACCCTTGGGAAGAGGCGAAGCCCCCACCCCTTCCCCATACAGGGCACACTGCCAATGTCCCTGTCCTTGTGGTGTGGAGGTCACAGTATCTCAGACAGGAATAGGAGGGACAGTCACTGAGGGCCTGCTGTGTTTCAGAAGCTCTACTAGACACCATCTCACTACCTTGCCATCCTCAGAGCAGAATAGGCACCTCATTCACCTTGCATATGGGGTGCTCAGGAAATGGCTGATGGCAGGTGTTCCCAATGAACTCTCACAATACTGCCTTAGAGAAGGAACCACAACAGGAATGTCAGGTTACTGCTTCTAGGTCACACAGCTAGAAAGCTCTGGCTCCAAAGCCTTTTCCCTTGCCTGAGAACTGACATCATGGGGAAAGTATTTGTTCTCCTACACCACCACCTCTGAGGAGTTTCTAAGCAAAAGCTGAAGCACACAGCAGCTCAAACAGCTGCCAACATGTGTCCTGCAGCCCATCCTGCAGACACAATAAATCCAGATGGAAAAGTAGCAATCAGGGGACTGTGTCCCCGTGACACATTTCAGGGTTGGAAGCTGTCTCTCCAGAGGTGGAAAGAACCCAGGAGGCACAAGATAGCTCTGCAAGGCAGTTTTCACCCTCGGCAACTATGAAACACTTCCCCCTACCTTCCCTCCCTCCCTGTCGGGACATCTGCATTGGGGGTGGATTTCCATGTCTCTCCTGCCACCCTAACACGCCAGCAAGATGGCTTAGGAATCCAGTTTCAGGACCTGAGCTTCCTGGGCCAATGGCTTCCATAAGATCAACACTGAGTTCAGTCCCAAAGGCTATGAGCCTAAGCGGAGGAAAGAACAAAGCAAGGGGAAAAAGTGTGTGGAAACTTGAGGTCAGTCTCCTTACCCACTTCCTGACCTCCCTGCTCCCTTCCTGGGGAGACCACTATTTATTTCCCGGAAAACTCCCACTCTGCCAAATCTCATTTGCCATCATTGGCGGGAGATGAAGGAGAAAATCCAAGGACCATGATCAGCTCAGCCCACTGAGTCCCAGCAGAGGATAATGCTGCTCCTGCTGTTACAGGGAAGGCCCCTTGGGGAGTCAGGCTCTGCATCCCAGGGCAGCAGCTTCAGTCCCCAGCCTGCCCAACTCTGGGGCCACCGCAACACAAACAGAATTCCACAAGGAACTTTTGTGCAGGACAGTTACAATAAAATAGGGTTACAGCACTTAAAAGGAATGTACTAGATGCACAGGAATTATCATGGCTAGAACAGCGTGGTGCTGAGTAAAAAAGGAAGCTGAGTACCATATACAGTGTGATAGCATTTAGACTGGTGTTTTTTTCTAGGAATACATATTTATGTATAAAAAGTACTTTTTTTACAGTCTGGAAAGAAACAAGTCTAACTGTTTTTGAGATAGTAGGGGCAGCCAGAGGGATATGAGCTTTGCCCTTAATATTGTAACTGATTTAAAGAAGCCTGTGTCCCTTGTAAGATTTAAGAGTAAATTTTTTTTTTTTTTTTTTTTTTTGAGACAGAGTTTCACTCTGTCTCCCAGGCTGGAGTGCAGCAGCGTGATCTCAGCTCACTGTAATCTCTGCCTCCCAGGTTCACGCCATTCTCCTGCCTCAGCCTCCCAAGTAGCTGGGACTACAGGCGCCCGCCATCATGCCCGGCTAATTTTTTCTATTTTTTGAGTAGAGACGGGGTTTCACCATGTTAGCCAGGATTGTCTCTATCTCCTGACCTTGTGATCTGCCCGCCTCGGCCTCCCAAAGTGCTGGGATTACAGGCGTGAGCCACCGCACCCGGCCAAGAGGAATTTTTTTTAAGACGGCAATGTTGAAGAAGAGGCGGTGCTGACACTTCTTTCCCCTATCCTCTTCCAGGATGCAGTGCTACTGCACTACTGCTACCGCTGCACTAGCCTAAACATGTCAGTATGGCTCCTTTACTTCCATCTCAAGGAGCCAAGGGTACCCTACTGAACAGAGACCTAAGGGCCAGACTCGGCATCCTGCACTAGGGTAATCCCCTACCAAGAGAGACTTCAAAAATCCCAACCTAAGCTCAAGAATCTTACAAGGACCCAACAAGCTCCTTTGAGGGAACAGGGAAGAAATAGCTACCTTTGGTGGCCAACACTTCTCCCCTCTTTATCTCTCAACTACACTGTAACTAATGGCTGACCAGCTGGGTCTAATAGCCTGTCCCTAAATTTGTCTACACTAGACTGGGTGTCCAAAGACCAGGGACCAAGTTGTCACTGACCATGGTATGGCTTGAGCTTCATGAGGAGATTCATCAGTGAGCTCCTAGCATGGAAGTGTGGACAAGTATAAAGTACGAATGAGACAGAGCTTCGTTGACCTGAGGGCACTCTGTCTGGACAAAAGAATGGCAGGCCCATCTGCAGCACCCACTCCTCACCTGCTGCACGACCTCAGGGGGCAGCTCGCCTCTCCACTGCTTCAGCTGACGTGAGGCGAATGAGTGCAAGGCATAGGACATGGTGCCATACTCAATCCATAGGGACAAGTTGGAGCTGTCAATCTCCAGGGCCCGACGGAAGCAGTTCAAGACGGGCGTGGCATGCTTCCAAATGGGCCCATCACTCTTCAGCTCATTGGAGTTCAGCTTGTCCTGAATGCGGCTGGCCCGGGCCAGAGCCATGCCTGCCCAGGAATCAAACCTGTGGTGGTAACAAAAGCACTACTAAAAACACAGCTAAAAACACTACTACATGAAAAGCATGGAAGATAATGATAGGCTAGTGGACAGGCAAATGGACACCATGGAAACTGTCTTCCCACACCAGGGCTCAGAGCCCAACTCTGACACTCACTAATGCCATGACCATGACCTAGACCAGCCATGTCTCTGAGCCTTCATTCCTAACCTGTGACACAGGGCTAAGAAGACCTACCTCAAGAGCTGTGGGCATTATGAGACAAAATGTATTTTAATCACTCAGCACCTCATAGGCATGCAGTAGCTGCTCTAATGGATGAGCTCCTGGACTCTGTTCCCCTGCTTTGCGGGGTTGCCTACAGAACAGCTCTGGTGGAGAGAAAAAGGAGTGGTCTACAAGACAAGTCAGCAGCGGTCCAGCCAAAGCACCAGGAAGACCCTCAGCCAGGTGTGACCTTACCTACTTCTGTGCGGGCAGAGCCTGCCATCAGCACATTTGCCAACCAGAAGCATGGGCAGCAGAGACCTCAGGACCCCAGTAACCCAGCTTCTACCCCATTCTGTCTCTGGGACCCTGAGCAGACCCTGCCCTTTCCAGCTCAGTTCTCAGCAGTAAAATGAAAAGTGAGGGACCACCTGAGACCCTACGATTCTGAGACCACCTGAAAGAAACTGATAGTGAGAACACAGAAACCTGTCTGAGAGGACGAATGGCCACAGAGACACCAAGACTAAGATGATCTCTGGGCACCTGATAGTCTGGGATTTGCTGAATGCTAGTACAAAGAACAGAAATGGCAGCAATCAAGCGGACAGATGCCACCCTCCCACATGCCAATCGTCCTTAATGCACTGCTAGCACAGAAGACCAGATTAAGCACCAAGTCTCGCCTGGTACCTGCCAGTTAAGGCCAGAATGAAGGTGGCCAAGGCTTGGAGCCCAGGATCAAGCCATCAAGGGCTTTCCTGGCACTGGGGCCAATCCCACAGGAGACCCCGCCTCTGTGGCAGGGTTGTCTAATGGGCCAGGCTGATGGGTTGATACCCTCTAAACAGGGAGGTATGAAGGTTGGAAGGACGCCCAGCTAAGCTGCCATGAGCCTTCATTCTGTTGAATACAGGGCTGTCAGGTGAGAGGTGCCATGCAAAGACAGGTGGGTTTTATCACCCTCACTTTTCAGATGTGGAAGTAGGGGAACAGAGGAGGAAACCCTTACTGTGGCGCAGTGAGCACTCAGCCAGACTGAGCACAGATAGGGCTGCTCTCTCTCACTGGTTCCCAGTCACCCTGAGAGGACAGCCAGGGCTCTGCCACATGGCTCCCTGCCTGGAAGAAACCACAGGCTAAGCAAAAGTAGTTCTGTGAGAACCTTTCACACAAGCTACACAAGTCTTGCAAACTGGCTTCTCCGCTCACACCCAGTCCCTTCTCTCCTTGGCCAGATGGATTCTGACAAGGTGGAATTCTCTGGTTCGCCCTGAGTTAGGGTGGTTCTGTGCTCAACCATGGCTCAAGGGCAGCTATCACAGCCTGGCCTCTGAGTCCTTCCAGAAAGTGTGCCTACAGATGCTACTCTGAACCCTTTAGACACAGGTCAGCCACAGTGGGTAGCCTCCTTTTGACCTTCACCCAAGGCTTACCTCCTAGGTATGATAAAATATTCCCTCTTAATCGAGTGCATCAGACTTCACGAATGTAGAAGGCTCCTTGGGAGGCTCCAGGCAATCACTACATTTTTTTTTTTGAGAATGAGTGTCGCTCTGTCACCAGGCTGGAGTGCAGTGGCACAATCTCGGCTCACTGCAATCTCCACCTCCTGGGTTCAAGCAATTCTCATGGCTCAGCCTCCCAAGTAGCTGGGGCTACAGGCGCCCGCCACCACACCCAGCTAATTTTTGTGTTTTTAGTAGAGACGGGGTTTCACCGTGTTGGCCAGGATGGTCTCGATCTCTTGACCTCATGATCCGCCCACCTCGGCCTCCCAAAGTGCTGGGATTACAGGCATGAGCCACCATACCCAGCCGCAATCACTACGTTTTAAGAGAAAGCCAAACAGGGCTCCACAGGAAGAGAGCATGAGCTTCATGTGCAATGAGCTCTCCTACATGCACCATCATGATAATCGCTACCGCTAACAGTGCACTGCATCAGAGCAAAAAAGAGAACTCTGGCTTGAGTTTTTCTATTACTTGTCCCCAAGAAGACAACCACAGTTAAGAAGCCTGCAGTGGAAGCAGCAAGAGTACACATCCTGGGGCTGTGAAAGTAGGCAGCACAAAACCAACAAGATGGAGCCAGGCTGCGCCTCCTTGCCCTGCACACCAGGGTCCAGATGGACACCTTGTACCTTCTCTAATAACCCTTTACCAATAACCCTCCCAGAGGACTTTGGAAAAGAGGCCTTCTCCTCTGCTCTTCTTTTCATGGAAAACCTGCCTTTCCTAACAACGGCAAAGTGCTAAACCACCCTCTCATTCCCTTTTCCCTGGTCTCTTTGCAACGGGCCGGGAAACCCCAAAGTGGCCCACTGAAGAGCTTGCTGAGCTGGAGTCACCCCAGTCATCCCTGCAGCCAGCCTAACCTCATACTCTGGTCACTGACCTATTGGGGCAGATGCAGATGTCATGCATGTAGAACTTGATGGCCTTGGACTGCTCCTTGTTTTTGAAATGATAATCAGCCAGGAGGTAGTAAAGCTCGTTCACCACCGGAGGGGAGGGGTCAGCCCCCTCCGGGAGGCAGGGTACCTGGCAGGTGAGAGGAAAAGTATGAGGGGAGGTGAAGTCAAGAACTCAGATGTGACCAGTAAACCCAGGACTGTTTAGTCACAGGACAGACTCTCCAGCTTCCCCTGCCCCTCCGTCTGGTACAGAGCAGAAAAAGAAGCAAAGGACTATATACAGCAGTGGCAGAGGGGAAGAGTGTGACCCAGCCCGGTCCCCCACCTCCTCAAGGTTGTGGGCCCACCTCAGTTGAAGTTCCCTCAATGTAGGCAGAGACTTTGTCCAGGCTAAGTGCTGGCCTCTCTGTGCGAGGCACAATGGTGGCAATTCTCTTCAGCAGGTTGGCCAAGTCAGCAGACACGGTGCTGGTCTTGTAGCTGTCAAATTCAGGAAGGGTCTTGGGCTTAAAATACTCAAACATAAACAGGGCATCCTCCCATATAAGATCCACCTTGAAAAAAAGACAGAAGGCAGATTCATAACACAATCAGGGTAAATGAAAAGGGAAAAACACATTCCTCCATAGAAACGCATTTTGTCCAAAGTAAATGAGGTTATGGCATATTGGAGAGCCTAAAACAAATCCCCATTATACTTTAAAAAAAAAAAAAATCTGCACTACAAAAATTAGCTGGGTGCAGTGGCAGGCGCCTGTAATCCCAGCTACTCAGGAGGTTGAGGCAGGAGAATCTCTTGAACCTGGGCAGCAGAGGTTGCAGTGAGCCGAGATCGTGCCACTGCACTCCAGCCTGGGCAACAGAGTGAGACTCCATCTCAAAAAAAAAAAAAAAAAAAAATCTGCATGCCCACTATAATCCCCACATCCAAGTGTCTGAAAAGCATAAGGCTGGTCTGCAGAAAGACAGACATTGGAAACTACAAGCTGCGCTCTATAAGCCCACGTGGCTAAGCCAGAAGGTGGGTTCCATCATGCGGGGGGACCTTCGGCCAGCAACAGACCCTCTCCACTCGGTAGACAAATTATTGAAGGAGAGCTGACTCCAGGGAGGGTGGCCCTAGGTCTGGGGTCCACAGCAGGGGCTCTGTCCTAAGGAGCTTACATTTTAGTGGATTGAATCCCTAAGATCAGACATAACTGACAGTACTGAGGAGCCATTAGACAATATACTCAATAGCACTCTACAAAACAAAACAACACAAAAATGGAAAACCTCTAAGGAATTATTCATATCCAAAATGGAAATAAACTATCGACAATTGCCATGGTACATTTTTTGGTTTTAGGGTAGTTTTGTTTGCTGTTTGTTTTTTAGAGATGGGGCCTTGCTCTGCCACCCAGGGCTATTCACAGGTGCAATCACAGTGCACTCCAGTCTTGAAATTCTGGCCTCCTACCCTCACCCTCTAGACCAGCTGGAACTCAAGGTATGCACCACCATACCTGGCTCTACATACTAGTCAACATTTGTTGAATGTTAGTCAACATTTATGAAAATAAGTTTTTGCAAGAAAAACCCTTGTCCTTTGATAGACTCCATCAGACCGTCTTCTCTCCTCCTTCTGATGCAACTCCAAGCAGGACTGCCAAGATGACTGTTGACAAATATGACATCCTTCAAGACAGCTTACACCTCCTGGTTCCCTCTTCCTTGGGCCTACTGCAGCACCCTCACCTGCTGGACTGAGTGTTCCTCCAGGTACCTGGCCTTACTCTTCTTGCTGGGGAAGCTGTACAGGCAGTAGAAGCACTGCTCCAAGGCTGTCTCCAGCTCCTCCTTGTAAGGGTGCGTGTCTTCAGAGGTGGATGCAGCCAGTTCCTTTTGGAGTACTCGTACCTGTTGTGGGCAGAAGAGATGCCTGAGGTGAGGGCCTGTAGCCACTGCCTCCCTTTTACAGCAGGGCGCCAGACAGACCACCACTCTATCAACTCTTTTAACCTGAGGTGGCTATGTCTGTTGGGCTCCTGCATGACTTGATTCCAAAAATACCTGTTTCCCAGAAAAGTCTTGTTATCCTAATAGGAGCTATTCTGGTCCCACCTCTGGTGGTCCCACCTCTGGGCCCAGCAGGAGCCTCCTGATGCGTTTACCAAGCTGCCTTTCTTCTAGCATACCTAGCCAGTTTCTACCAGCCACCAGAAGAAGATATTATTTGCCTCCTGGGAACTTCTCTCATTTATTTAGTCATTCATTTCTTCAATGAATAATTACTGAATACTTTCTTATAATAGACATAGTATGACATAGTCCTTGCTTTTTAGAAGTTCAGATTCCAATGGAGAGAATAAAGTTAGATAAATGTTTATAAAAAATAATTATAACATGAGATGATAAATCTCACTAGGGCTAAAAGAATCTCCCTCAGACAAAACATAAATGAGGATCAGAAAGGATGTGAACAACATAGTAAACAAGTTACATCTATGAATATGAGAGCCGACAGCTATTATTATGCCCAACTATTAGCAAATACACATTATTTTCAAGCATCCATGAGATTTTTGCCAAAACTGGATGAAAAGCAAGTCTAAACAAAGACCAAAAACTAGATATAATACATACTATATCCTCAGCTGAACACAATCCAATAAAATTAGAAATCAATTACATAAAAATAGCAAACACCAAATATCAGAACATATGGGAGGCAGATAAAGATGTGTTTGGGAAAACTTATAGTCTTCAATACGTGTATTAGAAAAGTGAATACTGGCTGGGTGCAGCAGTTCATGCCTGTAATTCCAGCACTTTGGGAGGCTGAGGTGGGAGGATTGCTTGAGCCCAGGAGACTGAGACCAGCCTGGGCAACAAAGTGAGACCCTATCTCTACAAAAAATTTAAAAATTAGCCAGGCGTGGTGGTGCACACCTGTAGTCCCAGCTACGTGTGAGGCTAAGACAGGAAGACTGCTTGAGCCCAGGAGGTCCAGGCTGCGGTGAGCTGTGATTGCACCACTGCACTCTTAGCATGGGCAACAGAGCAAGACCCTATCTCAAAAAAAAAAAAAAGAGAGAATAAAATCAAGGAAGCCCTCTGAGAAGAAAACGAATTTTCTTCTTTTTTTTTTTTTTGAGATGGAGTCTCGCTCTGTCACCCAGGCTGGAGTGCAGTGGCACGACCTCGGCTCACTGCAACCTCTGCCTCCTGGGTTCAAGCAATTCTCCTGTCTCAGCCTCCCAAGTAGCTGGGACTACAGGTGCCTGCCACCATGCCCAGCTAATTTTTTTATTTTTAGTAGAGATAGGGTTTCACCTTGTTGGTCAGGCTGGTCTCAAACTCCTGATCTCAGATGACCCACTTGCCTCAGCCTCCCAAAGTGCTGGGATTACAGGCGTGAGCCACTGCGCCTGGCCCTAAATTTTTAAAAATAATAAAAATAATAGAAAAAAGATAAAAAAGAGTGAATACTAAAATAAGCATTCGCTTCAGTAAGTTAGAAACAATACAGAGTAAATTCAAAGAAAGTAAAAAGAAATATTAAAGTGGTAATGAACTAGAAAGCAAAGAAACAATGGATCAATAAACCAATAGTTGGTAATTTGAAGACTAATTTATACAAACCTCATGAAAGACTGGTTTTTAAAAGGTGGGGGGAGAAAGCACAAACTATTTTAGCAATGAAAAAGGGGCATAACTAGAGGTACAACAGAACTTTTTAAAGCATAAGCAAAAACCATGAACAGCCTTATGCTCTAAGTGGAAACTGTTACAACAATATAATTGACTTGAGAAGAGAAAATCTAAATGGACCTATAATCACTAAAGAAAGAGTAGTTTAGAATTTATAAAAGAGAGACAGAGTTCTAGATCACAGGTGGCAAACCACCCCATGGGCCAAATCCTGCCCTTATCTGTTTTGTAGGCCTCGGAGTTAAGAACGATGTCTGCATTTTTAAATGACTGATTGAAAAAAAATTAACAGAAAAAACTTAACACATGAAGATTATATGAAATTCAAATTTTAGCATCCACAAGTTTTGTTGGAAGAAAGCTGCAGCCACTGATTTACGTAATATCTACGACTGCTTTTCTGAGGCAACGGAAGCCCTGAGTAGTTGCAACACAGACCCTAGAACCTACAAAGCCTCAAAGATTTACTATTTGTCCCTTTACAGAAAAAGCTTTGGTGACCCCTGGCAAAGGGTATAAGGGGGGAAAAAAAGAAAAAAAACTATAAGGGTTGAAAAGGAAGGAAAAAATAGTTATTCATGAATGATATGACTGTCTACATAGAAAATTCAAGTCTACCACCCACTAAAATTAACAGAAGTAATAAACAAAGGAACTGTGCATAAGAAAAAATTATTAAAAAACTAATGCTCCTGCATGCCCACAAAAATCAAAGAGAAAAACTGACATTTAAATATCTATTTATAACAGTAACAAAAACAATTGAAACCTAAGCAATAATCTAACAAAATATATACAATTTTACAGCTATACTTTGAAAAAATGAGAGTGAAAGAAAAAAAGTATTATGGAGAAAATTATTAAGCTGAATTAAGGGACATGAAAGCATAAGACCTAAATAAACAGAGAGATATACCACATTTACGACTGGAAAGATTCAACCATACAAAAATGACAATTCTTTTGCAAATTAATTTGTGAAGTCAATGTCATTCCAATCAAAATTCCAATGGCGGGTTTGTGTTAGGGGGTTGGATATCACAAAACATTACAGACTGATCTTACAATGCTACAGAAGAGGAAAAGGCCAAGAATAGTCAAGAGACTAAGAGGTACTTGAGTAGGTTAACCCCACCAGGTATCAAAATCTCTCAAAGACAATTCAGTATTGTCTTTGAGACAATTCAGTATTGTCAGGAACAGACAAGACTCCTATGCCAATAAAAAGAACAGAGCCAACATGAAAGGAGGTGACTTACAAGTCAGCACAGAGAACAGACTCTTCAAAAAATGGTACAAACCAACTGGCCATGCGTATGGAATGTAAAATTGGATTCCTACCTTATCTTTTAACAAAAATAAAATTTAGATGGAATACAGACACATGAAAAACAAGAGCAAACTAGTAGATTACTGTAGAGGAGATCTTTATATAATTTTGTGAGAGGGAAGTAAAAGTACCCCCACCCTTCAAAAAATCACAAACCTCAAAGGAGAAGACTAACAAATTTGACATTCAAATTTTAAAATTCTGTAAAACAAATACCATACACATAGTTAAAAGATACCCCACACAAAGGTGCACAGAAATAGAAATAGAACTAAGCACACAGACACAATATGTGCATGTAAAACTGGCGAAAATTATATATCAGACAAAAGACTGGAATTCAGAGTACCTTAAGAAAAAAACTGCAAATCAACAGGAAAAAGAAAAACAAACCACTAGAAAGATGGGCAAATTACGTGACCAGGCAATTTACATAAGAGGAAACCCAAGGGGTAAACAGGCACAAAAAGATATTCAATCTCATTAGTAATTATAAATTATTAAAAGCAACATTTAAAGAACAATGAAATACCATTTCATGCCTTTCAGATGGGCATCAACATTTAAGTCTACTCTACCTAGGGCTGACACAGCCGTGCAGGAATTCCCACACTGCTATCAAAATGGAGAATAATCTGAAAATAAAATTTTTAAAGTTAGCAATGTGCATACTCTGTGATCCAGTAGTTCCTTTTACAGGAATCTACACAAGAGAAACTCTCACATGTATACATAAAACAACCTCTTGGTGGACGTTAACCATAATATCATTTATAACTCCCAAAATGCATAAATAACCTTAATGCCATCATTAGGAAAGTTTATTTTTTAAAAATATAATAACAAATACTTACAGATGAAGTAATATAAATGTCTAGGATTTGCTTCAGAATAATGTGGGATGACTGGGAAGGTAGGTTAGGGAGTGGACGTGCATTATGAATAATAATGACTAACCAGTGCTCAGTATATGCAAGTGCACTATACTTTCTATTTTAACAATGTTGGGAATTTTCCATACTAAAAAGTTTAAAAGCATGATATACTCACACCATAAAACCCTGTAAAGCAATTAAAATGAATAAACTAGATGTACTTGTATTGATGTAACTGTATCTCAGTACACTAAAATAAATAAAAGCAAGCTGCAAGAGGTTACTATATGATATTTAAAATGTAAAATTTTAAAACTCATGTAACTATATACTATTTACTGACATACAGATATATAATTAGGTATAAAAAAACATGGACAAAAAGATATACACCAGCTTCAAGAGAGTGAGGGAGAGAGGGTAATGAAGAGCACGTTTTCTTGTTAACTCTTATTTTTATCAGAAGACAAATCTGTGGCAAATACAGCAGATTGTCAACACATATAAAACCTGGGTGTGTGGCTGGGCATGGTGGCTCAAGCCTGTAATCCCAGCACTTCGGGAGACCGAGATGGGCAGATCACGAGGTCAGGAGATCGAAACCATCCGGGCTAACACGGTGAAACTCTGTCTCTACTAAAAAATACAAAAAATGAGCTGGGCGTGGTGGCAGGCGCCTGTAGTCCCAGCTACTCGGGAGGCTGAGGCAGGAGAATGGCGTGAACCCGGAAGGCAGAACTTGCAGTGAGCAGAGATCGTGCCACTGCACTCCAGCCTGGGCAACAGAGCGAGACTCCGTCTCAATAAAAAAAAAAAAATAATAATACAAAAAACTAGCCGGGTGAGGTGGCGGGCTCCTGTAGTTCCAGCTACTCGTGAGACTGAGGCAAGAGAATGGTGTAAACCCGGGAGGCGGAGCTTGCAGTGAGCTGAGATCCGGCCACTGCACTACAGCCTGGGCGACAGAGCGAGACTGTCTCAAAAAAAAAAAAAAAAAAATCTGGGTGCGGTACACAGAGGAGGGTGGGCACACAATGTAAGAGGGAATATCCAGGTGTTAATAAAGGCTCTATAGCACACGGGTCATTTGAGTTGTGTGGAGATGAAAAGATAAGAATCCATCAACCCAAGTAGAATATATGAAAAGAAATAAGAAAAGAAGAGATCCAAGAGGATATCTCTCGGAGAACATATCCATTCTATCTAAGAAGAGAAAACAATCCACACAAAAGGTTTCCCTGATGTTGGCCTCAAATCACTCTCACAATGCAATCCTTTTACCTGCAGACCATGAGCCTGGGGCAAGGAGAAGAGGTAGTAATGAAGTAAGTATTTGACCTTCATAACCCCCATGGCACCCAGATCACGAGTGCTCAGCAAGCATCTCTAGAGAAATGAATGAATGTCTTTATGTTTGTTCATTCACTCATTCAAGAAGTATCAACTGGGCAGCAGTCTGTCAGGCATTGCTCAGGCCCCAGGGATGCTTCAAACAGCAAGACTGAAAAGGTCCCTAGTCCCAGGGATGCTATCTGCTGGGGGAGGGGCACATGAGAGAAACAAATGGTGGGGGTCCCCAGCAGTAGACATGACAGCATGTGGCAAGAGAGAAAAGTCTCTTTGAAAAGGCAGGAAGGAAACAACAAACCAGTCATGCAGAAGCTGAGGAAGAGTATGGCAGGCAGAAGGCACACGGTGGTCAGGAAAGCTGCTGCAAAGGTTGGAGAAATCTAAAGGCTGGGCCTTGGGCAGGAAAATCAGGAACTATAAAATGAAACACAACAGTGCTCAACTCACTTCTACTCCCTCAAATTCACTAGCAGATATCAGCAGCTAGAATTCATGCTCCACTAGAAAAGACATAGATTAAGAAAAACGAAATAGGACCATCTTATTGCCCCTTCAGCCCACCTCTTCACTCTTAGCACCACTCCCACCCAAGCTAGCCTAAGGTATTAACTCATTCTTCCCAATCAGCATAAGGAGGATGGTCTTGTGGAGGTGACCTTATGGAAGCTGAGACCATCCCTGCACTCTCTGGTTGGCAGAGGGAAGGCAGAAAAAGGGAGTGGCTGAGTCCTGGCAGCATTACAGACTCATCCTGGAAAAACTCTTCCAAAAATAGTCTTGGAGGGTAGAGCTGACCCAGGGTGAGCATCTCAAAGACCCTCAGAGCTCACAGGGTAGGGGAGACATTCAGGTATCTGGAGCTGGGGCTGGAAATTGCCTCAGACACTAACCAGCAACAGGGACCTCGGCCAGATGGGCCTCCTGGACGAATCACATCCTCAGCCTAAGTGTTTTGCAAACTGTCAAGCTCTATACATACATGAGCTCTATACCTATGCATACTCTACTTTAACCCATATTTATTAAGCACCTACTATGTGCCAGTTGCTGTACTAAGTACTTGGATCCAACAGTGAACAAAACTAGCAAAACCCCCTACTCTCTCTGAAGTTAATTTCAGTGGAGCAGAGTGTATCACACAGCATGCTGGAGGATAAGCGCTGGGGGGAAAGCACAGGAAGATGGTGAGGACTGGGAGGGAGGGTGCAGTTGTGAAAGGGCAGGTATTGTGCCCTGAAGAGAAGGTGTAGAGCAGGTGATGGCAAACTCTTTCTTAAAGGGCCAGATACTAAGTATTTTAGGCTTTGCTGGCCATACAGTTCCATCACAGCTACTGGACTCTGCCACTCTACTGCAAAAGCAGCCACAGTTAATATGTAAATGAATGGACATGGTTATATTCCAATAGAACTTCATGAATAAATATTATAGGCTGGGTTTGACATCCGTGTCTTGGTATATGAAGAACACCAGGTGCTCTGTAACTGGTCTGCATGCTGCTTGGCCTCCTACTCAACAGTGAGATTGGAGACAGGGTTCATGCTGCTTATCCCCAGTAAACCCAGGGAACTACTTCCAGTCAATCACAACTGACAAGTGCAAGGAAGTGTATGTGCTCTCACTAATCATTTACTAACTGAATGGATGTAATAATACCTATTGAATGAGCAACTACTACTTGGCATTGTGAGTCATGCTTAGCAAACAGGACTCAATAGAAGGCGGCAGTGGTGCATGTGGTTATTTACTCCTGAAATTACAACTACAAGGCCTAGCCCCGTGCCTGACTAGGAAGAAACTCAATAAGGACTACTGGATCTAAATCAATCTGCTATTCAAGAGTTCCAGAGCTTCCTGAGGATCAGGTGCACAAGGGAACTTTCTGGCAAGAAAGTCTTATCGAACTTTCTGACAAGCTTCAGTAACTACACTAAGTAATGCTGTTAAGTCAAAGATGCACAGTGGGCCCACTGAGGGAAGGCCGAGCAAGCTCGGCGTACCAACATGAATCTGTCCCCTTCCCATTTCACCTCCCACCACAGCCCTGCCCTGCACTGGCAGTCTGCAGCCCAGGGGGAAGCACTTACATAGAATCGCAGCAGAGCCCCATCTGAATTGCAGCACCAGGACCTCCTGCCCAAATACTCGTGGGCTGTGTTCAGCAGCATGAGGGAGGATGGGAGCATGGGCGTCTCCGACATCCCTAGGGAAAGCCCAGGCCAACAGAAACAGAGTTAGTGTGGGAACCTGTGTGCCTGCAGGGGCTGCGAGGCTCAGTCTCTTCTTTTCGGGCTTTGCTGTCTTTATCAACATGACCATAGATTTTTCTTTTCCTTTTTTTTTTTTTTTTTTTTTTTTTGCCTTTTTAAATAAGTAGGGACTTGAATGGCTTTACTAAAGCAATACACGCTTATCAAAACACAATTCAAGCCATGTAGGAAAATATAAAGGAGCACACTTTATCCATCAAAATACTAGCCCAGAGAGAACCAATGCTGACATCTGGTGAACCTCCAGTCGAAGCATCCTTCTGTGCATATCTGATGCATTTTGAATGAGAGAAAAGTAATTTATAACAATGGAACCCATACTACACATGCCATTTCTTAACTTAAAAAAAAAAATTTTTTTTTAAGAGATAGGGTCTAACTGTTGCCCAGGCTGGAATACAGTTGGCACAATTATAGCTCACTGCAGCCTCCAATTCCTGGTCTCAAACAATCTTCCCGCCTCAGTCTCCTGAGTAGCTGGGATTGCAGGCGCAAGCTACCACACCCAGCTAATGTTTTGATTTTTTGCAGAGACAGGGTCTCAGTATGTTCCTCAAGCTGGTCTCGAACTCCTGGCCTCACGTGATCTTCCTGCCTCGGCCACCCAAAGTGTTGAGACTACAGGCATGAGCCATGGCGCTTGGCCTTAAAAGTTCTTAGATTTAGGTCTACCTGAATAATACAGAAGAAAAAGAGTAAAACAGGAGGAAAAAGAACTACTGAATTCCAGTTACACATTCGTTTACCACTACAGGTATTGTTTGTTTATAAAGGTCCCTCAGTATTTTTGAAACTCCTGGCCATAACCCATTAATGACTTATAACTAGCATTTTTAGAGTGGATCAGGACAGAACATGTCAGAAGTCACTAGAAATAACTTTCTTTCATGAAATTTATTTTGTACTTTTTCTTCTTTTTTTTAAAATGAGGTCTCACTTTTGCCCAGGCTGGAGTGCAGTGGCACGGTCATAGCTCAGCTCCTGGGCTCCAACTCCTGGGCTCAAGTCAACCTTCCTTCTCAGCCTCCCAAGTAGCTAGGTCTATAGGTGCCACCACCACACCTGGTTTTTTTTAAATTTTATTTTACTTTTTGTGGATACAGGGTCTTACTACGTTGCCTGGGTTGGCTTCAAACTCCTGGCCCCACGTAATCCTTCTGCCTTGACCTCCTCAAGTGTGGGAATCACACGAGTGAGCCACCATGCCCTGTTGCTTTTGGCTCTTAATTGCAACCGTTTCAATTTGTCGTACTCATTCTGCTCCTTGCTGTTTGCATTTATGACTTCATAACGGTGAGATTTAGTTTGCAGTGTTTTCCTCAGTTCTACAATTCTCCTTTTTGTTTCATTCTGTTTGTCAGCTCAAAAGTCCAATCCTGCTTCCTCTGCCTTCCTAATAAACCCTGTCTTAGTATCTGCTTCCAGAGAATTCAGTATGTGATAACTACTATTATTTTTCCTGGGTGATAATATCCTCACCAGGCACCTCACCACCCAACCATAGTGCGTTTTATCCCAGAGCCCCTTCCCTCAGCTAAGTCTGCACACTGGAAGATGGCAGGATCCTGTGGCTCTTCCTGCCTCTGCCAAGGCCAAGGGTGGGATGGAGGAGCATTCCCCTCATGCCACTCTCCACAAATGAGAATATTAATAATATTTCCCAGGATTTGGTCAACTTGCTATCTTCTCTCAGTTCTCCTGCTGAGGGACATGCAGAGACAAAGCCACACCTACTGCTACTCCACCAGAATCTTTCTTTTTTCTTTCCTTTCTCTTTCCTTTCCTTCCTTTCCTCTCTCTCTTTCTTTCTTTGATGCACTTTTCAAAGTTTAAGGTATTTGACTATTCCTCTATCTGTGTTTACTTGCTGGCAGTTTTTTTGAAAACTAATTTTTGTTTGCATAATTAATTTTGAGGGAAAGGAGACTTTCAATCCAGAAGTCTTTTTTGTGTTACTTTTCTAAGAAAAATAACAAAATTTATAGTTGTAAACTTCAATTTTTTTTTCACCACTAAAATCCTTTTGGAGAACAATAAGGTACCAGAGGTAATAACTGTCAAGAGCACTAAAGATATACATTGCTAGAAATTTATCCTAAAAAAACAATTGGGTAGAAGCAAAAAGGCATGCATGAGGTGTTCATCACGGCATGACCTGTAAGAATGAAATTTTTTTTAAGAGATAGGGTCTAACTGTTGCCCAGGCTGGAGTACAGTTGGCACAATTATAGCCCACTGCAGCCTCCAATTCCTGGACTCAAACAATCTTCCCGCCTCAGTCTCCTGAGTAGCTGGGACAAACTAAGGGTTCAGCAGCGGGGACGGTTCAACAGAGCATGCACCTCTCATCAGCATGATGAAAACAATGGAGCAAAACGGAGCAACAGCCTTACAAATCAGGGAATAAAAGCCTTTTGCAATCTGGCCCCTCCTCCCCTGTCCAATCCCCATGCCCCAGGTCTCCTGTCTGATTTAAGGCTTGCTCAGTCCCTGGCCCCACTCTGCCTCCCCAGTGTCTTCCTCTGCCCCTGCTCTTCCATCAGGGCTCAACTCACCCCACACCCACACCCATGGACAGCATCAGGTGGCCTCCTCTCAGTCCACCACACCAGCCTGATGCTGTTAGACAGTTGATCTGTCTCCCACCACCACAAACCTGTCAAGGCCAGAGGTATCCTATTCACAGAGCCCTGACATGTCGTCAGCAGCTGATGAACTTCTGAACAGTGAATAAAATTAGAGAGAGAGTGTGAAGGGAAGGAGAAAAACCATATGTTAACTCTGGTTTTCTCTGAGCAGTTGGAATAGGGATGACTCTTTCCTTTCCACTTTTTCTTGTTTCACAAGTTATTGAGGAAAAATCTTCAATAAACTTAATTTTAAGTTAATTGAATACAAGCATCGATAGACACATACTATTATAACAACTGCACACAAACTAGGTGTGCATTAGGCCAAGTCTGGACAGCAAATGCAAGAAAACAAAAAATGGAAAAAGAAAAAAAAAGATCTCTCTGATAAGATTATAGGTGATCTTTCCTTTAAGTGTCATTTAGCTGTCGTACTGTTGTTTCTTCAATCCAGCACATTTTCTACCATTGCACTGACCATGGATCCAGGGCCATCTCCATTAAGGGTCTAGGGCAGGCCCTCCCTGGATTCTCATCACTCAGCACCCACCATGAGCCAGGCATTGACTCACCATGGTGATTCATGGCTTTATTATTTCATTTCATCCTCAGAACAACTTTCTGAGGTAGATACTACTATTCCCAATATGGGTATGTGGAAATAGAGGCTGAGGTTATATGACTTGCCCAAGGTCACACATCTAAGAAGTGACAGTTGGGATGTGGAACCTGTGCTCGCTCTATGCTGCCCTCGGCTTACCATCCCTTGGGGTGTCATGGGGATTAAAGGAGCTAGTGGGTACAAGGCCTCCTGGAGCAGTGTCAGCATTCCTCATAAGTAGTAACCTCTTGTCACTCCCTCCATGCTGCCACCTGCACCAAACATGCAACGTTCACATACCCAGGACTCCCATGCCCACTGCACAGTAAGCTCCCTTAAGGAAGAACCAAGAACACTTCTGCCTCTGTCCAGGCGCAAGCAAAATGCTTGGATTGAGTGGATGGAGCCCCACTCACAACATCTGGATAAGGTCCAGGACCCTAGGGCAGAGGACAGGGGCAAGGACATGGGAATTGGAGCTCATCCCCACTGCGCCCACTTCCTGTGCACCTTCCTCCGCTGGGTTTTGGAGCTGCTGCTGGTGGCACAGAGAGTGGAAGGTGTCCTCCTCCTGCCAGATGATCCGGTGTAGAATGATCCAGGGCAGCACTGAAGAGACATGGGGCTCCTTAGCCTCCTCCTGCACGGCCATGCTGCAGTCAATGACCTGACAGTGAGGGGCGGGAGACAGCAGAAGTGTCACAGCAGGGTAAGCCTTCAGGGCAGACTGAAGGGAGGCAGGAGGCCTCTTGGGGAGCTGGTACATGCTACCTGCCCACCCCCACTGTTCTGATGTAGGCACTGTAACCTAGCAGATCCTCAACATGTCATCGGACAGAGGCCCATAATGTCCAAAGATAGAGTCACACCACCCTCTATGCCACATGCAGTTACTGACACCCTCAGTACCTACTATGTGCTGCATCCTGTGAACAGGGCATGGGGGAGCTGAGAGCCCAGAGAGAAGAGAGCAATGGGCAAGCTATACAAGTGCAAAGCGTCAATATGGCTGCTGCAATGAGAACAGATGCAGCCACAATGGCTTACAGAGGAGGGGTGGGGCAGACAGGGGAGAGCCTTTTGAAAGTTTCCAGGTGTGTGGCTGTGGTGTGTCCAACACTCAGGGAGGGCAAGGAGTGGGGGCAGAGGACAGGCATGCAGGCAGGGACCCCAGAGGGTAGCCCAGGAGGGCTGCAGCCAAGGGAGCACAAGACCAGGGGGAGAGACAGGCCTGGGGCTCAGTGTACCTTAGGTGACACACAACCTGGAGGGAACATGAAGGGTTTTAAGTGAGGGGGGAGCACATTCACATCTGTTTTGGAAAGGTGCCTTTGTGGTTGGACAGTGGCTGGGAGGGGCAGAGGAGACTGCGGCGAGTGTGCTGCCACAGCTCAAGCAAGAGTAGCAGTGGCTTGGACTATAGCAGAAATATGAAGACAGAGGGAGAAACAAAGGGTGGAGGGGTAAGGATATAGATTTGGCAGGACTTGCTGAAGGTCTGAGCGGGAATTGAGGAGACAGCCCAGAGTGCTTCACAGGAAGATTCTCTGCCTTAAAGACTTCCTGGACAACGCAGGGTGCTGTGACCACTCCTTAGCTGGAAGTGCCAGGACGGCATGGGATGCTGGAGCCATCACGGCCTACGCTCTGGCTCCCATTCTGCCTCTGACTCGCTGCAGGCAGACCAGTGCCTCCCTGTGAGGTTATTTCTTCCCCTCTGGGGTGGATGGTCTGGAAGAACCCTGTGGCACCAAGTGCTACATAGACTCTAATCCCGAGATCCAACCAGCCCCAGGAAGGTCTGCAGTCTGCACACAAACCCCTCCTCAGATCCCGAAAGTTCCAGCCAAAGAAGCCATCATGTCCCCTTTGGGTGCCTAATTAGCAATGAAAGCTTAACTACTGAAGAAGAGGGATGTCAGAGAGACATACCTACTGGGGCAGAGCAGGGTGAGAAGGAGCCAGGGGTTACCTGGATGAGGTTGTTGGTGAGCCGCACGAGGCCAGTGGTGGAGGATGATTCCTTCAGGATGCTGCCACTGCTGTCGGCAGAGAGGGCCTGCTCGATACCCATCAGCAGTTGGGTCACTGTGGCCACCCACTCCTCCTTGGCTGCAGCCTCACTTGAGTTCACCATCTGCTGGACGGCCTCATTCAGAGCCACATCGGAACACTCAAAACACTGCCGATAGTCCTTCAGCCGGAGCAAGGAGTCCTAGTACAGCAAGAAGCCAGATGAAGTGCACGGTGAGCTCAGCACATCTGGGCCCAAGGCCTGAGCAGGGACAACTGAAGGAAAACAGATGAGGGGCGGCAAAAGAAAGGGAAGTACGAGCCCCAGCACAGCATAGGTCCCATGCAGCCCAGAGGTGCCTGGAAGGGCAGTCTGATGGCCTGTGGGCAATGGCAGCAGAGAATGTCACCAGTCACGGAGCTTTCAGAAAGGCTTCACCTCTGTACCTCACCTTCCCCATTTATAAAGTAGGGACGCTGGGAATGAGGCTGCAGAGCCAGCCAAGGTGAGACAGGGACCCCAACACCTGTCAGCTCTCCCCAGAGCCACTGTGCCCATCCAGTGCCAGGGCTCTGGAGGGGGTTCAGCAAGGAAGGGGCAGACTGCCAGGGAGGGACTATCTCAGTGGAGGAGGGCCTGAGCCAAGACCACAACAGAGGCAACTAGCCAGGCAACGCTAAAGTCATCATTCTATCAGGTCCCTCCTCCCCAGGTGCCCTGATGGGGCCAATGTGTAAGCTATATGAGCTTCAGCCACCACATCATCCACTCAGCGGCACTGTGGGCCTTAAATGAGCTGATGTGCATATTACACTCAGCACAGTGCCTGGCACATGGAAGAGTTCTGAGAACACCACACTGAACTGTTACTTCTATTTTAAAAGCTTCTCTTTGGAAGGAAGCCATTGCTTTTTGCAAAGCTCCTTTTTTTTTTTTTGACCTAGAATACAACCTATTTAAATGCCTGGGATCTCTCTTTCATCACTGTGCTGGTGCATGGGGAAACACAGTCTGTCTGTGAATTCACAGATCTGGTGGGCTGCTTGTTACACCTGCAGGAAGCACCTGCTGCCCGGTGCCCCGTTGGGCTCTAACCTCGCCACAGCCCAGGACTGGCAGTGGCTCCTCCCAACCTTGACACATGCAGCTGCCACTCTCTGAGGTTAAACCAACAGGTGTGGGGTCAGAAATACCTGAAACTGCCTTTGGAATGTGGTGTAGTATCTGAACACAGATCAACACCTCCCCCAATTTATAAATCCTAATTGCCAGGAAAATGGGGCCCGTGTTTCATTAGAGAAAGCCAGCACCCTTTACCAGGAGGCCACTGGGGTTCGAGGGTGCCTAAGGGTGCTGATATGGGGGTCCAAAGCCTGAGCTGATGCCTCCTGGTCAAAACACCCAACATGTGAGAGCCAGAGGATTATTTTCCAGCATGATAAAGACTATTAAATGCAACCAGAGTCATTGTGAAAGTCAGGGACAAGACAAGGACCTGCTAATGGTGCTCTAAAATATGACATAATCTCCAGGGCTCAAGGCCAGAAAGAGCAAAAAAGTAGAATAAACACCAACGAATGAGGGGACCAAATTACCATCGACTGGGGGCAACACAATCATCTACCCAAACACAATCAAACAAGCCAGACAGAAAACAAGCGATAATGGGAACTCAGTGAAGCACTCAGACTCAAACACGAAAAATCAATAGGGTTCCTATGAGCCAGCAACGTAGGAATACATGGAAAAGATAATGAACAACAAGAAGATTCTGCTCAATATAGCAACCAAAAATATTAAGGACTAAGAGTCAACTCAACAAGACACAAACTATCCAATTAGACTGAAGAACATAATAGGCAGCTTGCCCACTGGGAGAAAGTGCCACTATACACCTACGGGAGAAGACTGCAAGTTCACTGCCCCGCTTGAGAAAAGCTAAATGAAGCAAGTTAAATGCAAAACATAAAACATTAACTCTGCAGGAATAAAACAAAAGCAAATACTCTTTTTATCTCTCTGTTGATGGGTCTCTTGTCAGCCTCCCCTCCAGCACATGGAGCAGCCTTCCTCTTGGCCCAGTGCCAGGCACCCCATAAAAACTCAAGCTATGTGTGTAGAATAAGTGGATGAAGGCCAGGCACGGTGGCTCACGCCTGTAATCCCAGTACTTTGGGAGGCCGAGGCGGGCGGATCACGAGGTCAGGAGATCCAGACCATCCTGGCTAACACAATGAAACCCCATCACTACTAAAAATACAAAAAATTAGCTGGACTTGGTGGTGGGCGCCTGTAGTCCCACCTACTCAGGAGGCTGAGGCAGGAGAATGGCGTGAACCCGGGAGGCGGAGCTTGCAGTGAGCTGAGATTGCACCACTGCACTCCAGCCTAGGCAACAGAGCCAGACTCTTGTCTCAAAAAATAAATAAAGAAGTAGATGAATATTTCTCCACTCTTGGAAAGACTGTCTAAGCATAGGAACAAAAACCACAATGAGCAATGAACAAAATCACACATGTATGAAAATATCAAAAGATTTGACAGCATAAAAATTCAAAACTTCTCGGCAATTTAAAAGCAAACAATTGGGAAAAAAATATTTGCAAGATCTGTTAAGAAAAAGATCACTATCTTTAATATACAAAAAGCACTCCAAATCAATAAGAAAACACTCTGAATACAAAACTGAGCAATAATCTGGAGTCCTTAATTCACAAAAAGCAGGCGTTTCCACAGCACTCGGCCCATACCTCAAGCACAGCCCTTATCACAGTTCAGTGCCTGCCCAAGCAGCAGCTCCTGCCCCATCAATGGGGTATCCTGTCACATCCAGCTGTTCTAGAAGACAGTAAGAGCAAGACCACATCTGAGCACTGAGGGCATCCTATGGAGGCAGAGTCCACTGGCCTCTCCCCACTTTCTCCATCCCAGCACCCTTCTTGGTACACTGGCTGTCCCTCCCACACATAGCCATGCTGGGCCATCTTGAAGCCTGCCAGGTAACTGAGGTCACACGCATCTCATCCCCTGATCTTGGCTTGGGCCCAACTGACCTCCTCTGCCAGGAGCTGGAGCCTCCTTCCCTCCACCCTCTTCTCCCTTCTGCTTCCCCAAACCAACTGTTTCTTCCCCTTTCCCCAGGACTGAGGTGCTTCCATTTGTTCCCACAGTTGCACCTCTTAACTATTTCCCAGTTCAAGAATGTTAATGATTAAAATGCTTTGTGGAATCTGTGCAAAAAACCTGAGAGAAGACTGGACTCTTTCCAAATTGAAAGGGAAGTACCCAATAAGATAAAAAACACAATGTGATTAGTAGGATGAAGCATAAGGGACCAGGACTCAATGCCACTAAGCATATTTTGAGTATTATCTTCCATATTTATCTCGGTGCCAACTCAACTCTCCTGAGGATGGTGGCAACGATGACAGCAGTACCTCCACAGCACCTGCTAGTGACAGGCATGGTGCCAACACACATTAACTTGTGTAATCCCTACAACAGGACTCTGAGCTAAGGACACTGGTCATCCCCATCCTAGAAATGAGGAACTGAGCTCAGAGAGGTTGAATAACTGCCCAGCACCCAGCAGCTGCCAGCTCCCTGGCAGGCTCTTGGTAAGAGTTTACCTCCTGAGGAAAAGAAGCACAGAAGGATTCAGGAGGGCACATGAGGCTTCAAACATAAGGCTAGTGTTATTTTTCTTCAGCTACATGGGTCTTTATTTTATCTTGATTCTTCACACTGTACAGATATTTTAGCCACTTTTATATTTACCTTAAAAAACAATACAAAACGAGATGGATGAATAAACAAGTAGATGGACAGATGATGACCTGACCATTCTTCCTTCCACCTCTGCCATGCAGAAGTTCTGAGTCAAGTGTGGGGATCACCTTGAGCCACGCAGAACCCTAGAACCTGCACTCCTTGGTTCTAACTTTCCACTAGTCTTGACCGTATCTTCTGACTAACATCTTCCTGGGGGCTTAGTGGTGTTGATATCCACTCTCTTCTAGCTATGTGTTAAGAACACATATGCTATGCTTCTCAGAAGTTGCCCTTGACCCTAACCACACCCACCCTATCTCCAGGGGCACCCTGGGCCCCTCAGAGCCCTACAGCTCCCTGAGTGGCAGGCATCAGAGAGGTTGGACCAGTTAAGACAAAGATATGCAGAGACCCCCCTGAGAGTCAGGGGCAAAGGGAAGCAATTTTACAGACAGCATTGAGCATATCTACATTCCACCAGGTGGTGGTTTAAGTCAGAATGAAGCTGGGCCCAGTGGCTCATGTCTGTAAACCTGCAGCGCCAGGAAGTGAGCCTACCACACAGCCTCCAGAGAATAAACACAAACAAGCAAGGAGAGAAGGTGCAAGTGGGTGTGAGGGACACTGGCAGCACACACCTGAAGTAGAAGCAGCTGGGCTGGCCTCTCAGGAATGGAAGTCATAAACTCCAGGTGTTTGGCCCGGTCAAACCCACTGGTGCACAAAGTGGGGCGGAGCAGATGCACAACAGCCTTGTAGTCACCGGCTTCGTACAGTCGCTGAATCTCCTCCAGGGACTGGCACCGCTCCAGCGACTTCAGGTTCTTATCAATCTGAAAAAGGCCCGGCAATGCTGTATGAGGGTAAACCCCTCAGCCCCTGCCCCACCGAATCTGGCCAGTGTTTGTTTTTATCAGAATTGGATGAGGAGAATAAAAATTAGACTATGTTCCAGTCCCCCAAAAATTAGACTCCTCCTTCATACATCAGTGTTTACACTAAATGTGTGTGTTAAAAGAATTTCTATTAATGGCAAGGCATCCAATTCTTTAAAAAACAAGCACATCAAAAACCAAAAACTACCCAGAAGCAAAGGAGTTCCAGGAAAGCATCCGCCAAGACAGCTGGACAGCCTTGTGGTCACAGGTCAGTGAACCAGTCTTGCAGAACCACGGAACATCAGGCTGTCAGAGACTCAGCAAGCCTGGACCAGAGGTTGTCATACGCTACACGCAGGACCTGATGAAGCCCTGGCATGTAGACAGCCCTGTACCTGAACTTGTCCCTGAAACAACTCTAGGAGAGTCTGAAGGCCACTTTCAGCCAGTGTGGACATTTCACAGATACAGAACTGCAGCAGGGTCTGAAACTGCACAATGAATAAAGTGGCACCTGGGTAGAACCTGGCATATAGGCCACACACTGCTCACCCAACCCCATGGCCAGCCCAATACTGGTCTCCTCCAGCTGGTATTTCCTTCCAGTACCACTGGGATGGCTGCCACACACAGCCAGGAGAGCAGACCAATGACTGCTTCTAAATAGTGCTGGTGAGAACTCCCATACCTGCTTTCCACCAGGGATCTGCAGTGCCCCAGTGTACTAGAGCAGCCTTTCCCTGGCCTCTTCTGTCTTCCCACCAGGGGCCCCGCTCAGAATGTGGGAAGCTCTCTTGTTCCTCAGAAACAGGTCAACCCTGGGCTAACTATGCCAAATCACAAGAAATCTTTGACTAAGAAACACCATTTAAAAACTTTCAGCCAGGCACAGTGGCTCACACCTGTAATCCTAGCACTTTGTGAGGCCAAGGCGGGTGGATCACCTGAGGTCAGAATTCAAGACCAGCCTGGCCAGCATAGTGAAACCCTGTCTCTACTAAAAATACAAAAAATTAGCCAGGCATGGTGGCAGGCACCTGTAATCCCAGCTACTCAGGAGGCTGAGGCAGGAGAATCCCTTGAACCGCGGAGGCAAAGGTTGCAGTGAGCCGAGATTGCACCATTACATTCCAGTCTAGGTGACAAGAGTGAAACTTCATCTATGGGAAAAAAACAAACAAGCAAAAATTCTCACTCACCTCCTCCAGGGAAACCACAGAGTCGTTATGGAGGTTGGGTAGCCGGATGACAATGTCTCTTCGCCCAGCCCCTGCCTCCACCTGGATGGCAGTGGAACTCTGGAGCATTTCTGTGCAGATGTCATAGTTCTCCAGGGCCTGCTCCATGTCTCCCTGGTTAGAAGGAAAACAAGTCAGGGGACCAAAGCATAAGATTGACTATGATGTGCCAGATGCCTTACACCTCTGATCTCACTAGACTGTGGAGGCCATGAGGGTGGGGTTTTTACCAATTACTACTGTAATCCCTAAGAAGGGCCTGGCATGTAGCTCAGGCTCAATAAATACTTGTTGACTGAATGATCAGTCCCTATCAACTCTGTGAGGGTAGATATCATAAACCACATGTTGCAGATGAAAACACTGAGGACACTTGAGCAGAGCCAGAGTTGGGAGCTAGGCCTGTCCTAATTCCAAAAGTAGTGTTCTTCACATCAAACAGTGTTGCTTCCTTTAGACTAAATGGTTGCTGACAGGGCCCTGGCAATCTCTTGACTCATTCTACCACAGTGTACCAGTACCACCATGTGCAAGGTACTAGGTAACAGCCAATCCATCCTGGCCTTCCAGACCAGGCTCTGAAGAGAAGCTTTCCCAGAACTCTCACAAAACAGGTGAATAATTCCCTTTTAGAAAGCTCTGTATCTGTTTATTCATTTGCTCAGGCTCTCTCAGGAAAACATAAGCAAACAGTCAAGATGCCAAGGCAATCTTGAGTAGGGGAGGCAGAGGCAGAGCAAATGCCTTCCAGAGCTCTGTGGTTATGCTGAAGAGCTGCTTACAGACTGGTATCAAGCTTGGAAGTCTGAGATGCTGAGAATTCCCCACCGTGTCGCACTTTCTCATGCCAAGCCCCGTGCCCGGGCAGGTGCTATGCATGTACACATGCACGCACACACACACACACTCACACACACACAGACACACACCCTCAACATGGTCAGTTTTCTGCCCATCCTGCTGGGTGTCAGGGCATACTCCCCAAGCAGCTGACCATGGAACCAACCTGCAGCGCCAGGAAGCGAGCCTTCAGCCAGTAAACACGGACCACAAACTCCAGCCAACCATCCTCGAACAGGTCACGCTGGGATGAGGCAAACGACAGCTGTAGGAGGTCACCAAGGCAGTGGGTTCCTGGGAAGTCAGGTCCAAATCTGCCATTCACCATACCAGCAGGGCAGTTCCGAGGAGACACTAAAAACCATGAGGCCAACAAGTCAACTTCATGTGTAGCATCCTAATGCCCTTCTGCTTCTCAGAAGTTGCCCTCGGCCCTAACCACACCCACCCTATCTCCAGGGCCACCCTGGGCCCCTCAGAGCCCTACAGCTCCCTGAGTGGCAGGCATCAGAGAGGTTGGACCAGTTAAGACTTTAAAGATATGCAGAGATCCCCCCTGAGAGTCAGGGGCAAGGGGAAGCAATTTTACAGACAGCATTGAGCATATCTACATTCCACCAGGTGGTGGTTTAAAAGTCAGAATGAAGCTGGGCCCAGTGGCTCATGCCTGTAATCCCAGCACTTTGGGAGGCAGAGGCAGGTAGATCACTTGAGGTCAGGAGTTCAAGGCCAGCCTGGCCAACATGGTGAAACCCCATCTCTGCCAAAAAATACAAAAATTAGCTGGGCATAGTGGAACACGTCTGTAGTCCCAGCTTCTCGGGAGGCTGATGTGGGAGAATCGCTTGAGCCTGGGAGGCAGAGGTTGCAGTGAGCCAAGACCATGCCACCGCACTCCACCCTGGGTGACAGAGCAAGACCCTGTCTCAAAAAACAACAACAACAACAACAATAACAATCCATATCACCAGAAAAATTACTGAAGCTACATAAAGCACTGCATTGAATAGTCACACCAAAACTGAGATCCCACTTCCTTCTATTTCACAGCAAAAGCAGATTGGTGGCTCCCTCTGGGGGCTTAGCTCCTGCTAACCACTTCTTGAGTATCCAGGAGATTTCCCTGGGACCCCGACAAGCCAACCCAAAAAATGTGCCTACTATAAATGTAAGTCTAAATACCATAACTCAGTCTCCCCACTTCAGCTTTCTCCCAGCTGCTGGGGGGTTCAGAAATTAGCTTGGCCACAGAACACATAATGCCGCCTACCTGCAGAGCTTCTGCCTTTGGTCAGCAGCCACTGGTCCAGCTGAAGCTCCATGCAGGAGAGAGACATCAGCATCATGTCCTGCAGGACAGGCATAGGAAAGTCAAGAACAGTATCACAAAGCCTCTTCAGTGTTGGGGGTAGGAGGCAGTGGAAAGAAACAAAACTAAACTTTACTTTTTGATAAAAATATAATTCTTTCTATTCACTTGCCATTTCATAAGTGATAATCAGTGACCACTCTTCAGGACATAAAAAGAGCCACATGGATGTATGTTGGGACAAGACTTGGGAGGGGCCAGGAGACCTGTCTTCAGAGTTCTTGTCCTGTTGAAGAGGCAACCCTGTCACCTGCCAAGTGCTGGGCCAGACACTGCATCCAAATTACAGAATTCAACCCTTAAAAGTTTTGGGCAGCTGGCCGGGCATGGTGGCTCACGCCTGTAATCCCAGTATTTTGGGAGGCCGAGGTAGGTGGATCACGAGGTCAGGAGATCGAGACCATCCTGGTTAACACGGTGAAACCCTGTCTCTACTAAAAATACAAAAAAAAAAAAAAAAAAAATTAGCCGGGCATGGTGGCGGGTGCCTGTAGTCCCAGCAGCTCGGGAGGCTGAGGCAGGAGAATGGTGTGAACCCGGGAGGTGGAGCTTGCAGTGAGCCAAGATCGTGCCACTGCACTCCAGCCTGGTCAACAAGCGAGACTCAGTCTCAAAAAAAAAAGTTCTGGGCAGCTGGTATACCATTCCCAGGGCACTTGAGGAAGCTGAGGCTCAGCGATGAGAAGGCACTTGCCCAGTGGGCACAGCTGGAAAGTTATCATCAGCTTGCTTTGCCTGGGGATCAAAGCCCTGGTTCCTCCTGCTGTTTCACAACTGCTCCAGGGGAGCATGGCCTGGTGGGAAGAAGTTGCCAGGAGGTAGTCCCGAGGTATCCCAGTGGAGGATGCCCAGCAAGGGATGGCTGACCTACAAGCTCCTCTACCTCCTGTGCTCACAAGTCAGAAAGACCACCAGGCATCCCTGAATGTTTCTGGTGCTCCTGCCTCAGCATTCAGTGTCCCATCTCCAACAGGAGTACGGGGCCAGAGCACCTTGTGTTCCCTTAAGCTCTAGGAGGCACCAAGTGGAGGAGGCTGGGGTGTGGAACGCAGCAGGAAGACAAGGCTCAGTGAGGCTCAGCCCCTACTGCTGGCGGCCCCCAACGCTTCTCTAAGCACCCTATTTAGCTTCTGCTGTTTTATCATCTGTTAAAAATAGTCACAGGCCATTTATGGCCTGTTATGTCTTGACATCATAACATCATAACATAGTGAGACCCCCATCTCTAAAAAACAAAACAAATATATATATTTTTTGAGACGGAGTCTCACTCTCTCACCCAGGCTGGTGTGCAGTGGCGTGATCTTGGCTCACTGCAAGGTGTGCCTCCCGGGTTCACACCATTCTCCTGCCTCAGCCTCCCCAGTAGCTGGGACTATAACCGGGTGTGGTGGTGTAAGGCTGTACTCCCGGCTACTCAGGAGGTTGAGGTGGGAGGATTACCCGAGCCCAGGAGGTTGAGGCCGTGAGCTGTGACTGCATCACGGCACTCCAGCCTGGGCAACAGAGCAAGACCTTGTTTCAAACAACAACAACAAAAGCCTCAGTCACAGTCCTTGCCACCTCAAACCAAACCAAATGTTTCCCTTTTCTCCAGCTTCTCCTGGCAAGCCTTCCTCTGACTCAGTACACAACCCGAGAAGCCCTTCTCATGACTCTCATTCCCTCACACATCCCATGTCCAGCTCTGCAACCACAATCCAGCATCCCACTATTACCACTGGATCTCAGCCACTGTTCACCTGGCATGACAGCAGCCTCCTGACAGCCCCCTGAGCCCACTCTCACCCGCAAGTGTATCCTCCACTCAGCCATCAGGGAGCTTTCTAGGCACAAACCCGGTTTAGTGACTTCCTGCTTCAACACCCACAAAAAGCCCAGGTTCCAGGCCCACAAGTAGATGCAGCCAAACACAACAGCAGCCCCACACCCATGCAAGATCCCTGTCCCCATGCCCTGGTCCCAGTTCAATACCAGCCCTTGAGAGGTTCCCCCCAACCTTGATGTGCTTGTTGCTGCAGTCCCTCAGCAGCGGGTTGGGCAGGCTGGTGCTGTGCCTCCTCCAGCTGTGGTAGACGCTGAGCACGACCTCCGCCAGGCCTGGAGGCCACCTTAGCAAGAACTTGTGGCCCATGCCTTTCAGGTAGCGCATCATCAGCTCCAGGATGCCCCCGTTGGTTAGGTTCTCCAGCAGGAACTCATGCACGTCCTGCTTTTCTGCCCAGGGAGCAAGAACAACCTGACTTGAACAAAGAGGACCTTCCATGCCAGGATCTCCCATTTTCTTTGGGACAGTAAAGACTGTTCCCTCCCTCTACCATCTGATCCAGGTGGACATGATACCACGTTGTGGTGCTGAGATCAGGCTACTGGGTTCAATGCCTGGCTCCAGCCCTCAGCAGCTATGATTGAGCCTCTCTGAATCTCCATATCTAAGGTGGACATCGAAAGGTCAGACCTCCAAGTGCTGCCATGTGCACTAATCTCACTCAGCAGTTATATACTGATACACACTCAACAAGTGTGCTTATACACATTCAATTTGCAAAGCGAAGCCTGTGAATTTGGCCATAAGAACGCACAGCAAGTATAAGTCTAGATATTTCAGAAGACCTCCAAGTTGACCACAGGGCTCAGGTCCAAGACTAATCCAGGCAGACTCTTGGCCACACGAAAAAACACCCCAGAACCATTCTCACAGAACAAAACATAAGCAGGTTATAGGATAGTGGGAAGAAGAATTCCCAAATTGAATGGTCACACTGCTCAATTCCTACCAGATTCCATGAATGTGGCTGAGTCAAATGACAGTCTATGAGGCCCAATGCTTGGGAAGCTTTCCAGTTTGGCTTCTGACTGGACTTCATAGTTATTAAAGGAATCATCTTCCTCCTCAGGGTCCAGCTTTCTTAACCTGCATGTAACATGCCAAAATCACAAAGTCACAACACACATTCTGACACAAGCATCTGAACTCTTCCTGTTAAGAGAAACCAAATCTGAGCCAGGAAGAAGGTAGCTAAAATAAGTGGGTAGTGGGGTCCAGAACCCAGGCCTCCAGCAGGCTCTGCCTCTCTCCAGGGCTTTATGAGCTAGCATTTGGTGTGTATCCTGTCTTGTTCACTCATCTCATCAACAGATGATTACCGAGCACCAGCTATGTGCCAGGCACTGTGCTAGGCACTGAATACAGCAGCCCTAAATGTGGTAGATCCTGCCTGCAGTAAGCTTACCCTCTAAAGAGACACAGCCAATCAGCAGGTACACAAAACTAACCCAAATAAGGACCACCTCACAACAGAGTGCTTGACACTCTGGGTCAAAAGGGCTCTGCTTTAGAGAGCAAGGTCAGACAAAGCCTTTGAGAGGGGATGATGTTCATGCTGCCACTGAAGGAGGAGAAGGGCTGGCAATGCAAAGATGCAGGACAAGAACAGGTACAAAGGCACAGGCCAGAAGAGTACCTGTGTGTTCTAGGGCCTCATGGGAGCCCAACAAGTAAGGTGGAAAGCAGACAGATAGGTGGGAGTTTGGGGGACACATCAAGCCCATCTGAACTTGGTCCTTCCATAGCTCCTCACAAAGCTGTGGGTGGGCCCAGTCTTGGGACTGGGGACACCTCTCCTGGCAGGCACTCCTCCCAAGGACCCATTTCAGCCAACCTTGTGATGTTCCCTCAACCCAGAACCCCTGCAGCATAAACACTCAGGGCACTTGTGAATGTCTTCATTCACGTATTGCACACACTCCCAGGGCGACTCCATCAGGCAAGCTACCATGTTGCTCTTGCCTTGACCATTCAAAGAAGCAGACATTAAGTTGAGTGTGGTTGCTCAAGCCTGTAATCTCAACATTTTGGGAGGTGGAGGCAGGAGGATGGCTTGAGGCCAGGAGTTCAAGATCAGCCTGGGCAATACAGCAAGGCCTCATCTCTACAAAAAACAAGAAATAAAATTAGCTGGGCATAGTGGCGTGCACCTGTAGTCCTAGCTATTCAGGAGGATCCCTTGAGCCCAGGAGTTCAAGGCCACAATGAGCTATGATTGTGCCACTGTACTCCAGCCTAGGTGACAGGGCAAGACCCCATCTCTAACAAAAATAAAAAACAAAGGAGCAGACACTAAACCACAAAGGAAACCAACAACTAAAATAAAGATAAAAAAGAAAGTCAAAACCATTTCAGGTAAATGGGACAGGGGAACAAGACCTTGGAGTAAAAAGCAGGGCTAAGGGGAATATAGGGTCACTCAAATCTCTTGGCACCATCAACCAAAGAACAATCAATCTTGCAGCTCTTCCAAAGGGAAACTTTCTTCTGGTATTACCCCTTAAGAAAAATTCATCAGAAGGCACTGTAGCCCCACTTTGGTCCTGCATCAAGTACTGAGAACAATCATTATTTCTAAGCATTTCACCTTCACCTCAGAAAGATAACAAATTAAGAAAATTAGGAATCTTGCTGTAAAATAAATTTACAATCCACCTAAAGCTTCTGGCTTCTCCTTCACCACTTTGATGTTAGTTTCACTGAAATAAACTGTCATGGGAAAGAACCACTGCTAGTTTAACTCCTGTTTAAAGATGGCATATTGAACACACATGGTTAGCTCCCAAACTCCATTCCAGTAACAATGAAGAAATAAAAAAGGTATAAACTCACAAAGACAGAAGATAGGCGAGGATGCCCCAGCAGACAAAATGTACCAGACAACTGTTAGAAGGCAGATGGTCCAGTGCAAATGAAGAATGGTGTCTGCCGAGACAGGCCTCTCCACTCAGCAAAGGGAGGAGGAAGCGGAGTATTAAGAAACCAATCCACTGGTACCATAAACTCCAGAAGGGCTCAGAAATTGAGGACCCTAAAGCCTCTACAGGAGGTGAGCAGGCAAGGACAAAAAGCAGAAGGACTGGTGAAAACCTAAGTAAGAAGCACTGGGAACCAAGTCCCTCCCAGCTCTGGGGAGCCTGGTACCTGCTTGTCCCCTAGGCTCCTGAGAAGCACTAAGAATGAGTGAGACCCAGGAATACTTCACAAGCTCCTCCTCTACCTTCTCAGAATGCAAGGGAATCCTGCTGAGCCTGGAGCAAATCAAGTAGACACGGACTCCCTGAAAGCAGAAGGGAAGCTCCCCTCCATGGGGTTTTCAGGGCATCTGCATCTGCATGGGGTTTTCAGGGCACAGCACCCCGCTGCCTCCCAGCAACAATTAGATGTCTTGTAAATACACAGGGACATGAGTATGTTCCTTCTAGCTCTCAAAAGATGAACAAGTCAAAGCTCCTGCCTTCAGGAATTTCAGAGGTGGGGAGAGGCGAGAAAAATCTAAGATCCCACTCCAGTGAGATTTGGTGCTTCAGACATCTGCACAGATGTTATGGGAACACAAAGGAGGAGATCAGAAAAGAGGGTGGCAATGGAATGAGAAATGTTATTGATGGTGTATGCTGGAGGTTTGTGGGTTTGTTTCTGACAATCAGAAAAAATACAGAGTACCTGGACGGCAAGAACTTCATCAGAAGCTCCTGGAAGTCTACTTTCTCTTCTTTTTTGCACTTGGTGTTTCGGACACGGGCAGACCGCCGTTTTGCTGTTTCTCCACTCTCTTCTGAAATCTTCTTCCGTTTTACCCCTTTCTTGGACTTATCTCCCCCAGAAATATCACCTTCACAAAGAATGCAAATTAAAATCTTACACGGTGGCAGCGGTGAAAAAAACGCACCATACAGACACATCAATCTCCCTCTTTTATAAATCTACTAGCATTAAACTCTTCGACATTCAAAAATGTTCCATCTCTTCTTCAACAACAAAGAATCCCGAGTAAAATTAATTTGAAACCCCTTAACTCTCACACCTTTCTTGACTTCACAGGACCCACAAGCCAGATTTCAAGATTACTTTCCACAGTTACAAAGCAAGCAACACCCTCACCCTCCTATCCCCTCACTGGTCGGCTGAACTTTGGGGTCTCACCTGATATACCCAGAACAGAGAGAGTGAGTGACTCTGACCCTACCCAGGACCCTCTGAGCACTCAGCAATATGATAAGAGCAAAAAAACAGTGTGAACTATATGGCAACGGAAGAATGTCATGTATGATTAAGTAAAAAAGAGACAACCACGTGCACGTTTATTCAGAAACTTCTATATCTACCAGATTTTCTTTTTTTCAGTGACATAGAAATCAAGAAAAGGCTCGGAAGCTTTTGTCAAAAACTTCTGACAACTCTAGCAATAATAAAAATCAATAAAACATACGGTGGTTGGTGACTTTGCTGACTTTGTTTTCTAAGATCAAAGAACTCAGGAGGTACACCGTCAGCAAGAGAGCAGGACCAGCAGAGGGGACCTTTGCCAGCTTCCATGTTACGAGTGAGTAAGAGAGACCTTCATGCCAGAATGTGGCAGCCAAGGCATTAAACGGTCCTGGGGGAACTATCAAGGAGCAGGAGCTGCATCCTGATCCCCCGTTCCCCCTCACTGCAGGGGCTTCAGAGCTGAAATGGCCCTGACAGGCTGTGGCACTGTGAGCAGGCTGAGAGGCTCCTCTAGGGATGGGGGCTCCCACTTCCACTTGAGTCATGAGTGTCAGCATGACCCTTCTCTCTAAAGAGGCAGGGCTCCCCAACAGTCTCATTCCTGCTGGGTTCAGTAAACGGGGTCTCTCCAGAAGCCAAATTCAGGGGGCCTGCTTACCCATAGGAGCGCCTGTCTCCAACAGACCAGGACTGTGCAGTGGGAAGCTGGTTGTAGCCACAGAGGTGTAGGAGACCACAGGCTCAGCGACAGCCACAGCTGGGCTGGTGCTGACAGTGCTTGGCTGGATCACATTAACTGGAGTTACCACCATGGAGGATGCAAGAGGCTGGTTGGGGTCCTGGTAGTCCGACAAATCAATCCTCTTGCCAAGGCTGGGACGTGGGGGCTCGCAGGTGGTGAGATGATTGTACATGGCCAGCAAGCTCTCTCCGAGGCACTTCCAGCTACAGGGAGAGGGCCACAACACCTGATCACCACCCTGTCAGAGGAATACTCCAAGCATAGGGAAAAATGGCCTGCCTGCACAGAGGCAGCAGAGCTGCTCCTGGAGCTACCACCTCCATGGGGGTGGGGGAGGTGATCAAGGTTTCATCACTGTCATAACTGATGAAATCTTGAGTCTAACATGGCTGAACTGAAGGTGCAGCAGCCAAAGCTGGACCAGGGACCTGGCATCCACCTGCACCTCACTGCAGCAGAAGCCCCATAAGCATCTTGGCCTGAGGCACTTTCAGACTCAACAAGGCATGTATGAAATCCATTGACTCACTTCAAAAACTCCTCCCCAGGAAGGTCAAGTCTTTAAAACACTTGTGGAACTTCTCTGCTGCCACTAATCTGTTTCATGCGGAGAGCCTGTTGGGGACTGCCAACAGGGACATGGTCTATAAGAACTTGGACCATGGGCAGGGCCCGTTGGGAGCAGCATCTCAGTGGATTTACCAAACGGGCTGGAGCCTGCTAGATGGCAACAGGAGATTGTTGTGTGTTTTGTTGGGGTATGGCATGGTGTGTTATATTGTGTTTTGTATTTCACATTCTGTGTTGTGTGTTCTGTGTTGGGTTCAAGGTTGTGTGTTGTCTAGTATGCTGTGTGGTATGCTACCATGTATCCATTTATCCATCCCTTAATTGCTTCTAATGCCTCAGGCTAAAGACCAACTGCTCAGCCTGGCCTCATGTTGCTGCACAGCCTCGTCTCACACCACCCCCTGCACTCCTGCTACGTTAGCTGTCTTTCAGTTCCTTCAACAAAATCACTCTCTCACATCCCACTGGGCCTTTGGGCTGGCTTCCCTCTGCCCAGATGCAACGTACCCTCCCACAGCATAGCCCTCTGCCTAGCCAATGCCTGTGCCTCGGTCAGACCGCAGCTCCACCACCCAGCCTTCCCCAACCCCTAGAGCAGCAAGAACCTTGTTCAGAGGCCCTCCAGCACTGTGCTTCTCTCCTCACAGCCCTTATCAGCTTGAGGCATGTGCTCCTTTCTCTGGGTAACTGACAACCCCCGGGATCACTTGTAGCAAGGGACCAGGCCCTGCCACACTGCGCCCCTAGCACAGAGCACAGTCCTCTGCACAGAGCCAGCATCCAGGAAGTGTTGAGAAAGGAATAAAAGAACAGTGCTTCAGGCTGGCACGGTGGTTCATGCCTGTACTCCCAACATTTTGAGAGGCCGAGGTGGGTAGATCACCTAAGGTCAAGAGTTCGAGACCAGCCTGACCAACATGGTGAAATCCCGTTTCTACTAGAAATACCAAAAATTAGCCAGGCGTGGTGGCGCATGTCTGTAATTCTGATTACTTGGGAGGCTGAGGCAGGAGAATTGCTTGAACCTGGGAGGCAGAAGTTGCAGTGAGCCAAGATTGCACCACTGCACTCCAGCCTGGGCAACAGAGCGAGACCCTGTCTCAAGAAAAGAAAAGGACAGTGCTCGCCGGGCGCAGTGGCTCACACCTGTAATCCCAGCACTTTAGGAGGCCAAGATGGGCGGATCACAAGGTCAGGAGATCAAGACCATCCTGGCTAACACCATGAGACCCCGTCTCTACTAAAAATTTTAAAAAATTAGCTGGGCGTGGTGGTGGGCGCCTATAGTCCCAGTTACATGGGAGGCTGAGGCAGGAGAATGGCGTGAACCTGGGAGGCAGACCTTGCAGTGAGCCAAGATCATGCCACTGCACTCCAGCCTGGGCGACAGAGTGAGACTCCATCTCAAAAAAAAACAAAAAACAAAAAAAGGAAAGAAAAAGGAAAAAAAAGGACAGTGCTTCAAAATCCAGAATCTAAACAATGGAGGCTCCCAGGGCTACAAGGAATTTCTTCTTTTTCCTGCCTTCAGTTAATGTTACATTTAGACAGGAAGAATTTGCTCACTGGCTGGGTTGTGTCAAATGCCTTAAATACACCATTTCCCTTACTCGTGCCTTGCTCTTGCTCATGCCTACTAGGCACTGAGGAAACCAGGGGTGGTAAACTGTGCCCTGCAGCACATTTTGTTTTTTCTTTTTTTTTTTTTTTGAGACGGGGGTCTTGCTCTGTCACCCAGGCTGGAGTGCAGTGGTGCCATCACAGCTCACTGCAGCCTTGACTTCCCAGGTTCAAGCAATCCTCCCCTTTCAGTCTCCCAAGTAGCTGGAACTACAGGTATGTGCCACCATATCTGGCTAATTTTGTTTATTTTTTGTAGAGATGAGGTCTCACTATGTTGCGCAGGCTGGTCTTGAACTCTTGACTCATACTATGTTGCCCAGGCTGGACTTGAACTCTTGATCCTCCGGCCTCAGCCTCCCAAAGTACTGGGATTATAGGCATGAGTCACCATGCCCAGCTGGTTTTCACATTTTTAAAAAATTGTTTTTAAAAAACAAAAGAAAAGAAAAAGAAGAAAAGAATATATAACATAAATTGTACATGGCTGACAAAGGCTACTATGTTTACCATCTGGCTCTTTAAAGGAAAAGTTTTGCTGACCCCTAGAATAGATGGAGATTACTATAAAAGCATCATGTCCTCTGCTACCAGAGAGGAAATCTACACTCTTCCTTTAATGACCAAATCCCAAATTTAACTACTAAGTGTAACTCCCTCCTGCTTCCACTTAGCCCTCCCACTACACCATGGAGGGTGGCCACAGTGCCAGTTCCCAGCCCTCTGTTCTCCAGTCACATAGCCACAATCCCTTGTAGTGTTCTCAGGCCTTTTCCTCCTTCACTGTAACAGGGAAGCACCCCAGGGCCCTTTCAAAACCCCAACCCTGTAGTTGGGGAGCACACACTCAGATGGGAGAAAGACCCTAATCCAGCTGACAAAATACAAGAAATTGCACCAGACAGGAGTCCTAGAGCAGCCTGAAGAACAGCCCTTTCTTCCTGGCCATCTCGGTGCTCGGGTATGGAAATATTTCTGGGAAATTCCACATGCTGAAACTCACAGCCAGTCATAATAATACGCATCAGAGCCAGCCCTTCCTGAGTGGGTGCTATGTGCTGCCTCTGTGCTAGCCCTACACATTTTATGTCATTATCATGACAACCCTACGAGAGAGATGTTGCTCTCCCCATTGCTAGGGAGTGGCTCCTAATGTCCCCAGAGTCATCCAATTCATAGCATTAGGAGTGCCAGGAGTGGACCCAGCTCAGGTCAGTCTGATCCAGGCCAGAGCTCCCTCAGAGTAAGCAGATGGGGTGGAGGTAGTGGGTGGGGAGTAGAAATGGAATGCTACTGCTAAGTCATGCTAAACTTAGTGATTCAATGTCAGAATTTTAAATACAGACATTGAATTCCAGAGCTAGCTAAGGGACTAAACTACCCCAACTCCAGGGAACTGCCAATACCAATTTGCCCTTCCTGGAGGGAGAGAGACTCTCACATCATGGGGCTGTCAAGGACTATATTGAGGCCCATCTCGCAGGGCTCCCCACATGGCCCTACAGGGAAAACATGGACTTGAGAGCAGGGAAGCCCAGACCTGGGATTGTCTCTGGGCTCCCCATTTAACTGCTCTGAGCATCAGTTCCCTCCTGGCAAGTGCTTGGCAAATGTTAGTTTCCATTCCCCTCCTAGATGGGACAGGCTGAGAAAGGCCTTACAGGAATGTGGCAGGTGGCTGGGGTCAAGAACAGCAACAGCAAAAAGGGACTGAGACTGGATGTACTTGAGAGAGAGCTGATCTGCTTCTTAGTAATGAAGCAAGCATGCACCTCCAACCATTTGGCCACTATGCACCCAGCCTCCATCCATACCACCAACCCAGGATCAAGCCTCAAGGTCTCTCCCTCCTGTGCAGGGCAGTATCCCACACCAGGGCCTACTGGCCGACCCAGCACTCCCAGAGACGCTAGACAACCTACGTCAAGAAAGGAATGGGTTGTACAAGTTTCAGGTCCGGCTCCTTCTCCCGCACAATCAGTGCTTGCCTCTTTTTTCGCAGCCCCAAGGCCTCATCTACAATCGCCTTCGTCTCAGCTGCACTCACCGAAACATCATGAATCGACATGTCACTAAAAGCATGTGAGACAGGGAGAAATTAAAATGTTACAAACTAGAACCGAGGCTGAAATTTTACACACAAAAATGCATTTAGGTTAATACCTTTTAATGTGTATTGTTTCTTCCTAAGAATAAAATAACCACTTAAGTCTGGCCTGGGGAGGGCAGTAAATAGCCTTCTTAATACCCACATACACTAGAAATGACTAATATTCTTTGTTCCTTTGACAATTCAAAACTGGGCAGAGAAAGAGTTTTCATATTCAATAATATCTGAAAAGCCACAGAAAAATAAAATCTGTCTCCCAATTATTATTAGAAAATCTTTAAAGAATTTAACTATCCTATACTGCCCATGCCAACAAAAAGTCATCGGACAAGTGAAGCTCACCAAAGTGTATCATGACCCAAAAATACAGAAAGGGCATGGGCTGGGAGGCCCTAGGTGTCCTCCTACAGACACACTTCTGAGGCGACCCAGCATCACCTGCCCTCCTGCCCACTGTCCTGGTGCTTCCCAGCAGGGTTACATTGCAGAACTACTCAGGGATTTATCTGTTTCATGTGCTTCTCATCTGTCTCCCTCACGAAGGTTAGCTCCCTCATGACAGATGTTCTCTCAGTTCCTATCTCTGCCAACAGGCAGTTCCCTCAGGAGAAGGATAGGCTCACAGGGGATAGACGCCAAGATAAATCACTACTAATCAACCCCTACAGGTGTGTTCCAGGGCCAAGGAAGACCAGAAGGCAGGAGGAGTTGGCTGGGCTGGAGGGCTCGGGGGAAGGGCAGCTAGAGCTCAGAAAGCAACAGAGAGGTGACCTGAGAAACAGATAAGTTCAAAAGCGAGCAGCTCTGAGGTGTAGCCCTGCTGGCAGGCATTAGGACAGTCTGGGCAAGAGGAGCAGGTATTGTTGGGTCACCTCAGAAGTGTGCCTGTGGGAGGACACCTGGCAAAGGAGGGGCAATGGCAGGACAGGTGGAGAGGTGGGAAGATGGCATGACAGTTTAGAGCGCAGTGGGAGCCAGGGTGAGAAGATAGGATGCCACACAATGGAACCACACCTGGAAACTGCAAGGGAGTTGGCGCAGCCTTAACAAAAGAAGTCTGGGAGGGAAAAAGCAGGAGGTGAGGTGGGAGAACTATGGAGTCAGGCTGCAAAGAACCTCTTTGGTAAAGCAACTGAGCACCGGCTGTGTCCTAGAGGCAAGGCAGGGGTGGTACATGATCAGAAGCATGTTTGGGACACTGATCTTGGGCAGCACTGGGAATAAAATCCTGGGAGGGGAAAGGCAGGAGGCAAGCTGGGCAGCAGGCTGCCCCAAGCATCCAGAGGAGAGCTAGCGAACACTGAAAGCTGGCAGGGCAGCAGGAGAGGTGGGCAGCAGGCGGCCTGAGGAGGCCTTGCCAAGATTAGGTACAGGTGGGTGATAAACAAGGCAGCCCAAAGTCAGTTCACTAGATGAGGGGCTGCAGCAGGGCATGAAGCCCCAGAGCACAGGGGCTCCATCCATGGACCTGAGGGGAAAATGTGACGTGCTCCTGACCTTCACCAGCCACACAGGAGAGCGTGCACACATGGCATGGGAAGAAGAAGGAATTACCATTTGAGGAACATTCTGAGAGAGTCCTTCCGGAGACAAGGCTGCTCCTCAAAAATCTTCTCCTTGAGGACCAGTCCTTTGCTGTACCGGCAATCCTTCTCCAAAGCTTTGCAGATGAAGTACAGACATGCTGGCGGGGAAAGAAACAGTTTATGACTTCGGGGACCATACTCAGAAGCTCTGGCCTTGCCAGTTAACATCAGGAAAATATTCCCACTCCTAGAATCAAAGAAATGCCTAGTAAACAATAATGAGATACCACTTGAACTAATTCAGTCAGGTTAGTAATAAGACCCAGAGTAGACTGGGCACTGCAAGGTGAGTAGAACCAAAGACTCTGGCAGAGGACAGACCATAGGATCTTTTTGGAGGACCACAGGCAATTACACACAGATCCTCGACCCAGGAATCCCACCTCTAGGAACTACTGCAAAAATCCAACAGGGCTCACAGTGATTATGTATTGGCTAATTGGAAAACAGCCTTCAAAAAATCTGGAAATAGCCAGGCACAGGGCTCATGCCTACAATTCCAGCACTCTAGAGGCCGAGTTGGGCAGGTCCACTTGAAGCCCAGGGTTTAAGGAAACTAGCCTGGGCACCATGATGCGCTTATCTCTACAAAAAAATACAAAAATTAGTCAGGGTTGTTGGTGTACACCTGTAGTCTCAGCTACTCTGAGCTGACCTTGAGAATCACTTCAGCGAGAATCGCTGGAGCCCAGAAGATCGAAGCTACTCACTTCAGCGAGAATCGCTGGAGCCCAGGAGGTCGAAGCTACAGTGAGCTGTGATAGTACCACCGTACTCTAGCCTGGGCAACAGAGTAAGACCCCGTCTCAAGGAAAAAAAAAATCTCAAAACCACTCTGTCCCACCATGGCACCTGGTTAAATAAATTATGTCCAATTCACACAATGGGTTGCCAAGCAGCCACTACACAGATGGTCGAGGAGTGTGCTTACTGACCAGAAAGAAGGCCAAGATACAGTACTGGGAAGAAGCAGGAGACAAAAGAGGTCACATAGTGTGATTCCACTATACACATAAAACTGATTGAATTTTGCTTACCTGTATTTTCCAATTTTCCTCCTTTTAAAAAAAAAACCCCACTATTAAAGCTGCTACCTACATTTTTTTTTTTTTTTTTTTGAGACGGAGTCTTGCTCTGTCGCCCAGGCTGGAGTGCAGTGGCGCGATCTCCACTGACTGCAAGCTCCGTCTCCCGGGTCTCCTGCCTCAGCCTCCCGAGTAGCTGGGACTACAGGCGCCCGCCACCTCGCCCGGCTAGTTTTTTGTATTTTTTAGTAGAGACGAGGTTTCACCATGTTAGCCAGGATGATCTCGATCTCCTGACCTCGTGATCCGCCTGTCTCGGCCTCCCAAAGTGCTGGGATTACAGGCTTGAGCCACTGCGCCTGGCCGCAATTTAAGACATGTACATCATTCATGTCAATGTAATAATGAGCCTCCTCAAGTCATTAATCTGGAAAGCCTGTGCCAACTCCAGCCCCTCCAGGAATGGAGACACTAACAGGTAAACACACAGAAAAAATGGGATGGCATGGACTCACAAAGCAGACCTATGATATAAATTATGAAAGCTTTCAGTACTTGTAATTGGGAACAGTCCAGGTCTCACCAGTGAACACACAGAGAAACAGCATACTGCAGCAGGGTGCCAGCTCTGCCTAGACACTGGGACCACTATCATGCCCCGCCCAGCTTCTCAATTTGGTGCAGGTGGACTGCAAGTCACTCCTACCAAGAATAACTAGAAAATGAAGCACCTAAGAGTGAGAAGCAACACAGGGAGGAAAACCAGAGCACAAGTAGAAATCTGCACATGGAAGCCTTGGGAGAGGAGGAAGTGATGCGCTCCTAGTGTGGCTGGCAGGAGAGAGCAGAGACTGGCCACAATGCTCAGCAGGGCCTCACGCCCCAAGGTGCACAAAAGCTGTGCAGCCTGTGAGCAAGGAGAGGTCTGTACAATCCCAGCACAGTCCAAGCTGCTCAACAGATGGTCCAAAGGTGCCTGCATCAGCCAAATAAGGGACATGGTTTCTCTGAGACCACATGAAACTTGAAGGGTGGCCATCAATGACTTCCAGAGAGAAAACCCAGAAGGCACTGAGCACTTGGATGATGCTGGTTCTCAGTAGGCACACTAGCTGTAGCAAGTTAAACTCACTAGCCACCCTACAGTCCTGCAGAGGGGAGGCCTGGGAAATCTCAGAACAAGACGCAATCAGCAGGCCTTAACCCAGCAGCATTCCTCCCTACTCATATCAAATGTATAAAATGCCCTGAGAGTCAATTTAACATGCTGCTTTAATTTTTTTGTTTAAATGACTGTCAAAGCTATCAGGGCTCTCACAGGTGTATGTATCAGTTCAGTCCCTGTTATGATTAATTGTATGTGTCTATTTGACTGGGCTACAGCATATCCAGACTTTGGCCAAATATTATTTTTGGTGTGTCTGCGAGGGTGTCTTTGCATGAAATTAACATCTAAATCAGTAGACTGAGTAAAGCAGATTGCCCTCCCTAATATGGGAGGGCTTCATCCAATCAGTTGAAGGCCTAAACAGAACAAGAAGGCTGATCTTCCCCCGAGTAAGAGAATTTTTCTGCCTGACTGCCTTTGAACTGGGACATTGGGTTTTTTCCCCTACCTTCTCACTAAAACCAAAACATCAGCTCTTCCTGGGCCTGCCAGCCTATAGACTGAAACTGTACCATCAATTCTCCTGGTTCTCAGGCCTTTGGACTTGGACTGGAACTATACACCATCACTCCTGGGTCTGCAGCTTGCTGACTCACCCTCTAAATCTTGGAACTTGTCAGCTACCAATACCACATGAGCCAATTCCTTATAATAAATTTCTTTCTATATACTTACATACATCCTACTAGTTCTGTTTCTCTGGAGAACCCTAATACAATGCTCCAACCCAAATCTTCCCACAAAGACTTGAGTTTACCAAGCATAACTTCTCCTACAATGAGAGAGGGGTACAAAGAACTAAAGAAGTTGGTGGGGAAGGAAGGCTGAACCCCAAAGATGGTCCCAAACTGTAGGAGGAGCATCCAAGAAGAGACTAAAAGCCTCCAGAAGAAGAAACTGCTAGAGTCAAAACATGGCCTTGTAGAACTATCATATTCTGCTGGTGGGAGTGAAATGAGGGGCAACCTACAGAATGAGTGCATATGTTCACTGAAAGACATATACAAGAATGTTCATAGCAGGTTATGACTAAGAACCCAAATCTGGAAATAACCCAAATGCCCACATACAGAATGGCTACATTGTGCAAACGCACATAATAGACTACACAAAAATAAGAAGACGTAGTGACTGCTGTGCCCCACATGGGTGCGCTCACAGGCAGGATGACAAGCAGAAGGGGCCAGGCTAAGGAAAGCACACGCTTTCCTTAAAAGGAACTGACTCTACCTAGAGAAAGTTCAACAACAGGCAAAGTTCATCTTTGGTGACAAAAAGGAGAAATCAAGGTTGCCTTAGAAGGTTGTAAAAAGTGGAAGGGACCCAAAGTAACCTGCCTTCTGGGGCGCTGCACATGAGCTGTATCTTGACATGTTTTCACGTATACAAACTGACAGGTCTCAGATTTATGCACCTTATTGTATGTATGTTTTGCCTCAATTAAAAAGATTTAAAAAGTGGTTATGGAGAACAAGAACTGGAGGTGAGAAGGTTGAGCAAGGCCTCATCTATCTCAACACATTCTATCCTATTCCTATTTGTCTTTTTAAAAGGAAGAGAAAAAAATGACTCTCCAGCCTCCAGAGCTGAGAGAAATAAATTCTCGTTTAAGCTACCCAATCCACCATATTTTGTTATAGCAGCATGAACTAAGACAGAAAGTGGTACCAACAAGTGGGCTGTTGTCGTAACAAATATCGAAAAATGTGGAAACAATTATCTTTTAAATTTTCTTTAGAGACAGGGTTTTGCTCTGTAGCCCAGGCTGGAGTGCAGTGGCACAATCACGGCTCATTGTAACCTCTAACTCCTGGGTTCAGGTGATCCTTCCAAGTAGCTGGGACTACAGGTGTGCACCACCCCGCCCAGCTAATTTAAAAAAACATATTTTTAAATGGAGTTTCACTATCTTGCCCAGGCTGTTCTTGAACTTCTAGGCTCAAGCAATCCTCCTATCTCAGCCCCCAAGAGTGTTGGGACTACACGCACGAGCTACCACGCCTGGTGTTGGAAAGAGCTTTAGAACTGGGGATAGGCTTAAAGAGTTTTGAGGAGTACACTGGAAAAAGTGAATATTGGTATGTAAGGATTGTTAAAGGTGATTCTGGGCCAGGTGCAGTGGCTCACAGCCTCCCAGCACTTTGGGAGGCCAAGGCGGGTAGATCATGAGGTCAGGAGACTGAGAACATCCTGGCTAATACGGTGAAACCCCATCTCTACTAAAAATACAAAAACAAAAAATTAGCTAGGCTTGGCGGTGGGCGCCTGTAGTGCCAGCTACTCCGGAGGCTGAGGTGGGAGAATGGCATGAACCTGGGAAGTGGAGCTTGCAACGAGCTGAGATCATGCCACCGAACTCCAGCCTGGGCGACAAAGTGAGACTCTGTCTCAAAAAAAAAAAAAAAAAAAAAAAAAAAAAGGGCGATTCTGACGAGGGCTCAGAAAGAAGAGAAGAGAAGAAGTACAGAGACAGTTTCCATCTTCCTAGAGAATAAATAATCATGTACAGAACGTTCGTAGAAATATAAACATCAAGGGCAATTCTGCTGAGATCTCAAATGGAAATAAAGAACATGCTATTGGACAATGAAGAAAAGATGATCCTTGTTATAAAGTAGCAAAGCACTTGGCTGAATTATGTCTATGTTCTAGTGTTTTGTGGAAGGTAGAACTTGTAAGCAATGAAATTTTGGCTACTTTGCTGAGACTTCTAAGCAAAGTATTAAAGGCATAGCCCAGTTCCTCCTGGCTGCTTATACCAAAATGCTAAGATAGAGAAAATAAGAAGGCATTGTTAAGCAAAAAGGAACCAGAACTTAAAGATTTAGAAAATTCTGTCTATCCATACTGCAAAAATTGAGAAAGTTTGTTCTGAGAACACTATGCATGTGGCTGACCAACAATTTCCTTATAAGATCAGTGGAGGTATGAACCACAGATTTAATCAGGTACCTCAGCAGAAGCCAGAAAGGTGGGATTATACCGGCAGAAACACTACTAGTGGGGACTAATGGGAACAAAAAATGAGAAAGAATGAAAGAACATCAAGAATATATGTTATCCTTCAAGGAAAAGGAAGAAGAACCTCAAAGGTGATTCAAAGATCATCTGAGCTGCCACTCCCACCACAGACCAAGAGGCTAGGGCTAGTTCCTTAAAGGGTGGGGCCACTTCTCCAGTTTACATAGGCCAGGATGTCTCAACCTAGCATCTTGCCAAGCCAAAAGGGTGGGGCTTGTTCCTCTACCTATGTGCCATGAGGGTGATGTTGCCACCTCAGTGGGCATCAAGGGCGGAGCATCAAGGGCGGAGCAAAGAGAATTATTCCTGAGCCTTAGGACCTCAAATTTGCCTTGCTAAGTTTGCTAAGTTTTGGGACCCATCACCCTTTCCTGCTTTCCTATTTTTCCCTGTTGGAATGGAAATGTTTATCCTGTATCTGTTCCACCATTGTATTTTGGAAGCACATAATTTATCTGTATTCACAAGTTCACAACTGTAGAGGAATTTTGTCTCAGGATGAATTGTACCTCAAGTCTTACCCACATTTGATTTAGATAATATTTATTTTTGTTTCGTTTTGTTTTTGAGACAGGGTCTCACTGTGTCACCCAGACAGGAGTGCGGTTGCACAACCTCGACTCACTGCAGCCTCGACCTCCCAGACTGAAGCAATCCTCCCACCTCAGCCTCCCGAGTAGCTGGGATGACAGTCATGCACCATCAAGCCTGGTTAATTTCTGTATTTTTTGAAGAGATGGGGTTTTACCATGTTCCCCAGGCTGGTCTCAAACTCCTGGGTTCAAGTGATCTGCCTGCCTTGGCCTCCTAAAGTGCTGGGATTACAGGCGTGAGGCAACATATCCAGCCAATTTCTTTAAGCCACCCAATCTATGGTATTTTTTTAATGGCAGCCCAAACAGACTAAGACACACAAAATGGGACAGTGCAGGGAGGAAATAAGATAGCCATTTCTTCTGTCAAACAAACAAAACCTTGCAAAGCAAAAAAATAAAAAATAAAAAATAAAATTAGGCAGCCAAAAGTAAAATCATTCAGAAAACATGCTACTTTATTACTACAAGGCATTTAACAAATCAAGAAAGAGATGCAGAATAAAGCAGAAATCTAAGAACATTTCCATTCTCCCTGACAGTCTGGCAAAGCCCTTCAGTGTTAACTTTGGCTTTCAGTTTATCCAAATTACCTTTCCTCTGCTGTTCCAAAAACCACTGGCACATGGAAGAAAGCATTAAAGCATGACTCACTTGTGTAATCACTGAGGGTGTAGAGTACAGTGATTAGGTTATCCAAGCAAGGCCAGTGGTCAGGATTGCACCGCAGCCCTTCCTCAAAAGCATGGCGAGCCAGGGGTATCCGGATGAGCCTCAGGGCCACATGTCCAATCTTATACCACAGGTTGACGTCTGTGGAGTCCAGCATCACTGCCTGGAAGCAACACAAGCAGAGGGCAAACACACACACACACACGCACACACACACACAGAGTCAGATCTCTCCTTGAGCAGGCACCCCGGGGACAGGAGGAGCACAGCACTGGCACAGCCACTCGAACTACCCAGGGAAATGGCAAAAGTGCCATGACTATCTTATAACTGACAAGCAATGCCAGCTCATCTTTCCTGGAGTCACACGTTTCCAAGATCTAGAGCAATAATGACACATAAAAAGTTACAGGGACCAAGTTATTTAACTTAGAACTTTTAAAAAAAAATTTCTTTTTTGAGACTAGGTCTCACTCTACTTCCCAGGCAAGAGTGCAGTGGTGTGATTATAACTCACTGCATCCTCAAACTTCTGGGCTCAAGCAATCCTCTCGCCTCAGCTTCCTGAGTAGCTGAGGCTACAGTGGCACATCACCACACCCAGCTAATTTGCAATTTTTTTTGTACAGACATGGCCTTAGTATGTTGCCCAGGCTTGTCTCAAACTCCTAGCCTCAAGTGATCTCCTGCCTCAGTCTCCCCATTTTCTTGATATATTTTGTCAATCTGAATATCTATATTCCTTACATATTTAATAGGTAAAAGAAGTAAAAGGAGAAGAAAGAAAAGAAAATATGGGCCAGGCATGGTGGCTCACACCTGTAATCCCACTTTGGGAGGCTGAGGTGGGCAGAATGCTTGAGTCCAAGAGTTCGAGAGCAGCCTGGGTAACATGGCGAAACTCCATTTCTATTAAAAATACAAAAAATTAGCTGGGTGTGGTGGTGCATGTCTATAGTCCCAGCTACTTGGGGGCATGAGGTCAGAGGATCACTTAAGCCTAGGAGGTCGAGGCTGCAGTGAGCCCTGATTGTGCCACTGCACTCCAGCATGGGCAACAGACTGAGACTCTGTCTTCAAAAAAACCTGAAAAAATGAGAGTCTTATGGGATTCAAGAAAATTCATGTACTTTGAAGACAAACCTTGGTTCACATCCCTGCTGCAACACTGATTAGCAGAATGATCCTGAGCCTCCATTTCCTCATCACTAAAGTGAGGATAAAGCCTCCTTCCTTGCAAGATAGCATGAGGATTAGTGTACACATAGGAAGCAAATAGTGTAGTGTCTGGTGCTTTAGAGGTGCCCACAGACAGACTGATAGTAACATGAAATAACAGCAATACTATTATAGCTGGAAGTATTAACATATTGAATGCTCAGTTTCAGACTTTGGTTTTCACACTATTATGCATACCAACTCACTTAACTTTCACAACTACGCTCTTTTTTATTATTCCCACTATATTGGTGTAGACCTACAGACACCAAGAGACTGAATCACTCACTCACAGCCACACATGCACTGAGCAGCAAAGGAAGAATTCACACGCAGTCCTCTGCATCCAAGCATGTGCTCTGCCCCAGCCCCTGCTCTCCAGGCCTGGTCAGTACTAATTGTTATCACCTATGGACCTACCCTAGAGCCTTGGGTACTATAGCTTGGTGATCCACCACTACAAACTCTTCTTTTTGGCCCACAAGACCCCAACCTCATCCCCTCCACCAAGAGCTTTCAAAACACCAAGGGAGCTAAGCACTGCCAAAACCACACCTCTAAGTAGAACTCCATGGCTGTCTCCAGATCCTCCCGCTGGGCTGCCAGCTGGGCCAAGTTCTTATATGTGGAATATTTCAGTATCAGCCCAGGGTGTTTCAACCCCTCTTTCTCATCACCGGATGAAACCGCCTGTGAACAAAACAGAAACAGAAGTGATAACTAGGCCTTGCAGCCTTAGCAAGCAGCCAGCAGGATACTTGGCTTCCAGGCTGGCCTCTGCTGCAGGCCCTTGAGCCAGTCTAGTGTTGTCCACCGCTGGAAAACGAAGGCACTGCACCATGTGTTCTTATAATACCACTCCTACTCCAAGCACTCAGGGAAGAACAGACCACCTTGAGGTATTAACAGTTTGCAGACAGTCTGGACATCCATAGAGATAGAGAGAAGCTGCCTCACCACTACTGCCATGCCTGAGGGTTCAAGCCTAGAGAATAACATTTACAGCATAGGTAGACCCAGCCAGCAGCTCCAGGTATAAGATAAAAGACAAGGTATGAGCAGGCTATCTGGGGGCAAAGGCCTAGAGCTTCACCCCAGGCGTTCCAGGATTAGGAATCAACAGGCTGGGGTCCCAACCCTGTAACACATCACATGAGCATAGACAATTGTTAATTTAACTAAAACATTAGTGTCTACCCTCTGTAATTAAGAAAAATAATTCCTACCCTAAATATCAAGAGTTAAAGTGAGCTGAAAGACTGTAAGAATTGCAAATATGTTTAATATGAAAAATTATTTCATTACAGCTTTAATGACCTTATATTCTAAGAAACTGCTGATTAGAAAACTACTGCTCCAACCACAGGACAAAGACTAAAACATTTTCTAACAGAAAAAACTCAGGGGCACCAAGAAGCTCTTTCCTGGGACAGGTGGCTTCCACACATTGCTCTTCATGTTCTGAATAGGTAAGACCCGAAGACATGCCACCCTCAGGAAGCATCCCTTGACTAATCCAAGAATCTACCTACCTCGGAGGTCTTAAGTAACTTCTTTAAGACTGAGAAGCTCAAATGAAGCCCCATTCAGTTATCTTCTACCATTATCTGACTTATCATACAAAAAGGCCTCCAAGAACCAGCTGACCAGGGCTGGATCCCAGGTACCTCTGTCCCTCCAGGTACAGAACTCTTCAAACAATAGTGGGAACAAATTTACAGAGACTGAGTGAGTCTACTTCAGACTAAACAGTCAGCAATACACATGCACATGCACATAACAGTGGATGCTCTTAACTAATCTCCACCTAACAGACTACCTACATTCAACACCACTCTCCATTCACCCTGAAAGGCTTGCCCCAGCAAGTCCCTCCAGGACACCCACCAGTCAGGCTGAATGCTTCTTAGGAGTCAGCTGTGGTCCAGGACCTATTTATGCCAATCTTCTGCAAAACTGTAATTATGTAATTAATATTAAGTATGCCGATGCAATATGAGTGTAAAAAGAAACTGTTCTATATATTTTCCGTATTTTTCAGTTGCTTACAATGAGCATGTTTTTACTATTATAAGCAAGGAGGGTGCTAAAACAACCTTGTGAGGCTGAAAGTGATATAAGGCTGAAAGTGATATAATGCGCACAGAAAGATGCACGCACCTACAACTAAAAGGCTGACACATGACCATGCCCTTAGGTAAAAGGCTCCTGCCTAGCAACTGTTGGATGCTGGGCCCACCCGGCATTCCACCATGGCCTGAGAGGGAAGACCAACATGCCCTCCAACTGGTCCACAACCAAAGCTCAGTAAATATAGAATAAACTAATTTTCCCTCTCTGGGTCCTCACCCACTTCCTACTAACAGGAGAGGAGGAGGTCACAAGTTCCATACCCCTAATTCCAAGGCACTGTAACCAGTAACCAAAGAATCTTGACAAGCTATATAATCTGAAATACAAAGAAATACCTTGAGTGAGAGAAGGAGTAGATGCTTTCTCCTGACAATTAGAACTCAGTATTCTATGTCATCGGCAGCAAAAACCATCAAGGTTTTTTGTGTGCTTGAGTCATGTCTGCAAGTGTCTGCATGCCTAGCACTGTAGGAGACTCTGCTCAACTGAAGGACTGTGCAGTCCAGTAAACACCCATGGAGCTTATCTGCTTCCTTAATTCATATCATCTGCATGTTTGAGTACTTGAAAGCAAATGCCTTTCCTCCTAATGAAATATACACCTTCCTAAATTAATTTCAGGTTGGGACCAATTCCCAAACCTCCAGTCAACATCTACAGTCAACTCAAGGATTAACTCACTCACCACTACCATAGTCCCCATGCTGGGACCAGGTCTTGCTCTGACTGCCCCTCTCTGCTGTAACCAGCGTCCCCAATCCTTCTGATTATATTCAAAACTCCATGGCATGTCTATACAGACTTGCCAACCTCATGGTCTTTCACTCAAACGGCATTTGCTAAAATGTGCTGCCAACAGGATCATTAGGTATCGGCAAACCATGGACTCCAATTCTGGTTTGAATGCTTCACTTACTTGGATGGCTTTGAGCCATCAAGACCTCACTAAGCCTCAGTTTCCACATTTGTAAAACCCAGCTACTGGGCAGAGTGGCTGTGAAGATTAAGTAATAACAATAGCTGGCCTTTAACAAGCACTTACACCAGGAGTCATTCTACATGCTTCACTGGATTTACTCAACCCTCATAAAAACTCAATGAGGCAGATACCCTAGAGGTGGGGAAATACGGGCAGAGAGGTGAAATAATGTTTTCGAGGTTCCCCAGCCAAGAAACAGGAGAGCAGAGGTAAGGCCTAGAGCACCCAGCCCCACAGCCCATGCACTAACCACCACGGCACACTGCCTGGCCTGCTGGTGCCTCACCTCCCGCAGCAGGCGCGCCTCCAAGAGCTCATGGTAAGCTTTGGCAGACTCCTCAAACCGGTCATGTTTCTGCAGATCAAGGGCCTTGTGGTACAATGCAAAAGCCTCTGCTTCCTGCAAATCAAGACAAGAGATGTTTTCATACAGCATAAAGATCTGTCTTTTTTAAGCCAAAAATGTGTGTAAGGCAGGGCTACAATCAGAGGAACCAACCATGTGATTAGATAGCTGGAACTTTCAGCTCCCCCACCTCCCAACTTCCAGGAAGGGAAGAGAGGCTGGAGATTGAGCTGATCACCAATGAGTTAATCAATCATGCCTATGTGATGGAATCTCTATTTAAAAACCCTAAAGGACAGGGTTCAGAAAGCTGCTGAGTTGGTGAACAACATCAAGGTGCTGGGAGGGTGCCACACCTGGAGAGGGCACGGAAGCTCTCTGAATCCACCCCATACCTTGCCATAAACATCTCCTCCACTTGGCTGTTCCTGAGTTGTATCTTTCATAATAAACTGGTAAATGTAGATAAAGTGTTTTCCTAAGTCCTGTGAGTCGTTCTAGTAAAGTATCAAACCTAAAAGGGGTAGGAGGTAAGAATCCCTGATTTTATAGCCCAGCTGGACAGAAGTGTAGGCATCCTCGCACTCAATGCTTGCAATTGGCATCTGAAGTGAGGGCAGTTTTGTGGGATGAGCTGTTAGTGCTGCAGAGTCTGACACTAACTCTGGATAGCTAGTGTCATAATTGAATTATAGGACACCCAGTTGGTGTATGGAGAGTTGGAGAATTGGTTGGTATGGGGGAAAAATACCCCAAACATATGATGTCAGAAGGGTTGTGAGTAAAAAGTTCAGTGTGAATGGTTTCCATTGCAGGCTAGGCACAGTGGCTCACATCTGTAATCCCAGCACTTTAGGAAACCAAGGTGTGAACCGAGGAGTTCACAGCCAACCTGGCCCACATAGAGAGACCCCTGTCTCTACAAAAAATTTAAAAACCAGATGAGCATGGTGGCCTGGTGTCTGCAGTCCTAAGCTACTCAGGAGGCTGAGACAAGAAGACTGCTTGAGCCCAGGGGTTAAGAGGTTACAATCATCTGTGACCATGCCACTACACTCCAGCCTGGGTAACAGAGTGAGACCCTGCCTCTTAAAATAAACAAAAACTGATTTCCATTTTTTTTTTTTTTTTTTTTTTGAGACTGAGTCTCACTCTGTTGCCCAGGCTGGAGTGCAGTGGCATGATCTCCGCTCACTGCAACCTCCACCTCCGAGGTTCAAGCTACTGTCCTGCCTTAGCCTCCCTGGTAGCTGGGACTATAGGCATGCACCACCACGCCCAGCTAATTTTTGTACTTTGAGTAGAGACGGGGTTTCACCATGTTGGCCAGGCTGGTCTCGAACTCCTGACCTCAAGTGATCCGCTCACCTCAGCCTTCCAAAGTGCTGGGATTACAGGCATGAGCCACCGCGCCCAGCATGGTTTCCATGTTTTTCTACTCACCACTCTGTCATAGCCTGATCATTGCCTGGGAAGGATGACAACCTCCTGTGGGAGGGAAGGGGCACTGGGTAGGTTGAACCTCACTGACATGCCTTACAGACTAGGGACAGGTGACTAGTAGACTTCTGAGACAGCTCTGGAACTGTCCTGATTTCTACCATAAAATGCAGGAGGGTGGGGAAGGAGGCATATGTTTATTTTAGGGAAAACAAAGGCAGGAGCAAATCCCTGTTACACTAGGATAGGACAAGGGTATAGAGATGAATGGATGGAAAGAAGGAAGGCTGACATGGAAGAGATGCCAGGCCTCATGGGAAAGAGGAGTGACCAACAATCTAGGGAGTTGAGGTTGGACCTGGCTCCCTCACTAACCTGGAGGGTGATCCCAGTCTAGGTTGCTCCCCTCAAGACTCTCGTCACACTATAAAATGAGGGCAATACACTAGGGAACCTCGAAGCACCATCTATCATTAATATTCTACCATTCCCTGGGTATCCCAACTCCTGAGGGCTGCACAAGGAATGGGGTGCATGGAAGTGGGCCTGGAGGCTGAACTGGCCTTCACATACACTGACAGAATAAATATAATTTCTCCTAAGTATGACTGTCTCCTAAGTAAAACAGGTTTAACAGGAGATGGAGAGCTAACCATCTTTCAAAATGGTATTTCCCCCTAAAACTCCACTGAGGAGATGTCTAAATGCATTTAAAATGAGGTAGCATCTATAGAAATGAGAAGGTCCACCTACAGAGAAGACCTTGCATTACATACCTGAGCCTCCTTTGTCTGGGTTTTGTGACTTTTAAAGCTTCCTTCATGATCATCCTCAATGGTGGAGCTGGCATTTAAGGCTGCAATTCGAATCTAGAAACAGGGGTTTGGTGGAAGAGACAAGTTGCTTTGAGATGTCACTCATCTCTTCAAATACCCACAGATGAATACAATTCTGCTCCAGCATATGCTCTATTCTACCTTGAAAAGCTATGGCCTTCTCAGATGTGGGGAATGAACAAAACTCACCCTCTAAAGAAAAAAATAAATAATGGCGGCCGGTGGGGGGGTGGTTATGCCAATCTATGCAGAAAGTATATCCTGGGTACCGTTCACCGCAAAAGCAACAGACACTGGGGACACCCCAGCAACAGCTCAACACAGCAGAAGGTAATGGAACAACAGATTTCAACAAAACATGTTAACTTTATGTGTTTCCAGCAACTGTGACAAAGTCCTGCAAGCCGCTTCAACCATTAGGCAAGCAATCTCATACCCTCAAAGGTGCCAACAGCTCTCCTGGGAGGAAGGCTATTCCATAATAAGAGCCTTCAGAGTCTAACACAAAAATGCTCCTCAACCCCAGGAGTAAAGTAACATAAGAACACTGATGTTCGCAAAATAGGCAGGCATCAGTCCTTACCATATTCAGAGAGATTCAGCACTGCCACGCAGCATCACTTCTCATCACTGGAAAAGGTTGCCCCAGTCCACGACTCTCCTAGAAAGGAAATAGGACAAACTGAGACAAGGCCTATGAAGAGCCAGGAAGGTCACAGTGCCAAGGTCCACCAGGAACCAGTCCTGAGCTCTATGCAGACAGGTCAGTGAAGAGCTGCCTTGGGACAGCAGTGTGGTCTAACACACAAGGAGCTCCTTGGTCCCTCACGATAGCATTCATCATTTCCTGGCAATGCACCAGGTGTCAGGCACACAAAAGAGTGACAACAATCCCTGCCCCCAGGGATCATTGCTAGGAGAGGTAACAAGCCTATTATTTTTTTCAAAAGCTGAAATGATACGAAAAGAAACACAGGCAACATCTAAAGGCAGAAAAGAACAATTCATTCAAAGGGATTAAGGAAGGCAAAGGAGTAAGTTACTGCATTAAACCTTGAAGAATAGAATACACTGCAGTGGAAGACAGTGAAGCAAAGAGGCAGGGAGAGTGAGGTGTGAAGGGAAAATTAGAAGACAAGGCCTTAAAGCAGGGATGTGGATGGAGGATGGAAACGTAGTTGAGGGCCAAGCCACAACACAGAGGCCATGAACTTTATCTGTAGGCAACAGGGAACCAATGGATGTTTTAGGGAGAACAAAATGTTTTGCCTATGTTTTAGAAAGATAATAGAAAAATAATTAGAGGTAGGCAGACTAGTTTGGAGGCTGCAAAAGATGACAGGATTGGCAAAGATGTGGAGATTTAGAATCTCATGCATTGTTGCTGGGAATGTAAACTGGTGCAGCCCTTGTGGAAAACAGTCTGCTAGTTCCTCAAAATGTTAAACAGAGCTAGCATATGACCAGGGAATTCCACTCCTATGTGTATCTACCCGACAGAAATGAAAACATGTCCACGCCAAAAACTTGTTCATGAGTGTTCACAGAGGCGTTATTTCTAAAAGCTAAAAGGTGGAAACAACCTAAATGTCCATCAACTGATGAATGCATAAATAAAACGAAGTATGTCCATACAAAGAAGTATTTATTATTCAGTCATAAAAAGGAATAAAGTTCTGATACATGCTACAACACGCAAGAACCTTGAAAACATTACGCTAAATGAAAGAAGTCACACACAAAAGAGCATATATTTTCTGACTCCAATTATCTGAAATGTCCAGAATACACAAATCTACAGAGATAGAAAGTAGTTTAGTGCAGGGGTCCCCAACCCCCAGGCCACGGACCAGTACTGGTCCATGGGTTGTTAGGAACTGGGCCACAGAACAGGAGATGAGCAGCAGATGAGCAAGCATTATTGCCTGAGCTCTGCCTCCTGTTGGATTAACAGCAGCATTGGATTCTCCTAAGAGCACAAACCCTATTGTGAACTGTGCATGCGAGGGATCTCGGTTGTGCGTTCCTTACAAGACTCTAACTAATGCCTGACAATGTGAAGTAAAACAGTTTCATCCAGAAATGATCCCTGCCCTCTGCCTCCGGTCCATGGAAAAATTGTCTTTCAAGAAACCAGTCCCTGGTGCCAAACGGATGGGGACCGCTGGTTTAGTGGGCTTGGGGAGAAGGACAACTGGGGAGCAATCACCAAGAGGTTTCTTTCTGGGATGACAAAAATGTTCTAAAACTGATTGCGGTGGTGGTTACACAACTCGGTTAATATACTAAAAAACCATTGAATTTGTACACTTTAGGTGAACTACATGGTGTATAAATTATAAAGCTCTTATTTTTAAAAAGATGCCAGGATCCCAGATGGACCTGTGACAGTAGGGATGAAGGGGAATCCCACTAGGAGGTAGACTGACAGGACCTGACACCTGGGAGGCTGGCCCGAGGAACCGGGATAGGGATATGCACACTACCAAATACGTCAGGGAGGGCAGGAGGAGAAGCCGTTAAAAGTCCTAGCTGAGAGGCTGGCAGAAGGGCCTGGGACAGCCCAGCAGGCAGTGGGACAACCCTTAAACAGACAGACTGAACACATGCTCCACTTTTATCAATTAAAACAACTGCTAGTGGCTGGACTCAGTGGCTCATGTAATCCCAGCACTTTGGGAGGCTTAGGTGGAAGGACTGCTTGAGCCTAGGAGTTTGAGACTAGCCTGGGCAATAAGATGAGACCCTGTTTCTATTAAAAATAATAACAAAATAAATTTAAAATAACTGCTACTGTCATCAGTGCTTACAGCAACGACTTCTAGCACAGGCTTTCACAAATAGGCTCTGAGTTCTCCTAGGGTTCATGAAAGGAAGGAAGTACTTTCTCACAGACAAAGAAGATTCAAACCTTTCCTAGACTGATAGCTGTTTTATCTCCTGGGTTCCACATTTAGAAAAAAAAGAATACTGCTAATCAAGTTTGGAAACTGCAGTTTTTGTGTTTGTTTTTGTTTGAGACGGAGTCTCTCTCTGTCACCCAGGCTGGAGTGCAGTGGTGCGATCTTGGCTCACCTCCCAGTTCAAGCAATTCTCCTGCCTCAGCCTCCTGAGTAGCTGGGACTACAGGTATCTGTCACCACGCCCAGCTAATTTATTGTATTTTTAGTAGAGATGGGGTTTCACCATGTTGGCCAGGCTGGTCTCGAACTCCTGACCTCAGATGATCCACCCACCTCGGCCTCAAAAAGTGCTGGGATTACAGGCACGAGATTATGGTAAGCCAGCGTGCCTGGCCAGAAACTGCAGCTTTATCATAAGCTATGCCAAGATGGACACTGGGACCACTATACAATATGAAAAAAGTAGAAACTATAGCATTAAAACCCTCCATCTAGGCTGTTATCAAAGCAAAATAAAGTCAGAAAATAACAAGTATTGATGAGGACCTGGAGAAACTGGAGTCTTTGTACATTCCTGGTGAGAATGTAAAACGGTACAGCTATTATGGAAAAGGGTATGGCAGTTCCTCAAAAAATACAATACAGAATTAGTACATGACCCAGAAATTCCACATCTGGCTACATACACAAAATAAATGAAAGCAGGGACTTGAACAGACACTTGTACACTCATGTTCATAGCAGCATTATTCACAACAGCCAAAAGGTAAGAAGCAACCCAAGTGTCCAACAACAGACGAATGAACATGTGGTGTATACATACAACAGAGTATTATTCCACCTTAACAAGGAAGGAAACTCTAGCACATGCTACAACATGAAATAAACTTTAAAAACTGCACTAAGTAAAATAAGCCAGATACAAAAGAACAAATAGTATATGATTCCACTTACAGGTGGAAAATAAAATAGGAAAATTCATACAGACAGAAAGTAGAATGGTGGTTGCCAGAGGGGGAGAGGGCAGTGGAGAGTTACTGTTTAATGGGTACAGCATTTCAACTTTTCAAGATGAAAAGAGTTTTGGAGATGGATGGTGGTGATGGTAACACAACAACGTGAATATACATAATGCCACTGAGCTGTACACTTAAAAAGTGGGTACAATGGTAAATTTTGTTTGCATATTTCATAATTTTTTTAAATATCCAGAAGTAAAACAATCAATAGAATAGTTTCCAATTAGGATCAAAGTTGACCTTGTTTTCAAAACACAAAGACATTATTCCAAATAAAATCTCTGACAGGCTCTGATCATCCTCAAGGCAGGCCAACAGCTCATGGCCAGACCTGCAGCTCAAGCAACACGCTGATGACTCCCAGTAAGCAGAACTTATAGCCCCAAGGGCCACCTATGGAGCCCACTGGAGATTAGAAGAAGTGGGAGAGCCTCTCAAACCCCCACTTCACAGCCACTCTCCGGTGCTCACTCACTGGGCTCTGTGCACTGAATCCCAAAACACTTCTAATCCCATTGAGCATCACATAGCCTCCATCTGAACTGCTGCCTTCACTTACAGAGCAGTCGCTCAATAACTACCCATTGGTCGATTTTTTTTTACCACTATCTTACTGTAAAAATCAGTTGTCCTACCTAGACCTGGGGTTGCAAGAAGAAAAAATGGAAAGGACACTGGATTCAGAATAGGAAAATTTCAGAGTGTGACTGAGTTGTGTCTCAGATACCTGATCCCCTGATCCCTTACAACCCTTGGTGTCCTTGTGTATAAAATGGTGACAATAGCTTCACTAGCCTGGAGCTCCTCTGACCAGAGACCAGCAAACTCAGCTGGGATTCCCTATGTCACATCCACACTGACTTTTCTCCTGCCCCCTGCCACCCCACAAAGGCAGGAGAAAAGTCATGCCAAGCCACAGGGCTCTCAACACTTTCTGCAGGACAGGTGCTAGCTCCAAGTCATGGCAAGTCTTCCTAGATGCCAACTGGATCCACCTAGGGAAAAACAAGGGAGGGGCCCGTGAATGGCTGAAGGATCAGGTCTCTGTGTGGCAGTGGCAGGGTCCATGTGCATGGGTAGGAGAACATCAATACAGCCATCATGCCAAGGCCAACCTATTCCACAAGGAAGAAAGCAGCTCTTCTGCTTCCTAAGTAACGTTTCGAAGGAACGCATCCAACCACTACCAGGATGGTGCCAGGTGGGCCTGTGCCTTCCCCTGGGGCATATACTTCTTTGCCTCCAGGACTATGGTGAGTGCAAGTCCAATCTCAGAGCTGACAGGAGATGGCCTCTCAGGACAGATGAATGACTAAATAACTATGCAAGCTGGAGAAAAAAAACAGTGAGCTTCAAATCCAGAGCAGGGTTTCTGGCCCAATATGTTGTCTGAGTCCCTGCCCCAGACCAATCCCTCCCGCCTCCTCCATAAAGAAGGCACCTGGATTCCCTGAAGCAACAGCTCCCTGAGTACCACGATCAGCAGGGCCCAAACACCCTGAAAAGAGTCCACAGTGTAGGAGAAGAAAGAGAGATTTCAGGCTTCCTAATTATTTTCAAAATTGTTCTATGTTAAAACTCAAGTCAACTCTCCCCACTAAAAGGGTACCTGTGCTGGCTTTAACATAGTCTAAAAACAGCAGCACTTGGCACCTCTCCAAATCTCCAGTTCATCCTAGACATTTACAAAGCACATTCACATTATCTCACTTGAATTTAATAGAGTCTTACAAAATAGGCATTATCATCCCCATTTTCCAGATTAGGGAATCGAGGCTTAGGGAGACTAGCTGACCTGCCCAAAGTCATAATGCTAGAAAGAGACAAAAATAAGACTCAAAGCCCAGTACTCTTTCTAGTACAGCAAAAAGTGATGTGCCTTGGCAAAGAGTCTCCTGCCTGCCCCTGAACACACACAGCTGTGAGCTATTATGCTTTAGCTAAGAGCCACAACTGATGCCCTGCAAGGGCTCCGAACAGGTTTGCTGATGGCCACAGAATAAAATTGTATTTGCTCAGGCTGTTGGGCTATCACTTATGCTGCATCAACATCACTCTATAAAGCAGAAAACAAAATTTCTAATTGTCTAATAAAAGTACCAGCAAAAAGCTCGTCAATGCCCAAGTATTATATGCTAATCAAAAACTCACAAAGACTAGCTCCCATTTTATAGGGAGGCACCTCAGGCTTGCCACATTAGGTGATTTGCCTCAGGTTGCCCAGCTGGTCTGCAGCAGAACCCAAGCTTTAAGCTGGGCACCGCTTTTCAATGTGTCTCCTGGGCACAGACACATACTGAACTGAGGCATACTCGTGGGTATACAGTTTTACTGTCTACACAACATTTAATCAAGGAGAACCTAAAAAATTATTCTCATATAGACTTATCATATACATTAAGCACATGAGACCAGCACCCCTTCTGCCCACTGCCTTCTATTTCCACTCCATCATTACCACTCTTCCTCAGCTCCCCCAAAATTTCCCGTAGCAAAATTAAGAAGAAGCCAGAATAATGGACACACTGGGAAGACTGTAGGGGCTTTGAACATGTACTGTACAATACCCTTTACTAGTAACAACCATCTTTTTTTTTTTTCAGAGACAGGGTCTCACTCTGTTGCCCAGGCTGGAGTGCAGTAGCACAATCTCACCTCAGCTCACTGCAGCCTTAACCTCCTGGGCTCAGGCAATCTTCCCATCTCAGCTTCCTCAGTAGTTGGGACTGCAAGCGCATGGCACCATGCCTGGCTAAGTTTTTAACTGTTTTTTCGTAGAGGTGGGGTCTCGCTATGTTGTCCAGGTTGGTCCTGAACCCCTGTAATCCCACCCAGCACTTTGGGAGGCCAAGGCGAGTGGATCACGAGGTCAGGAGATCAAGACCATCCTGGCTAATACGGTGAAACCCCGTCTCTACTAAAAATACAAAAAATTAGCCAGGCGTGATGGCGGGTGCCTGTAGTTCCAGCTACTCGGGAGGCTGAGGCAGAAGAATGGCATGAACTCGGGAGGTGGAGCTTGCAGTGAGCCGAGATCGAGTCACTACATTCTAGCCTGGGTGACAGAGTGAGATTCCGTCTCAAAAAAAAAATAAATAATAAATAAATAAATAAATAAACAAATAAATAAATTTTTAAAAAATTGATCAGGCACTGTGGCTCACGCCTGTAATCCCAACACTTTGGCAGGCCAAGGCAGGAAGGCGGCTTGAGCCCAAGAGTTCGAGACTAGCCTGGGCCACATAGCAAGACCCTGTCTCTACAAAAAAATTTTTAAATGATGGCCAGACTTGGTGGCTCATGCCTGTAATCCCAGCACTTTGGGAGGCTGGGGTGGGAGAATCCTTTGATTCCAGGAGTCTGAGACCACCCTGGGCAAGATAGTGAGATCCCCATCTCTAAAATAAATAAAATAAATAAAATAAAATAAAATAAAATAAAATAAAATAAAATAAAAATTAGCCAGGCATGGTGGCGTGCACCTGTAGTCCCAGCTACTGAGGAGACTGAAGTGGGAAGATCACTTGAACCCAGGAGTTTAAGGCTGCAGTAAGCCATGATCACACCACTGCACTCCAGCCTGGGAGTGAGACCTTGCCTCAAAATAAAAAACAAATTTTTTTAAAAAGACAAATCAAGTAGAGAAAAAATAAGGAGACAGATGATTGATCTAAATAACAGAATAGAGGAGATGATATAGATGTATATCAAACTCCACACCTTGATAACAGAAATGATATATTCTTCTCCAGTGCTCACAGCACATTCACGCACACACACACAAAACTGCTCACGTCACAAAGAAAACACCTTCCATCAAGTAAAGATACTAAAAACAGGGCGCAGTGGCTCACGCCTGTAATCCCAGCACTCTGGGAGGCCGAGGCGGGTGGATCACGCGGTCAGGAGATTGAGACCATCCCGGCTAACGCGGTGAAACCTCGTCTCTACTAAAAATACAAAAAATTAGCCGGGCATGGTGGCGGGCGCCTGCAGTCCCAGCTACTCGGGAGGCTGAGGCAGAAGAATGGCGTGAACCCAGGAGGTGGAGCTTGCAGTGAGCCGAGATCGCACCACTGCACTCCAGCCTGGGCAACAGAGTGAGACTCCGTCTCAAAAAAAAAAAAAAAAAAAAAATTTAAAAATTAGCTGGGTGTAGTGGCACATACCTGTAATCCCAGCTACTTAGGAGGCTGACGCAGGAGGATCGTTTGAGCCTGAGAGGTTGAGGCAGCAGTGAGCAGTAACTGCATCACTGTACGCTGGCCTGGGTGACAAAGTGAGACCCTGTTTCAAAAATAAAAAAATAAAAAATAGATACTAACAAAAAAACACACATCACATGTGAAAACACAATGTAATCATCTAAGGGAAAAATAATTATATGATTATCTCCATAGAAGAGAAAGTCTGACAAAATTCAATATCCATTCATAATAAAAAATGCTCAAGAAAATATAGAAATTTAGAGGTACTTTCTTAATATAATATAAATATACCTTAGTCCTAAAGCCAAAATCTTATTTCGTGGGCAAACACTAGAGGCATGTCCATTAATATCAAGAACAAAGCAAAGATGTCCACTATCTCTGCTACTATCCACCGGTGCAATATTAGCCAATGAAATTAGAAGAGAGAAATCAATTAAAGGTACAAAAATGGGTAAAGGCCAAGCGCAGTGGCTCACGCCTGTAATCCCAACACTTTGGGAGGCCAAGGCAGGTGGATCACCTGAGGTCGGGAGTTCGAGACCAGCCTGAACAACATAGAGAAACCCTGTCTCTACTAAAAATACAAAATTAGCCAGGCATGGTGGTGCATGCCTGTGATCCCAGCTACTCGGAAGGCTGAGGCAGGAGAATCGCTTGACCCCAAGAGGCGGAGGTGGCAGTGAGCCAAGATCGCGCCATTGCACTCCAGCCTGCGCAACAAGAGCGAAACTCCATCTCAAAAGAAAAAAAAAAAAAAAAGTGGGTAAAGAAAAGCTATTACTAATTGTAGATAATATGATATACTACCTGGAAACCCCAAAATCGATGATAAAATTTATTCATTAATAACTCAGTGGGCTGGGCATAGTGGCTCACGCCTGTAATCCCAGTACTCTGCAAGGCTGAGGTGGGTGGATTGCTTGAGGTCAGCAGTTTGAGACCACCCTGGCCAGCATGGTGAATCCCTGTCTCTACCAAAAATACAAAAATTAGCCAGGCGTGGTGGCAGGCGGTGCAATCCCAGTTACTCAGTTACTCAGGAGGCTGAGGCAGGACAATCACTTGAACCCAGGAGGCGGAGGTTGCAGTGAGCCAAGACTGTGCCACTGCACTCCAGCCTGGGTGACAGAGTGAGACTCCTTCTCAGAAAAAAAAAAAAAAAAAAACACTCAGTGAAGTTGCACAATATAAGATTAATACATAAAAATCAATCAATAGCCTTCATATATACAAACCATAAAAGAAGACATTATGGTAGAGAAAAATCCCATTTACAATAGCAACAAGATCATTAAATACTTAGGAATAAAGTTAATTAAAACTGTGCAAGAAAAAGTTTAAATCACTATTAAAAGACACTAAAGTTAACTCGAACAAATGAAATGACATCCCCTGTTCTTGGACAGGATTCAAAAATATAAAGATATCAGTTCTTCCCAAGTTAATTTATACATTCAGTGCAATCCCAATACAAATACTGACAAGATAGTAGACAAGTTGATACTAAAATTCATATGGAAAAACAAAAATTTAAGACTAGGAAAACAAAACAAAAAATTGTAAGGGGGGATAGGCATAACAGACATTAAAACATACTATACAAAGCCTTTATAATACAATCAGTGCAGTACTGCTGCATACATAGACAAAAAGATGAGGTCCAGAATTAGACTCAAGTACATATGGAAATAAAAAATATGGCAAAGATGGCATCTCAAATCACTAGAGTCAAGATGAACTTTGTATTAAATACTGCTGGAACAGTATTCACTGTTGGAAATAGATAACTCACAATAAACTTGCAAATGAATTAGAAATCTAAATGATAAAAAATGAAACCACACAACTACTAAAGGAGATACTGGTGAATTCCTCTTTAATCTTTGTATCAACACTTAGTATTAAGTAGTAGAGAAGGGTCAAATATGATTTAAAATTCAGAAAAAGTAAGAGAAAAAGAGTGATACACTTAACTACATAAAAATTTAAAAAATTCTGCATGACCAAAAAAAATATTTTAAAAGTCAGAAAAAAATTAAAAGCTAACAAATTGGGAGAAAATATTTGCAACATATACCACTGATGAGGGACTAATATCCCTAATATACAAAGAGCTCTTAAAAACTGAGAAACAGGATGGGCATGGTGGCTCACACCTTTAGTCCCAACACTTTGGGAAGCTGAGGTGAAAGGATTGCTTGAGGCCAGGAGTTCAAGACCAGCCTGGGCAATACAGACAGACTCCATCTCTACAAAAAATAGCCAGGGCATGGTGGCACACATCTGTAGTCCCAGCTACTCAGAGCAGTTGAGGGAGAAAAGTTGAGGCTGCAGTGAGCTGTGATCGCGCCACTGCATTCCAGCCTGGCTGACAAGAGCACCATACTATTTAAAATAAATAGATAATGTTTTAAAACTGAGGAACACAGCATTATTTACAATAGTCAAAAGGTGGCCTCCTTTAAGCTGGAGCTAAGAAAAAATAAAAAAAAAATAGTGGCCAGCACTGTGGCTCAGCCTGTAATCCCAGCACTTTGGGAGGCCAAGGCAGGCAGATCACGAGGTCAGGAGATCAAGACCATCCTGGCTAACACGGTGAAACCCCATCTCTACTAAAAATACAAAAAAATTAGCTGGGCGTGGTGGCAGGCGCCTGTAGTCCCAACTACTCGGGAGGCTGAGACAGGAGAATGGCATGAAACTGGGAGGTGGAGCTTGCAGTGAGCCAAGATCACGCCACTGCACTCCAGCCTGGGCAACAGAGTGAGACTCCATCTCAAAAAAAAAAAAAAAAAAAGAATGGTGAAAGCAACCCAACTGCCCATGGACAGATGAATGGTTAAACAAAACATAGTATATACATACAATGAAACATTTATTATTCAGCCTTAAAAAGGAGGTAATCCTGACACATGTTACAAAAAAGAAGGTAATTTCAACATATGCTACAACATGGATGAACCTTGAAGACATTATAGTAAGTGGAATAAGCCAGTCATAAAAAAGCAAATATTGTATGATTTCATGGATGTAAGGTACCCACAGTAGTCAAATTCATAGAAACAGAAAGTAGAATAGTGGCCACAGGGCTGGGGGAGGGAAGAATGGGAATTCCTGTTTAATGGATACAGAGTTTCAGTTTGAAAAGATGAAAAAAGTTCGGAGATGGACGGTGGTGATGATTGCATAACAGTGTGGATGTATTTAATGGCACACTTAAAAAATGGTTAAAATGATAAATTGGGTCAGGCGCGTTGGCTCACGCCTGTAATCCCAGCACTTTGGGAGGCCAAGGCAGGCGGATCAGGAGGTCAGAAGATTGACACCATCCTGGCTAACATGGTGAAACTCTGTCTCTACTAAAAATAGAAAAAATTAGCCGGGCATGGTGGCACGTGCCTGTAGTCCCAGCTACTTGGGAGGATGAGGCAGGAGAATGGCTTGAACCAGGGAGGTGGAGGTTGCAGTGAGTTGAGATGGCACCACTGCACTCCAGCCTGGCAACAGAGACTCCATCTCAAATTAAAAAAAAAAAAAAAAAAAGATAAATTGTATGTTGCTTATATTTTATCACAATTTTTTTTAAAAAGCTAAAGAACAGAAAAACGAAAACCTGGTAGACAAATGGAGGAAAAATATGAACAGACAAATCGCAAAAGAAGACGCAACTAGCTCGAAAACATATGAAAAAATGTTTGAATTATAGAGAGATGTACATTAAAACAAAACAACACTACACACTATTTCTCACTGATCACACTAGCAAAAATTAAAACATGACAGCACACACTGTTGGCGAGGTTGTGGAGAAACAGGCGCTATTCTCATACATTGCTGGACATTGGTACAACCCTTCAGGAGGGAAATTTGACAATATCTGAGAAAATTACATATGCATTTACCTTTCAACCCAGAAATTCCACTTCCAGAAACTACCCTGAATATGTACCTCCAACAATACAAAAATACATAAGCACAGAATTATTCACTGTGTAGCACTGTTTGTAACTGCAAGATAATGGAAGTAGCTTAAATGGCCATAGATAGGAGGGTAGAAAAATAAACTATTACAATAGTTTCTTCATATAATATAAACTGTAATAGTTTATTCATCTACTCTGTGGTACATACTATGGTACATTCACACAATGTATGAATGTACAATGTATGAAATACAATGAATATGCAGCTGTAAAAATTAATGAGGCAACGTTCATAGCAACATAATTCAAAATAATGTGTAAGTAGAAACCCAAGATCCATCAACTGATAAAAGGATAAACAAAAGGTGGTATATCCATAAAATGGAATATTATTCAGCCATAAAAATAACAAAACACTGACAACATAGATGAACCACGAAAACATTATACTAAGTGGAAGAAGCCAGTAACAAAATACCACGTACTGTATGATCCCATTTACATGCAAGGTCCAAAACAGGCAAATTTATAAAGTCAGAAAGTGGATTCCTGGTTGCCTAGAGCTGGGGGAAGACAGGATGGGAAGTAATTGCTAATTGCTAACGGATCAGGGTTTCTTTTAGGGGTGATAAAAATGTCCTAAAATGTGCTGCAATGATGCTTGCATAACTCTGTGCATATACTAAAAAACCACTAAACTTTATACTTAACTGGGTGAATTGTAAGGTATGTAAATTATATCTCAATAAAGATGTTTTTATTTGTTTTTTCTTGAGACAGAGTCTCGCTCTGTCACCTAGGCTGCAGGGCAGTTCTCGCTCTGTCGCCCCGGCTGGAGTGCAGTGGTGCAATCTCGGCTCACTGCAACCTCCACTTCCCGGGTTCAAGCGATACTCCTGCCTCAGTTTCCCGAGTAGCTGGGACTACAGGCATGCACCACCATGCCCAGCTAATTTTTAAAATATTTTTAGTAGAAACGGGGTTTCACCATGTTGGTCAGGCTGACCTCAAACTCTAGACCTCAAATGATCTGCCCACCTCAGCCTCCCAAACTGCTGGGATTACACCATACCTGGCCTCAATAAAGATGTTTTTAAAAATGAATGAGGAAGATCTCTATGAATATGGGGTGAATTTCAAGACACACATTTCTTTTTTTTTTTTTTGCAGACGGAATCTCACTCAGTCGGTCACCCAGGCTGGAGTGCAGAGGTGCAGTCTCGGCTCACTGCAACCTCTGCCTCCCACTTTCAAGCGATTCACCAGTTTCCAAGTAGCTGGGATTACAGATGCCTGCCACCACACCCAGCTAATTTTTTTGTATTTTTAGTAGAGATGGGGTTTCACCATGTTGGCCAAGTTGGTCTCGATATCCTGACCTCAGGCAATCCACCCACCTCAGTCTCATAAAGTGCTGGGATTACAGGCATGAGCCACCATGCCCAGCCTAAAACATACTATTAAGTGAAAAAAGCAAACACAATTATCTATAGCATGTCACCTTTGTGTAAGAAACAAGAGATATGAGAAAATACACAACTATCTGTTCACTTGTGCAAAAGAAACGCAAGATAATCCAGATACCAAAGTTAGCTATACAGGGTAGGTGGGAAAGGGGTGAAAAGAAGGGGTGAATGGGAACAGGGTGGCAGGCATGAGGAGGGAAAGACACTTCTCTGAGTATACCTTTGTGTGTAGTTCTGACTCTCAGAAATCAGTCATAATTCATACCCCAAAAACAAACTAAAATCAGCTAGGACATAAGGGGAACTCGAAAACAAATATAAACCCTAACAGTGAACCTATTACAACTAACATAACCACTCTGAAGGGCATGAGGAAGAAAATAACTAACCTAAGTAGCTGTGGAAAACTGTATCTTGACGGGATAGGCTAAAGACAAAAAGAACTGTGATTCCAGAGTTGGGGCAGAGAAAACACAAGATGAGCGTGGAACACCTTGTGGTGCCATAAAGTAAGTAAGTGCTCAGAGAAAAAAACAAGAAAAAAAAATGAGGGCCAGCTGATAGGCCACAGAAGCTACCCTGAAGGAGATCCTAACTAAATAGCCAATGCTGTAACAGTAAGCAACAAAATAATGATGATAATGAATTTTAACTCATAGAATATAATGCATATCCATGGCCTATACTGACACATAAATAATCAAATAAATAAATAAAAGAGAGAGAGAGTAGATCTCCTTTCAGTAGAACTTGACTTAATAAATGCAGAAGGAAAGAGATAAATAATTTACCTTTAGGCAAACACCACAAAGATCTGCAGATGGATGCTAATGTCAGTGGACACAAATTCATGGAGAACCAGAATTTGTGTCCTCTCAATCTCTCTCTCTCAAGAGACTCATTAATTAGAAATGGATAGTAACTTTATGGTGTAAAAACCTGGCAAGACACCAAGTAAACCAATAGATTAAGGTAAATATCACCAGTAATAAGACATACCAGTATCTTGGACTCCATCTGATGCACTGAGAAAGACACAAAGATAATGTGTCTTTGTGTTATTCTGGCCAACAATGCATAATCTTACCCCAATCATTAGAAAACACTGGACAAACCTTTAAATTGAGAGACATTAGACAAAATAACTGATCATTACTCTTTAAAAGCATCAAAGCCAAGGAAAACAAGAAAAGACTAAGGAAGTGTTATGGACCAAGGAGAAATAAGTAAATGCAACATGGGATCTTGGATCGGATCCTGGAATGAAAACACAACCTTAATTTAAAAAATGGTAACATTCATATCACATCTGTAATGTAGTTAATAATACTGTACAAACACTAGCTTTCTGTTCTTGATAACTGTTCATTATGTAAGATGTTAACATTAGGGAAAGCAGGGTGAGGGACAGAGAACATTTTGTATTGTTGCAACTTTTCTCTAAATCTAAAATTAGTTTAAAAAGCTTAAAAAGAAATAACCATTTTGATTATATATTTATCATCTGTAAGCAATGTGAGGATGGTGACTGTATTGTTCACCATAAATCCAAGAAACTCACCAAAAGGAGCTTTAAAAAAAAAATAGCTATTGAGGCCAGGCGCGGTGGCTCACGCCTGTAATCCCAACACTTTCGGAGGCCAAGACGGATCACCTGAGGTCAGGAGTTCGAGAGCAGTCTGACCAATATGGTGAAACCCCGTCTCTACTAAAAATACAAAAATTAGCCAAGCGTGGTGGCAGGCGCCTGTAGTCCCAGCTACTCGGGAGGCCAAGACAGAAGAATTGCTTGAACCCAGGAGGCAGAGATTGCAGTGAGCCGAGATCATACCACTGCACTCCAGCCTGGGCGACAGAGCAAGACTCCATCTCAGAAAAAAAAAAAAAAAAGCTATTGAATAATCATGAAAAAGAAACATATCTATTGATTTCTGACTCCCAGCCCAGCAGCTGCATTTCCTCAGATAGCAGCACATTCACCAGGCTTATTAGTCTAAGCTAATAAGTTTCCAAACCCTTTATAGTGTCCATGGCCTCAGAACACATGATAAAGAATAACACACTTTGAGACATGGGCACCCTGATACAGAGTGATAACTGGGGGTGTCTCCCGGCCGGGAAGGTGGGAAGCCTATGTCTTAAGCTCAGTGGTGGCAGTGCCTTGGCTGTGTGACTGACTTGACACAGATGCCAGTCTCTGGGTCTGTCTCCCCACATGTATGAGGCACTGTACTAGATGAGGGTTCTGCAAGCTAACCAGCCCACCCTTTTTGTACAGCCCAGGAGCAAAGAATGGTTTTTACATTTTTTAATATTTGGGGAAAAAATCATGACACATGAAAATGATACAAACAATATATAAAATTAAAATTTTGGTCCCCATTACAATTTTATTGCAACACAGCTACTCTCTTACGTATTGTCTTCAGCTGTATCCACACAACATTGCCACACTTGAGTAGACACAGGATGGCCCTCCCAAGCCTAAACTACTATTATAAATACTATTATACTCATATTTACAATATAACAATGTAAACATTAATATATTTACAACAAAAGTTTGCCGACCGCTGAACGAGACCGTTCTAAGCATATTCTATTTCTAACCATAATAATCACACAGAAGGAATCTTAGCCACATGGAATCCGACGGTCCCACACTTATAACCTGTAATAACTCAGGTCCTGAACTGTTAAGTGACTCCCAAAGCCACTTGTGCAGACAGACACCTTGGGAATGTCAGGTGAGTTCCATCTGGGCAGGGCCCGCCTCCTGCGGGGAGTCAGTGAAGCAGAATGGTCACAATTTTCAGTCTGGAGTCGCGCTCACCCACTGGGTGACTTGGAGCAAGTCATTTCACCTTCCCTCGGCCTCAGTTTCCACCCTTGTAAATGGCACTAATAACAGCACTCACCTCGCAGGGCTGCTGTGAAGGTGAAGCGAAAGGTCGCGAGTAAAGGGTTAGCGCTGGGCTTTGCACCCAGCAGACGCCAAATCAATGGTGGCTCCTGCGGTTACTGGGAACCACCCCCGAGGCCGGAACCCATCCTAGGCACCTCAAGGCGGCGGCAAGAGCCGTGAAGAGGCCCGCGGGGCAGCCAGGAAGCCCGGCCTCGGTTTCCCCGACTGTGGCTCCAAAGCTGCCCGCGAAACCCCCAGCGTCCTCACATAACCCAGCCTCGCGCCTGCAGCCCCTCAAGCCTGTACCCCCAGCTCTGCCGAGCCTCACCCCCACCCCCACCGCCTTCAAACCAGCCTTCCAGGAACTCACTAGGCGTCTCCACAGCAACGGCCAGTCCTTCCCGACCACCGCGCATGCCGGCTGCGCGCCTGACAACAAGGCCTGCTCCCATTGGCTCCGGTGCCGGCTGCGCCAGCCAATCAGCGGGGGCGCACTCGCCGCTTGCCCGCTCGCGTGGCTGGTTAGCTGGGGCCCTGCAGACTGCTACCCTTGGGCGGCGCGCGCGCGCGTGTGCGCGTGCGCGTGCGTGTGCGCGTGCGCGTGCGTGTGCGTGTGCGTGTGCGTGTGCGTGTGCGTGTGTGTGTGTGTGTGTGTGTGTGTGTGTGTCTGTGAAATGCGGGAGTGGAGCTTATTGGTTCCGGATCCCCGCCGTCGGTCCTCGAGTGCTTGGCTCAGAGCACCAGCTCGTAGTCGGAATCCCTTCTCCACAGCTTGCGCCCTGAGCAGTCGCTAAATAATGGGCTGTGTGTTATTACCTGGGACATGTGCTCTCAAAACAGTGGAAACTTGGGGAACACTTAGAGCAAGGTGTCCAATCTTTTAGCTTCCCTGGGCCGCGTTGGAAGAATTGTTTTGGGCCACACATAAAATACATTAACACTAAGGATAGCTGATGAGCTAATAAATAAATAAATAATAAAAATAAAAATCACCAAAAAATCTCAAAATGTTTTAAGAAAGTTTACGAATTTGTGTTGAGCCGCATTGAAAGCCAAGCCGACCAGCGGGTTGGAGAAACTTGACTTAGAGGGAACCAGGTAGGAAGAGCATCCTCATTCATTATATTACCTGTGCCTCTCTTTCCAAAAAGGATGTGAAGCCCAAAAGGCACAGATACAATAGGATATTGAAACAAAAGGAAAAAAAAGAACAAAACCTAGTAAATGAACAAGGAGAGAGGGGTGATGGGGGGTGTCAGCATTCCAGAGGTGAAAAAAGGCAACAGAATTGAAGGGCTTCTGTCAAGGCCTTGGGCTGAAAGATGGTACTCTCTTGGGAGCTATAATAATAATAAAGCATTGTAGGGAAGAACTTTACACTGTGGTTGAATTCATAGCTGCTTGAGTCTAGCAAGGATGATTTAAATAGGAGTGAATGTTGGGGGTTTTTTAACCTCAAAGACAGTAAAAGCATGGTGAAATACTCAGTACAATAAAGCTGTGCTGATAAGCTAGAAGTTTTGAAAATTGTTGAGTCACCAACCTTGACTTTGAGTATTGGGGTAGACAGTATTGGGGGAGGGTAAACAGAAGCATAAACCAATAGTTTCAAAGCTGCATGGATAACTTTCTGCCTCGGATGCAGCTTCCACTCGAGCCTTATCATGAAAGATGCGCTGGAGAGAAACAGTTGAAAGTAGGTGGGAAGGGTGGTCAAGCAGCAAAAAGCTGTGTGGGGAGAGTCCAGAGGTGAGAAACATGCAGATCATGCAGGAGTGTCAGGATGCACAGTGTTACAATGAGGCAAAGGTCAGGGCCACAGTGGGGAGAGAGCACCCTGGAGAGTTGGGAAGAAGCCAGTCCAAACAAGCAAGCAGAAAACATATTGTTGCAGTCTTGCCCGTGCACCACAATGTACCAGTCTCTCATCGTGGGGTATCACCCAGAATTCTTTGTCTCGCGACCAAGAAAATTAAGGAGTGTGGACACAAAGGGTGAAGTTGAAGCAAAAGTTTAATAAGCAAATGAAGAAAGCTCATCGCAGCTGGCGGGAGGCCCAAGCAGGTTGCCCACTATGAGGCTGGGTCCGGGGTTTTTATGGACTGGGAAGGGAAGGAATGTGCTGACTGGTCTTGGAGAGAACATTACTCAGCTTGGCCCCTGGACATTGCCAGGGACCAATCAGGAGCTGAAGTGATAACCTGGCCCAGGACCAGTCGGGCTGAAGTGACGATTCACAGAGGCTTGGCTCACAGTCTAAAGCACATCCAAGAAAGGAAAGTGCCCACTGGTACCCACCGTAGCCCACCGTGTACATGTCCACAAAAGGAGAAGAGACTATTTCCTAGAAGCCCACTGGTTATACAAAGGACAAAGGCGTTTCTATGCTGGGTCTTGTTCCCTATCCAAGTAGCTGCAGGCATGTCTTAGGCACAAAGGTAAAAGGTGTTTCTATGTTGGGCCTTGTTCCTTTACCTGAGTGGGCCAGAGGTTTGTGCAAGTTTCCTTAGCTGTGTCTGAAGCCTGATTTTTCAGGTTGTTCCTCTGTTTAAAGGAGTTTTACTAAGAACCCACCCTAATTACCTAACTTTTCTCTCTCAGTATCACTCTCATTACAGTGAAGATAGCAGATTTAACATGGGGAATCTAGATCAAAGACTGTTGCCTTATGGTCTTGGTGAGAGCTGGGCCTGAATCCCATCCTTGGTGACTGCAACGATTCATTCATATTCAACTCAAACATTCCCTGAGGTGCTTGGGGAAGCAGGACACCATGAAACACACTGGCAGATGAATGAGTTCAAAATAGTGGGGCCAGGCGTCCAGGGGAAGGAATTCCAAGGTCTAGCTGTTAATGAGAGTCCTTAGCAGTGGTGAGGTAAAAACACAGCAGGCACAGGCTTATTCCATTAGAAACTGACTTTATTAACTATATAGACTGCACACACTGAAAATCAGAATTTGGTGTTTCACTGGTGCACTAAAGGTAAGGCTCATCAAAGGTTTATGCAGGGAAACAGTGACCACCACGGTGTCCAAGGGTCATTAGAGGAAAACTCTGCATGGAACATCTGGAAGGCTACAGAAATGGAGACTCCCTATAGGCTCCCCCACACCGCCCCTACATACTTTGACATTCAACAGACTGATAGGGTATTTAGATAAGAGGGTGGGGGCCTCATTCATTCAGTTTCAATGCAGCTTCAGCGCCAACATTGTATTTCCAGGTTTGGCATTCTGGGACATGGGTTTTACAAGGTGCCTAGCTCCAGAAAATTATCGGCAAGCGTTAAGAGAGAAGATGAAGTTCTCTTCCCAGGAATATCCGGAGAAGATCCCTGAAGCCCAGCCTGCCCTGTGCTCTGGCCCGTTACAGCAGACTATGAACAGGAAACAGCTCAAAACTGTCGGAAAAGGGCTGAGCAACTCCTGGAGGTCCAGAATTCTGGGAGGGCAGGTGAGAGGAGCAGCAATGGGGCTCGAGCTCTTCCTGGACCTGACACACCATCCACTTTTGCAAGACAGAATGGCATCCCTTTTCAACTGCAGCAGGTGGAGTTGGCTTGGGGTGAGCCAAGTGGCTGGGCTGGACCCCATGGAGTGGGTGCCAAGGACCAGGCTCTGCACTGAGCCTTCTCTCCTTTCTGCCCACCAGGGGAACACCTGAAGCCTGAGTTTCTGAAGGTGAACCCCTGGGGAAGATGCCTGCCCTCAGAGATGGCGACTTCCTACTAGCAGAGAGGTAATGGTGACCTGGTGACCACCCAGGGTCACAGCCAGGATCTGCCTGGGTTCAAGCGCTCAGAGTTGTAGCGGGAGGCAGAGGAAAGAGGGGAGATCTTTCCCTGGGATGGACATCTTTCCAAGTCACAGCAGCCCCTTCCTCATTTCAGCTTGTGTAGCTCTGATGCAGAGGCTGGACCCACGGGCACCTTTGGGCTAAAGCTGGAGGCTGGAACCTGGCTACAGCCTTAGCCATCTGGAGCTGCCCACGGGGGGAAAGGGCATAGGTCACCCAGATAAGCCTGGACAACCTGAAGCCAGCAGGCAAGGCTCAGGCTTGAGGTTGGCTCCTCCCCAAATGTCCCCAGCTCATCCTTTCAGAGTCCTAGGAGCTGGGAAGGCCCAGGGGAGACTCCACTTTCAATCCCAGCTCTCCACTTCCTCACTCTGTGCCCTTCGGCAAATCACAGAACTTTGTGTGCCAGGTTTCTCCTCTGTAAAATGGGGTGGGGGGAATAATGTAACCACCTCCCAGGGCTTACCCGAGGATGGAAAATGGGCACCTAGTGCTCTGGGGCACTAGGAAGGGAACTTGGGCAGGGCTTACGTGGCAGGCCTGCCTCTCTCACTCTGAGTGGGGACCCTGATGCCAGGGAGTGGGGCCTGGGCATGGAGGGCAGGATGGTGCGGTAACTGGGAGGGGAAGTGGAAACATGGGCCCAGGGAGGATCGAGTTGGAAATGGAGAAACAGAGTGGTTTGGTCGTGGGGAGATACTCCCTAGAGGGAGTTGCGGTATAGGGGGATCCTCCCCTGAAGGGGAAGGTGGGAAGAAAACCTGGTCAAATCACCATGAGTATGAGCCATAAAGCCGCCTGGCCCTGACAGGCTGGAGAAAAGATCTCTGACATCTTCTGCCCACAGCATGGTCATCGTTTTATACCTCAGTCAAAAGTACCAGATGGAGGCACACTGGTACCCGTCTGAGCTGCAGGCCCGCACCTGCGTGGGTGAGTACTTGGCATGGCAGCATGTCACCATCCAGCTGCCTGCCACCAATGTCTACCTGTGCAAAGTGAGCTTCCTAGGCCCTGTCATGCAGGCTGGGGCAGGAGTTTGGACCCCCAGAGATGGAAGGTACCAATTGGCACATATTACATATTAGCTTCACTTCCACTGCCCTGAGCAGACATCACTAATCTATCACAGTACTCCTTCCCCTAAGCCGGAATGAATCCTTAGAAACCTTCTGAACACAGAGCCCCAGAGGACATCACTAATGAATGGCAGCAGGGAAGGGATGGTGAGGAGGCCCAAGAGGATTCCAAGGGTCTGGGTTAAGTTGCTCCTCTCCTCCCAGCCCAGTCTCTCCTGCCCCACTTCTCAGGGCAGCCTGCAGATGCTGCACAACTGGAATGGCTGTTGGGGAGGCTGCCGCCAGCCCTGCAGCACCTGGATGGGGAGGTGCTGGTGGCCAGGCCCTTTGTGGCAATGGAGCAGCTCTCCCTGGAAGATTGGTGCTGACGGAGGTGATGGAGGTGAAGCTCTCCTACCCACCTGCCCTCTGGGGAGACTCTGGGCATGGGGCTGAGCCCCAACCCCAGCTGTCCTGTCTTCCCTGCTCACTGCTGTTGGCTGCGACCTCTTCCAAGACTCCCCGGCTGCAAGAGTGGTGGGCTCGTGTGGAGGCTGCCTTGGGTACTGAGCTCTTCCTGGAGGCCCACAAGCTCATTCTCTAGCCTCAGAACCACAGTGAGGCTCGGCGGGACCCCCAGCTGGCCCAGAAGCAGGTGCAGTTGCTGCAGGAGCGGCTACGCTGAGTGGGTGCAGCCCCCTCCACCGCACCCTGCTGTCTGCAATAAACACACTGCGTGCTCTTCGCTTGTCTCCAGGCTTACTCTGTCACTGGAGGTGGGGTCAGTCCCATTGCTGAGCCTAGACATATTGGATCACACAGCATAGAGTGAGTGGCACTCAGTCCCCCATGTGGGGCTCTAGTTACTTTCCTGGGCCACCAGGTGCACAGTCTGGCCACTGCAGCCCCAACCCAGGCCAGGAAGTTTCCGGGCTCCTCTGCATGGCACACACTGGCTGAGTGCCCCCTGACTTCCTGGTGGTAGTGTCCCCACTGCTCCCAAAGCTCCCAGGTTCCTGTGTCTCTTTCTCCCAATTCCTTTTTAGTCAAAGTTCAGGCTCCATTCACCTATGGATACTCCCACTCTCTACTTCTGGAATCTTCCAGGGATCATTCTTAGTGCCTCCTCCTCATTCTGGACCCTGCAAAGCCCCTTTCGTCAGGTTCTGCAATGAAAGTCCAGCCATGGGAATTCCCAGGCATAATTCCTTCTCAGACAGGGTGTCTGTGAGGTGGTGCCACGGGGCATAGGCATATATTGAAGGGGGAGACTAGGGTCACAGCTGCCACACCTTTGCCACAGGTCTCTTGCCAGCGTACTCCTGGGCCTCCTTAGAATCCTTGCTGCCGTAAGAATTGCAGGCTTCCTGGCCTTATGACAACACAAAGGGAAACAAGAAGTTTCCCTGGGGAACACAGGGTCCTGGGTCCAGATTGGAGAGGCCACAGGGCCAGGGACTCTGGCCAGACATAGGCCCAGGTCTGTGGCTGGCCAGCTGCAGCTGTGGGGCCCGGCATGTGTCTCAACATGGCCCTGGAGCTCTACATGGACCTGCTGTCAGCACCCTGCCGTGCCGTCTACATCTTCTCAAAGAAGCATGACATCCGGTTCAACTTTCAGCTTGTGGATCTGCTGAAAGGTCAGTTCCCACCGCTACCCAGCAGGCCTGGTCCTGGGGGAGGCAGGGCACACAGATTGGGGTTTTTCTTTTTTTCTTGTTTTTTGATGTAGTTTCGCTCTGTTGCCCAGGCTGCAGTGCAGTGGCACTATCTCTGCTCACTGCAACCTCCACTGGGTTCAGGTGCGTCTCCTGCCTCAGCCTCCTGAGTAGTTGGGATTAGAGGTGCTCGCCACCACACCCAGCTAATTTTTTGTATTTTTAACAGGGGTTTCACCATGTGGACCGGGCTGGTCTCAAAATCTGAACCTCAAGTGATCTGCCCACCTCAGCCTCCAAAATGCTGGGGTTACAGGCATAAGCCACCACGCCCAGCCTGATAGGGGCCTTTCTGACGAGCAGAGACAGATACAAGGGAGTCACCCCAGAGGTCCCCAGGGAAGGAAATGATGCTAGGGGGCTTGTAGGCTGCATCCCTGTCTAGCCTACCTTAGTCATTCCCCACTAATGACAGTCCCCATGCAGGAGATGAACAGGCTTTTCGAGGAGAAGGGGGAAGGAGGAGCATCTGGGCCTCCCTGGGCTCCCACCAGGCACCCTGGCTTCCTTGTGGAAGTCTAGGACCTTGTGAACTCAGCACCTGGCTGCCAGGTTGGCAAAGGGGGCAGAAGAGCACAGTCTGTCTACACCCATCTTCCCCAGTGTTCAGAACGGCTCAGGGCTCCACTGACCCCGAGTGAGGGTCAGACGGGTGGGCTCCAATTCCATCCTGAGCACAGAGGGGCTCCAAAACCTCAACCTGCAAAAGCAGAAGCCTCTAGAACACAGAGGAAGAGACAGGGAAGCTTTGGAAATGAATGGGGTGCGAGTGGAGCCCCCAACGGGAAGCAGCTGGTCCAGGAAGAGTTTCAATTCCTGTCCCCACATCAGGTTCCCTGTACAGATGACCCCGATTGTGTCTGAGAGGCTTCCCTTTGGATGTCCAGCTGTGCTGGGCCCGGCTTCCTTAAAGAGGGGACAGAGGAGTGAGGGCGATGGGAGTGGGGATGGGACTCAGTCCCTGGGCCTCAGGGCTTCAGGTGATTCAAAGGCTGTGGCTTCAGATCCAGCTTTAGGGGTGGGCCCAAAGCTGGAGGCCTCCCCCCCAGCTGGGGGAAGCTAGAGAGGGAGGCCTCCAGCTTCTGGGCCAAAGGGTCGTCCTGGTCCTTGGACACAGGTAGGAGGCACAGGAGTCACTAAACCTAGGGAGGAGTAGGCGGGAGCCAGCAGTTCTGATCCCAGTCCGGTTCTGCAACTGCCTTGCCCTGTGACCTGGGGTGAGACACGATGTCCCTCTGGGCCTCAGTTCCCTCTTCTTGAGAAAATAGAGAGGGAGGTATTTGTGTCTCTGAGAGTCTCAGTTCTCTCTGCCCTGGAGTCCCACAGCCTCAGACCTTCCCTGCCCCTCCCAGGTCACCACCACAGCAAAGAATACATTGACATCAACCCCCTCAGGAAGCTGCCCAGCCTCAAAGATGGGAAATTTATCTTAAGTGAAAGGTAAGTCTTCCCCAGGGCCCTTGCACCATCTGTCTCTGCTCCTCCTGGGAGACTCAGTGCAAGCGTTTGTCTATTTCACCATGGGAAACCTCACACATACACTAAAGGAGAGTGAATACTAACTAATGAGGGGCATGAGGAACCCCACAAACCCATTGTCCAGCTCCGACTGTTGCCAACCTGGGGTCCATTTTACATCATTTCTATTCCCCGGCCTCCCAGACATCCCATCATTCCAGTCATAAATGTTTAGGGGCCAGCTCACACCTGTAATCCCAGCACTTTGGGAGACTGAAGTTGGGGAATGGCCTGAGCTCATGTGTTCAAGACCAGCCTAGCCTGGACAACATGGCAAAACCCCATATCTACAAAGAACACAAAAATTAGCCAGCGTGGTGGTCTGCACCTGTAGTCCCAGCTACTCAGGAGGCTGAGGTGAAAAGACTGCTTGAGCCCGGGAGGCAGAGGTTGCAGTGAGCCAAGATTGAGCCATTGTACTTCAGCCTGGGCAACAGAGTAAGATCCCATCTCAAAAATAAAAATAAATAGTAAATAAATCAATACATGTTTAGGAACATACCTCTCAGACATAAGAGTTCTTAGAAAGAAAAGAAAGAAAGAAAGAAAGAAAGAAAGAAAGAAAGAAAGAAAGAAAGAAATAAAGAAAGAAAGAAAGAAAGAAAAGAAAGAAAGAAAGAAAGAAAAGAAAACACACTGGGCACGGTAGCTCATGCCTATAATCCCAGCACTTTGAGAGGCTGACATGGGAGGATCGCTTGAGGCCAGGAGTTCACGACTGCAGTGAACTCTGATTGCGCCACTGCACTCCAGCCTGGGCTAGGATAGAGGGTAGGAACACTACATTACCATTAAGATACCTCACAAAATTAACGATAATTCCTGGATTTCATCTGATGTCTGGCTCCTGTTCAAAACTCTCTAATTATCTCCTAAATATTTTCTTGGCAGTTTGTTTGGATCAGGATCCAAACAAGTTCTGAATCTTGCAGCCAGTTGCTGTCTCTCCCGCCACTCTCTAATGAATAGCTCTCTCCATGCCCTGACCTTTTTACCTTGGCAAGGTTGCTGTTGATGATAAAAAAGGAGCACTTGTCCTGTGGAGGTTCCCACACCAGCCATCAATCAGCAAGGCCTAGGACACCCCACCGAAGCATGTCTCCCCTCCATCCCCTTCCCTCTGTCCCCATGACCTCCACCATTCCCGGACACCACAACCTTCCCAATAGTTGCTGGCTCCCCTGTTGTCCATTCTGCCCCCTCGGGCTCACCCTCCATCCAGCACCAGAGAGATGGATCCTTTCATGCGCTGGCTTATATAACACCTAATCTTACAGATTAAGTCCATAATCTCCCTGCATCTCCTGGGGCTACCCTCTGTGGCCTCCACAGTGTCTCTTGCTGCCTCGCCACTCCCCAACCACCCCCACCCTCCTTCCAGTTGCACCCACCTACTCTCCGTTCTTCAGATTCACCTTGCTGCCCTCACTCTGGTATTTCAGCATGTGTTTTCCTTTGTTGGTTTTTTGAGACAGAGTCTTGCTTTGTGGCCCAGGCTGGAGTGCAGTGGCACAATCTTGGCTCACTACAACCTCTGCCTCCCAGGTTCAAGTGATTCCCATGCCTTAGGCTCCTAAGTAGGTGGGATTACAGGTGTGTGCCACCACACCCAGCAAATTTTTGTATTTTCATTTTAGTAGAGACAGGGTTTCACCATGTTGGCTAGGCTGGTCTCCAACTCCTGACCTCAAGGGATCTGCCTGCCCTTGGCCTCCCAGAGTGCCGGGATTGCATGTGTGAGCCATCGTGCCTGGCCTGTTTCTGTTTTGAAAAAGGATCTTGTTCTTTCACCCAAGTTGGAGTGCAGTGGTGTGATCTTGGCTCACTGCAGCCTCAGATTCTTGGACTCAAGCGATCCACCCGCCTCAGCATCCTGATTTGACACGTGTTGTTCCCCTTGCTGGCCTACTCTTTGTTATACCACCCGCCCCCAACTCCTACTCACCCTGCAGGGCTCCTTCCCTGCCCTTACTGACTGTCAGACAGACAGCTCTGGTGAAGGCCTTTCCCGGGGCCATTTGGGCTCCTTCTTGCTCTGGAAGCCCCAGCAGTTGGGCCCAGGGCATATTGGGGTGGTTGATGTACTGGCACTCAGGAAGGCAAGGGCAGTGCCCCTGACCAGCCCTTTCTGCAGTGTGGCCATCCTCTACTACCTGTGCCGCAAGTACAGCGCTCCATCACACTGGTACCCGCCAGACCTGCACGTACGTGCCCGTGTGGATGAGTTCATGGCTTGGCAACACGCGGCCTTTCAGCTGCCCATGAAGAAGATAGTCTGGCTCAAGGTGAGCAGGATCACTTCCGGGGCCTGGGGACAAGGGCACAAGCGAGTCAGGGAGGCTGGAGGCCAGTTCTGGCTCTGCTGATTGCCGGTGAACTCTAGTAAGTCTCCCTCCCTCTCTGGGCCTCATTTCCTCAGCTCCTTCTCCTGCCTGCCTTACGGAGCTGTCAGGGGTGTGGACTGAAACAATGGGCATGAAAGAGTCTTATTAGGGCAAGGGGAAGGGCATACAGGAGGGGCTGATATGACTCACCCAGGACAGCATTCGAGGCATTTCATTCCGAACTAGAGAATCTCAGCGTCGAAAGGCCCACAGAAGGCCAGGTGTTGCGCTCACGCCTGTAATCCCAATACTTTGGGAGGCCAAGGCAGGCGGATCACTTGATGTCAGGAATTCAAGACCTACCTGTCCAAAATTGTGAAACACTGTCTCTACTAAAAATACAAAAAAAATTAGCCAGTGTGGTGGTGGGCGCCTATAATCCTAGCTACTCAGGAGGCTGAGGCAGAAGAATTGCTTAAACCAGCCGAGTGGAGGTTGCAGTGAGCTGAGATCATGCCCCTGCACTCCAACTTGGGTGACAAAGTGAGACTCCATCTCAAAAAAAAAAAAGAAAAAAAAGCTCATAGAAAAGTTGAAGATGGCTGGGCGCGGTGGCTCATGCCTGTAATCTCAGCACTTTGGGAGGCCAAGGCAGGCGGATCACAAGGTTGGGACTTCGAGAACAGCCTGGCCAACATGGTGAAATCCTATCTCTACTAAAAATACAAAAGTTACCCGGGCATGGTGGCACGTGCCTGTAATCCCCGCTACTCCAGAGGCTGAGGCAGGAGAATCTCTTTTACCCAGCAGGCGGAGGTTGCGGTGAGCTGAGATCCCGACACTGCACTCCAGCATGGGCAACAGAGTGAGACTCCGTCTCAAAAACAAAACAAAAAAAAAGAAAAAAGAAAATTTGAAGGTGACAAATAACCAATACATGTGTCTCCACATCAAATTATATGCCTGTGACAGGCATCACTAGTCAGTCACAGGACTTATACCTGCTGAGCTCCCCAAATCCTTGTGAACACATGGTTCCCAGCAACTTCCACCAATCAGAACTGCTACAAGAGGTGAAACTACTTTATGTCCTGGGAACTGTCCAGTATCTATCCAGCAGACAAGAGTACACAGACCTGGCAGGGCAGGTGGCCCTGGAGTGCAGCCTCCTCTTCCCTCCTCTTCCCAACCCTGGCCAGTTGCTGATCCCAAAGATAACAGGGGAGGAAGTTTCAGCTGAGAAGATGGAGCATGCAGTGGAAGAGGTGAAGAACAGTCTGCGGCTCTTCGAGGCGTATTTTCTGCAGGATAAGCTGTTCATCACCGGGGACCAAATCTCACTGGCTGACTTGGTGGCCGTGGTGGAGATGATGCAGGTGTGGGGTGGGGTGGAGGAGGGTTAGACCTTGGGCAGAGGTGGGACTCCTCTGTGACCAGTGGGGCCATCACTTGAGGATAGGCTGGAGAGGCGGGAAAGGCAGGTAGAGCTGTCATGGGGGCTGTGGGAGCCAGGTCTGGGGGCCTGGACTCAATCTGGGGGCAACAGGAAGCACAGAATATTGTGAATCAGGGAGGATCACAGTTCTCCACATTTGACAAAGATTCTTTGGTGTGGGAGGAGCTGGAGCTGGAGGGTGAGCCTGGGATAGAGAAGAACACTGCATTTCCTGGTCAATCCACCAGCATCCCAGATACCGCCTCCTCTTGCTGGACTCGCCAGGAAATGTTCACTGGCCCCTGGGGGTCCTTCTGGCCCTGCCTCATTCCCAGAGCTCCAGACAGACAGCTATGGAGGACAGCTCTCCTGGCTGGGTCTGAGGGGCATCCACTGTGCATTTGGAGGCATACCTGAGTGTGGGGCATTTATATGGCCTCTCTATGCAGAGGAGGGTGACCAGTTCTGCCTCTCAAGACACTGGCCAGGGTCTAAATTGGCCATCCTGCTCACCAGCTAGGGCACTGCACACTGACCAAAGAGACTAATTTTCATATCAGCCAGAGCTATGCCCAGGAGGAGGCACCTGGGATCCTGGTGGCTTGGCTAGGAAATGCAGTGTTCCTTTCCTCATCCCAGAGATCTCTGGCTCATATGAAAATTAGTCTCTTTGGTCTGTTTGCAGTGCAGACCAGCACCAGAAAAAATCATTCTGGCCTGCCCCGAGGGCTCAGACATATGCTTCGCCCCCACCCCGTACATTTCACCCACCACCCACCCTTCTTGGGCTTCCCAAAGACCTTCGGTGCAAAGCCAAAGTCCAGAGTAGACTGTCTTAGTGAGCCAGCCAAACTGCAGGGTAGACTGTCTTAGTGAGCCAGCCAAACTCCAGAGTAGACTGTCTTAGTGAGCCAGCCAAACTGCAGGGTAGACTGTCTTAGTGAAACAGCCAAACTCCAGGGTAGACTGCTTGCCAGGTCTCCTATTCTAGCCCCTGAGACTGATCACAGTGGGAGGTTAAACATGGGGAAAAAAACCTGAGTTCTCTCCCTCATCCACATATACACCCCTGGGATAAGGGGTTTCCTTGGAAGAAGGCAGAATTCATGTGAGGTCACAGGCTGGAGAAGTGGGAGCTGCCTGGGCTGGGAGCCCTCTCAGCATGGTCCAGAAGGCTTAGAGCAAGAAGACCAGTGACCAGAGACCCTGGGGGATTCTGGATCCTCCATCCCCATGTACATCTATTACATAGTCTGTGACCTCTTGCTCAGGCCTTGGGGGTCAGCAGCCTATTTCTTTGCAGAGGCAGATGTTGGAGGCGGGGGCCTGAGGCTGTGGGAGAGGACCCAGGTGGGGCTGGTCCCCAGGCTGACCACATCTTCCTCTTTGTCTATCCACAGCCCATGGCAGCCAACTATAATGTCTTCCTCAACAGCTCCAAGCTAGCCGAGTGGCGCATGCGGGTGGAGCTGAATATTGGCTCTGGCCTCTTTAAGGAGGCCCATGATCGACTAATGCAGTTGGCCAACTGGGACTTTTCAACATTGGATCCAATGGTCACGCAGAGAATCTGTGAGTTTCGGGAGAAGTACTTGTGATCCTACTTGCAGCCATCCTGCAGGGCCTGGCTGGCTCAACAATCTGAGCACCTTCCTTAAAGGAAATGCTAAAAAAGACACCTCTTCTTTGCCTAATAAAGAGCTGGAACAACCATCACAGCTGCTGAGCAACAGATAGTTGGCGTATGCACAGGGTCTGATGTGGGAGTGGGTGGTGGTTACAGATCCTTTCAGTTTCCAAAAAGAATTTTAAAAGTAAAGGGTTAATATGGTTACATTGTCAGTAATAATAGTTGATGACTTCAATACTCCACTTTCTTTCTTTTTTTTTTTTTTTTTTGAGATGGAGTCTCACTCTGTCACTCAGGCTGGAGTGCAGTGGCACAATCTGGGCTCACTGCAATCTCCGCCTCCCAGGTTCAAGTGATCCTCCTGCCTCCCGAGTAGCTGGGATTACAGGCACACGCCACCACACCCAACTAATTTTTTTTTTTTTTGTATTTTTCTCGAACTCCTGAGCTCAGGCAAATTGCCCACCTCAGCCTCCCAAAGTGTTGGGATTAGGGGTGTGAGCCACTGTGCCTGGTTCCCACTTTCAGTAATGGATAGAAAAACTACAGAAGACCATCAAGGAAATAGAGGACTTGAAAAGCACTGTAAACCAATTGCGCACACTAGACATGAACAGAACATTCCACCTGACAGGAGCAGAATAAGCATTCTTCTAAAGAGCACATGGAATATTCTCCAGTATAGAGCATATAATTGGTCCTAAGTCTCAAATTTAAGAAGATTGAAATAATGCAAAGTATGTTCTCTGGACACAGTGGAATAAAGTTAAAAATCAAGAATAGAAGGAAAACTAGAAAATTCACAAGCACATAGAAATTAAACAGCACACTCTTAAGCAACCAGTGGGTCAAAAATGAAATCACAAGATAAATTAAAAAGTATCTTGAATGAATAAAAATGAAAACACAACATGCCCAAATTTATAGGATGCAGCACAAGCAGTGCTAAGAGGAAAATTTATAGCTGTAAACACACGAGTTAAAGAAGAACGATCTTGAATCAATAACCTAACTTTATGCTTTAAGGAACTAGAAAAATAAGAGCAACCTAAACCCAACACCAGTAGAAGACAGGAAATAATAAAGATTAGAATGGAGATAAATGAAATAGAAAATAGAAAAACAATAGAGAAAATCATTGAAACCAAAAATTGGATCTTTGAAAAGATCAACAAAAATTGGCAAGCCTTTAGTTAGAACAGCCAAGTGAAAAAATAAGACTCAAATTATTCACCAAGAAAATGGAAGATGAGTACAATGGCTCACACCTGTAATCCCAGCACTTTGGGAGGCTGAGGCAGCAGGATCACTTGAGGCCAGGAGATTGAGACCAGCCTAAGCAACATAGTGAGACTTGTTTCTACAAAAAGATTTATTTTTTTTAATTAGCTGGGAGGCAAGGCCCAGTGGTTCATGCCTGTAATTCCAGCATTTTGGGAGGGCAAGGCGGGCGAATCACCTGATGTCAGGAGTTTGAGACCAGCCTGGCCAACATGGTGAAACCCCTGTCTCTACTAAAAATAAAAAATGAGCTGGGCATGGTGGCGGGCACCTGTAATCCCTGCTACTCGGGAGGCTGAGGCAGGAGAATTGCTTGAACCCGAGAATCAGAGGTTGCAGTGAGCCGAGGTCACACCACTGCACTCCACCCTGGGTGACAAGAGTGAAACTCTGTCTCAAAAATAAATAAATAAATAAATAAATAAGAAAGAAAGAAAAATTAGCTGAATGTGTTGGTGCATGCCTGTAGTCCTAGCTAATTTGGTGACTGAGGTAGGAGGATCACTTTAGCCAGGAGTTCAAAGTTACATTGAGCTATGACTGCACCACTGTACTCCAGCCTGGGTAACACAGGAAAACCTAATCGCAAAAAATGAAAAAAAAAAAAAAAAACCAGACACCAGAAAGAAAGAAAATGGACACATCACTACTGGTATTAGAGAAGTACAAAGGTTTATAAAGAAATACTGTGAGTAATTGTATGTGAACAAATGAGGTAACCTTGATGAAATGAGAAAATTTTAGAAACATAAAATCTACCAAAACTGACTTAGGAAGAAAGACACAATTTGAATAGAACTGTAACAAATAAAAATATTAAAATATTAATTTTTAAAAATTCCTAAAAAGAAAAGCCCAGGACCAGATGGCTTCACTGGTGAATTCAACCAAAAGCTTGAAGAACTAACACAAAGCCTTCACAAACTCTTCCAAAAAATAGAACAGGAAGAAATATTTTTCAACTCGTTCTATGAAGCCAGAATTACTCTGATACCAAAGACAGAAAAAGACATTATAAGAAAATAAAGTTACAAAGCAATATCCTTATAAATATAGATGTAAAAATCCTTAGCAAAATATTAGCAAATCAAATTCAGCAACATATTAAAAGGATTATACACCTTGACTAGGTAGGATTTATCCCAGGAGTATAAATGTGGTTCAATATACAAAAATCAATCAATGTAGCATACCATGCTAATAGAAAGTCACATGATCATCCTAATGCAGAGAATGCATTTGACAAAATCTAACATCCTTTTATGATAAAATTACTCAGCAGATGAAGACTAGAAAGGAACTTCCTCAACCTGATAAAAAGCATCTATGAAAAACCTATAACTAACACCATACCTCATTCATTGTGAAAGATCGAGTGTTTCCCCTCTAAGACCAGGAACAGGACAAGAATGTTCATTCACACCACCTGTACTTATTAGGGCAATTAGGCAAAAAAAAAAAGGAAGAAAAAGCATCCAGATCAGAAAGAAAGAAGTAAAACTATCTTTAGTCACAGATGACATTATAGGAACTCGCTTAAAAACCATTAGAGCTAATAAGCAAGTTCAGCAAGGTTGCAGGATACAAGATTAATACACAAAAATCAATAGTACACATTTGCAATAAAGGATCAAAAAATTAAAACATTTCCATTTACAATAGCATCAAAAAGAATAAAATACTTAGAATAAGTTTAATCAAAGAAAAGCAACACTTAAACACAGCAAACTATAAAGTGCTGTGAAATAAATTAAAGAAACACCATCAAGCAATCTAACCTGAGAAAACATGCAGGTTCAACAGAATGAGTCCTGCTCTTCAGCAAGCACCCATCTTGTGTTCAAGCTGGGTCTGTGAGGCAAGTCTGGCAAGATAGAGATGGACATGCAACCAAATCTGGAATGCAGATAAGGCCAAGGGAAGGTGGATCAATCATTGGAAACATTCAACAATCCGTGTTAGAAATGTTAAAAATAGAATCTCAGGGTCTAATGAAGTTGAAAAATCTCTCCTCTTGGTAGTTCTGTTGAAAACTGTTGAATGATTGGATAAAGTAAAACATAAGTATAAGGGATTATTAGGTAGCAATGAATGTGTAATAAATGTAAAAAGAGGGGCAAGTGCATACAAGGAAGTGTATGCTGCTGGGTTTCTGTTGAATTGTGCATGGAAGACCATCAGCAGTTCAAGTCAAAAAGCTTGTCTTGAGGGACTGTGCCAGGCTCTGCAGTTCCAAACCTCATGGAGGAAGCTGTCTGCCCATTAGAAGCCCAGAGCCCAGAGGGACGGACTAGAGCAAATCCTCTCCCTCATGGAGCTAGATAGGAACACAAAACTATCTGATAGCATGCAATTTTACATCTCGTACCCTGTTTAATCCTCACAACCACCCTGATGAGTACTAGTATTATCCCAATTTTGTAGATGAGAAAACAAGTTCTTCAAGGGGAAGGGATCTTCAGAGCAGCATATGAATGAGAGGCAGAACCAGAGTCAGGACCTGTATCTTGTCTTCTCCTTCCTAAAACTAGAAAAGTACCCACCACCAGGCAGTGTTTTTGGTGCAGAGGAATCAGTAGTGAACAATATAGGCAAAAATTTCTACCTTTAGTGTTCACGTTATTATGGAGGAAGACAAACAATAATCCCAGTAGAGAAGTAAAAAATTAGAATGTTTTGCTAAAAAGTCCTTAGGTGGGGTGTCATGATGTTGGTATCTTACGTTCAAAAAACAGTAAATTGAAACTGGGGTTGCATATATTAGTGCTGTTGTACTAGTCCTTTCATTTTCTGGATTTTAAATGTTTTCATAATTTAAAAGTTGGGGGGAAACTTAAAGAAGACCTTAATAAATGGGAGGACATCCCATGTTCATGATTGGAAGGCATAGTAATGTTAAGATGTCAAATTCAACACAATCTGCATTAAAATTCCATTTGGCTTGTTTGTACAAACTGACAAATTGGCCCTAATATTCATGTGGAAATTAAAGTGACTCAGAATCTCCAAAATAGTTTTGAAAAAGAAAAAGTTGTAGGACTCATGCTTCCCAATTTCAAAACTTACTTCAAAGCTACTATAATCAAGACATTGCCAATCAAACCACAATGAGATACCACTTCACACACTCTACAAGGGGTATAATAGAAAAGACAGATTAAAAGTATTGTTGAGGATGTGTGAAGAAATTGGAACCCTCGTGTGCTGCTGCTGAGAATGCAAAATGTATAGCCACTTGGGAAAACAGCTTGCGGTTCCTCCAAAAGTTAAACATATATATAATGTATATATAATATATTATGTATATATTACATTATCTATATATGAGTTTGTTTGTTTGTTTGTTTCTTTTTTTTTTTTTTTTTTTTTTGAGACAGATTCTTGCTCTGTCGCCCAGGCTAAAGTACAGTGGTGCCATCTCGGCTCACTGCAACCTCCGTCTCCTGGATTCAAGCAATTCTCCTGCCTCAGCCTCCTGAGTAGCTGGGATTACAGGAAGGCACCACCATGCCCAGCTAGCTTTTGCATTTTTAGTAGAGACAGGATTTCACAATGTTGGCCAGGCTGGTCTTGAACTCTTGACTTCAGGTGATCCACCCACCTCAGCCTCCCAAAGTGCTGGGATTACAAGCGTGCACCACTGCGCCCGGCCAACATAGAGTTATATTATCCAGCAACTCCATTCCTAGGTACATACCCAAGACAACTGAAGACATATGTCCAGACAAAAACTTGCACATGAATGTTCATCACAGCAATATTCACAATAGCTGAAAAGTAGAATCAATGCAAAAGTCCATCAACT